ACCGCACGCTTGAAGACGCCCTTCGTGCACAAGTTAACGCTCGCCAAACCGATTGGGACCTCCACCTCACCGCCATCGAACTCGCATACAACAGCACACCCCATCTTTCCACCGGCCAGCCACCCTTCTACCTCGCAACCGGACAGCACCCACGCCTCCCAACGACCCCACCCTCCCACCTCTCCCACGCACCAGCAGCCTTTGAGTTCCTCACCTCACTCGAATCAGCCATTGATGCCGCTCGCACCTCCATCCTTAAAGCACAAGCCAAACAGACCCACTATGCCAACTCCCACCGCAAAGATATCCGCTTCAAGGTTGGCGATCAAGTGCTTCTCTCCACGGACCACTTACCTCTCCTACGCAAAGGCACAACCAGAAAACTCGCCCCTCGCTTCATTGGCCCGTTCACTATCACCCGAGTCCTCTCACCAGTCAACTACCGGCTCCAACTGCCCAGCTATATGAAGATTCACCCCGTCTTCCATGTCCAGCGCCTCCGCCCTTATTGTGCACCTTCACACGACCGTCCAGCCACACGCCACCTGCCACCGATGTTCGAAGGCAGCCCCGGCCTGTTTGAGGTTGCATCTATCACTGCTCACCGCGACACACCTCATGGTCGTGAGTTTCTTGTTCATTGGAAGGATCAGCCTGCTAGTGAGGACTCATGGGAACCTGAGAGCCACCTTGACCGTGCTGCAACTGCCGTGAACCGTTACTTGACCAGCCATGGTTTGGCGCCGTGGACGACGCCACTTGGAGGGGGAAGTAATGTAACAGTGCAGCAGCCGAATGCTGCCAACTGCAATGCAGGTGGGCGGAAGTCACTCGTAACAGTGCAGCAACACACTTCCAAGAACAGTGCAGGTGGGCGGAAGTCAAGCGCCACCTCACCTACAGTTCGGATTGGTCAAACGCCTCAACCTGCAGCTGGGCGACCAGATTCCGACACGCAGCCCAAGTCAATCCCACGCACGAAAATTACGAAACGCAGGACACCAAAGTTCCGACCGCTCGCCGACTTCGCCAACAACACCGACGAAATTACAGCCCCGTAACCAAGCTCGCCGGCCAATCCCGTACCGCAATAATTCTCTGAATTTCACGGCAGGTTCATTTCAAAGGGTTGGGTTACCATTGAGAAATTCAGAGAAAGTCGCGACTTGGGAGTGCGACTCGATGTTTGAATGTGCTCTATAAAATTGTACTCTGAAATTTGTGAAGTCATAATGCAATTTCCAGAAAATTCCAGAGAGCACTCTATACTCATTCTCCAAGCCTACTAAGGCTACTATCTCCCTGCCAGCAACGTTTCACCTACCCAACCCGAACGTTCTGATACGTAAACGAGCTTCTGTTGCCCTTCACCGTATCAAAGCGAACTTGTGAGACTCCATCAAAGCCACAGGTGACAGTTCCTTCCAGGTGATTCACCTCTCAAAGCTACTATTCCGTTCGTAGTTGTATCTGCAAGTGACCAGACCAGAGTCCCTCCAGCAGAGTCCTCCAGCCAGAGTCCAGAGTCCAGACCAGACGAACTGTCAGCCACCAGCGGTCTGGCGTAAGGAAGTGCCAACATCAGTTCTTCTCAGTAGTCATGACACTCTAGATTGCCCGGCTTCTATTGTAGCAGTTGGTCTTCGCGTCGCTCCCGCCTTTCTTCACATCGGGGCTACAATACAAGTCACATCGCCAGAAGCTCGCCGTTAGTGTTCCGCGTTCGTTAGCGTTGACACGTGCGTTAATGTCGATACGTTTGTTAGTGTTGACTCGCTCGTTAGTGGCACGTTCCTTAGTGGTTGGCACGTTCGTCAGTGTTAGCTTGTTTCCTTGAGGAGTTGGGTAGCTAATGGTTGCTGTTGTTTTCCTTACACGCCACATTGGTTAGATGACGATAGTGGCTTGACGTGACTTACTTGGAGGTATTTATTTCGTGTTAGTAGTTTTCTTCGATTGTATCTATCTCGTAGGCGTTTGTTTTTTTTCTCCGACATTCTTACTTCTAGGTCTCGAAGCTTGCTACATTTTGTTTCTCCGACATCCAACAATGCCCTTTTTTTCGTTTGGCTAGCACGGCAATCTACAATGCCGCGTTATTGAGCTTCGCGGTATTAGCCTCCTAACCTTAGCCAGCGCCTTATGGGGTGTATACAGTCCAAACCGGCTGTCAAAGACCCGTTACCAGACCGAGTCAACGAAGATGGGAATGGATCGGCGAAAATTGACGAAACATCAGAATCGCAAGCCAAGGTAGCGTCGGGTCGAAGCGTTGATGATGCGACGGCTGGAAAATCGGCTTCGGGTCGTTTGCCGTCGCTTTTCAGCAAAAGTCGTCGCAGGGATGCCAGGGCGACAGCACGGACGACGGCGACGACAAAGGCGTGGAGGCGTCGCCGCGGGAAGCGACGGCCATACACTGCCTGCCAACGGGGAGCGGCCGCGGATTCAAGGTATTATTGTCTTGCGAATAGATAGTGAATTTCGAGTACTCAATGTGCTGATGCTGTACGATTTAGTAATTTAGGACCTCCCAAAGGCGCCAATCTCGTACGGGTAACTATGGACCTATGGTACTAAGTGAACTTGGTTCTCAATTTAAGCTGATCCGTTTTCCTGCGTTTTAGCGAGCACATACAGGATGAGCAAACCCTAACCAGCGGTTGTCAGGATGACGGAATGCTGGCCTGGCATGTCTATCTGCCGTCAGGTTGGACCAAACCCTAGTCAATTACCTAGTTACATCGTTGTCACATGCTCATCCTTGCGTCCCCCACCCACCCCATCGGTGCCCCAGGTTCGTGGCCCTCATATGCAATATGCACCATCTACTCTTTTTTCATTCAAAGCAACCCCAACCTTCCCCCCAAACTCACCCCCGCCCCCCCCCACCCCCCCCCAGCCTCCCCCGTTCCCCTCCCCTCCCTCCCTTCCTCCCCTCCCCCTTCCCCCCTCTCACCTCTTCTCCCTCCCCTTCTCCCCCCCCCCCCCCCCCCCCCCCCCCCCCCCCCCCCACCTCCTGTCTTCATTTCCCTCTTCCGTTCTGCTGCTGCGGGGTCGCACACAGCTGTTGCCATTTCACCATTGTCACTAGTTCGCACGCAGGTGTCACCGTTTCACTGTGATTCCGTTCCGCCTGTGCCTGTCTGTCTGTTGCCCTCCTGCCCGCTGCCCCCCCTCAAACAGTCTTCACCAGCAGGCGCCGCTGCAGCACCAGCTGCATTAACCACATCAGCGTGAGTCACTAAACCTGCACTGCAGGCATCCCTCACAACTGACAGCGTGTGCATGTGTAATTTTAAGCCAGCTCGAGTCACATTAACGTGATTCACTAAACCTGCACTGCACGTTTCTTCATGCGACCAGACACGGCCGGCTGACCTCTTTTTGAAGCGCCCCAAAAGCTGCTTGAACCGCATAAGCGTTGAGCAACCAAATATGCAATGCAAGTATCCTTCATGTCACCAGACCAGTGACTTAGACGCACGCACTTTGGTGTTTCCAATTGGAGCCAGATTGTTTTTTTTTCCAGTCGACTTAAGCCTCGCCTCGAAATTGGCCCCAATGCTCAGCTTCACGGTTTCAAAAAGCTCTCGCAAAGATGCGTTTTGTTCCCATCTCCAGCCCCTCCGTTATCCCATCTACCCCTCTCTTTTCCCTGTTCTATCTTCTTGATAACTCCTCATCTGTGCTTTTGACTTGCAGGGAAGCGCCTGCAGCAGAGGAGGCGAGCACCCCCATGACTTGAGCCCCGACCTCCCTCCCTCATCATCCTCTACCCCTTTCCTTTCCTTGATTTTTTCTTCTTATTTTTATCCCCTTGCCTGCGCTTTTGATTTGCAGGGAAGCCCCTGTAGCAGAGGAGGCAAGCACCCCAGTGGCTGTGGGTCCGAAGCTCATTCGCTCCAAGGGCAAGTGAGTGGCAGACGCTGAATTCTGGGTCCTTGAGAGGAGGCACGTGAGTGGCAGAGCGTCAGTCCTTCCACGCACCATTAATAGGGTGTCCCCTGTACTGCACTACAGCAGAGGAGGCGAGCACCCCAGTGGCTGTGGGTCCGAAGCTCATCCGCTCCAAGGGCAAGTGAGTGGCAGACGCTGATTTCTGAGTCCTTGGGAGGAGGCACGTGAGTGGCAGAGCGTCAGTCCTTCCATGCACCATCAATAGCGTGTCCCCTGCATGCATGCAGTGCAGCAGAGGAGGCGAGCGAGCATACATGTGGCTGTGGGTCCAAAGCTCATCCGCTCCAAGGGCAAGTGAGTGGCAGACGCTGAGTTCTGAGTCCTTGGGAGGAGGCACGTGAGTGGCAGAGCGTCAGTCCTTCCATGCACCATCAATAGCGTGTCCCCTGCATGCATGCAGTGCAGCAGAGGAGGCGAGCGAGCATACATGTGGCTGTGGGTCCAAAGCTCATCCGCTCCAAGGGCAAGTGAGTGGCAGACGCTGAGTTCTGAGTCCTTGGGAGGAGGCACGTGAGTGGCAGAGCGTCAGTCCTTCCATGCACCATCAATAGCGTGTCCCCTGCATGCATGCAGTGCAGCAGAGGAGGCGAGCGAGCATACATGTGGCTGTGGGTCCAAAGCTCATCCGCTCCAAGGGCAAGTGAGTGGCAGACGCTAAGTTCTGAGTCCTTGGGAGGAGGCATGTGAGTGGCAGAGCGTCAGTCCTTCCATGCACCATCAATAGCGTGTCCCCTACGTGCAGTGCAGCAGAGGAGGCGAGCACCCCTGTGGCTGTGGGCCCGAAGCTCATCCGCTCCAAGGGCAAGTGAGTGACAGATGTCGAATCCTTAGTGCCAACCGGAGCATGTCTTTTCATGCATTTCAAAAGTCATCCCTTGAGGTCCCAAGCTCATCCAGGGCAAGTGAGTGGCTGTGGCAGAGGTTCAGTCCTGGCGGGCCAAGTGCCGGAATCAAGATAATAGAGGACCTTCCTTCCGGCCCATCCTCCCCTCCCCTGCCTTGCCCGCGTATATCCCCCTTCCACCACCAGAATCGAGATCATGGGGTTTGAAGTGGCGAACGTGATAGTGAGGGCAATCAACCTGCGCCAGTCGCTGCTAGAGAGGGATATAGAGGACCTTCGGGCGGAGGTGCTGGCGTCTGAAGGGATAAGGATGCTGGTTTCAGACGACTTCTACCACGTCTGGTGCATTGCTGCCGAGGACAAGCGGTGCGTGGGAGGCGGGTGGTGGGGCTGGGACGGGTTGTGGTAGGCTGGCTGGGACAGGTGGTAGGGTCGGTGAGTGCAGGAACGGGATGTAGAGGACTTGAGGGCGGAGGTGCTGGCATCGGAGGGCATAAGGATGCTGGTGTCTGATGATTTCTACCACGTCTGGTGCATTGCTGCCGAGGACAAGCGGTGTGTGGGAGGCGGGTGCCGGGGCTGGGACACGGGTGGGAGTAGGGCTGGCTGGCTGGGACGGGTGGTAGGGCTGGTGTGGTCAGTGCAGGAGCGGGACGTAGAGGACCTGAGGGCGGCTGGCATCTGAGGGCATAAGGATGCTGGTTTCTGATGATTTCTACCACGTCTGGTGCATTGCTGCCGAGGACAAGCGGTGTGTGGGAGGCGGGTGCCGGGGCTGGGACACGGGTGGGAGTAGGGCTGGCTGGCTGGGACGGGTGGTAGGGCTGGTGTGGTCAGTGCAGGAGCGGGACGTAGAGGACCTGAGGGCGGCTGGCATCTGAGGGCATAAGGATGCTGGTTTCTGACGACTTCTACCACGTCTGGTGCATTGCTGCCGAGGACAAGCGGTGCGTGGCAGGCGGGTGCTGGGGCTGGGACACGGGTGGGAAAAGGGCTGGCTGGCTGGGACGGGTGGTAGGGCTGGTGTGGTCAGTGCAGGAGCGGGACGTAGAGGTTCTGAGGGCGGAGGTGCTGGCATCTGAGGGGATAAGGATGCTGGTGTCAGATGATTTCTACCACGTCTGGTGCATTGCTGCCGAGGACAAGCGGTGCGTGGGAGGCGGGTGGTGGGGCTGGGACACGGGTTGTGGTAGGCTGGCTGGGACAGGTGGTAGGGTTGGTGTGGTCAGTGCAGGAGCGGGACGTAGAGGTTCTGAGGGCGGAGGTGCTGGCATCTGAGGGGATAAGGATGCTGGTGTCAGATGATTTCTACCACGTCTGGTGCATTTCTGCCGAGGACAAGCGGTGCGTGGGAGGCGGGTGGTGGGGCTGGGACGGGTTGTGGTAGGCTGGCTGGGACAGGTGGTAGGGTCGGTGAGTGCAGGAACGGGATGTAGAGGACCTGAGAGCGGAGGTGCTTGCTTCTGAGGGGATAAGGATGCTGGTGTCTGATGATTTTTACCACGTCTGGTGCATTGCTGCCGAGGACAAGCGGTGCGTGGGACATGGCTGGTACGCCTGGGATGCCATGGGATCGGATGGGATGGGGCTGTGTGTGTGTGTGTGAGAGCAGTGGCGACGCCCCTCTTTCCTCTCTCCTTCCGTTTCCCTCCTGCTTTTCAAGCAGTGTCTTGACCCGACCTACCACTGGCATTCCGCCAGTTCTCCGTCTTTTTTTCTTCTCCCCCCCCTCACTTTGTTGATTGCAGTCCATTCTCACCTCACCCTCACACCCCAGACCCAGACCGTCCCCTTGTCTGTTCCTCACACTTCTCCCACCCCCATCTCATCTCATGCACTCAGGCGAGTTGAGAGCAGTGGCAAGGGACACGGGGCACGGCTGGGTATGCAGTGCCTTGACCTGTTCAATCCGTCCCTTTCCTGTTCCTCACACTTCTCCCACCCCCGTCTCATGTCTCACACAGGGGCGAGTTGAGAGCAGTGGCAAGAGACGTGGCACGGCTGGGCAAACAATGTCTTGACCCGGCACTGCATTCGCTCACACAAGCTTTTGATGCGTGAGTTTCCCACTCCAAATGCCGTGTGCGTTTGAGGCGTCTCAAGCAGCAATTGGCCTGGCAAGCAGTGTCCTGACCAGGCACCACACTCGTTCAACAAGCGTTTGATGCGTGAGTGAGTGGGATAGTGAGAATTTGAGCGAGTGGGCAGCAGAGCAGGCGTGAGACTTGTGAGTTTCACCTTCACACCATTGCCTGAGTTTTCAGGCATCTCAGCAGCGGCTGACAAAGCAGTGTCTCGAGTCTTGACCCCACTTCATGCCTGCTTTGCTTACTGTCTGTCTCCGCAATACTTTCTCTTCTCTTCCTTCCCCCACCAGTCTCGGCACAATGGATGGTCCCAAGGGCCGAATGACATCAGCAGAAGCTGTGATCCCGCCTCTTGACTGCTTACTCTCTTCCTCTTTCAAACACCTCCCCCTCCCCCCCTCCCCTCCTTCCCATTCCCCCCACCAGCCTCGGCACCATGGACGGCCCCAAGGGCCGAATGACATCAGCGGAGGTGGAGGGGGAGTTGCGAGCACTGGAGGGGCAGGCGCAGGTCACAGCGGTGAGTGGGTGGAGTTTTCAACGACTTGCAGGGCATTAATGGTAGGAGTGGAGGTGGAGGGGGAGGTGGAGGGGGAGTTGCGAGCACTAGAGGGGCAGGCGCAGGTCACAGCGGTGAGTGGGTGGAGTTTTCAACGACTTGCAGGGCATTAATGGTAGGAGGGGAGGTGGAGGGGGAGGTGGAGGGGGAGTTGCGAGCACTAGAGGGGCAGGCGCAGGTCACAGCGGTGAGTGGGTGGAGTTTTCAACGACTTGCAGGGCATTAATGGTAGGAGGGGAGGTGGAGGGGGAGGTGGAGGGGGAGTTGCGAGCACTAGAGGGGCAGGCGCAGGTCACAGCGGTGAGTGGGTGAATGTTCTGTTGACTTATGAGCTGACGCCTGAGTGGACTTATGGGTTGACTCGTGGATCCTGTGGGTTTCAACTCGCATAGAAACAGAGGTGGTGGAGGTGGAGGGGAAGTTGCGAGCGCTAGAGGGGAAGGCGCACACAGCGGTGAATGGGGTTGTTTCTCTTTGAATGTTGCCAGTGGGTCGCATCGCAACTTGCATAACAAGACGTGGAGGTGGAGGGGGAGGGGAAGTCGGAGGGGGGCTGCGGCAGTCCTTGCTGTGATTCCAATTCCCTTTTTGCACCCTCTCCCTTCCTTCTTCCTCTCCCGTCTCCTCCCTCCTCCCTCGCCTTCACCCTCTCACCCTTAAACGTTGAACCCAAAACTCCAACCCCCACCAGGAGCTGTACCACGAGTTGACAACTCTGGAGCAGCTGCAGCAGGTGCTGTGGTTACTCAAGTTCCTCTTGTCTCTTCCCTGTCCTCCCCTCCCCCGCCTCCCCCTTTCCCCTGTCCTCCTTCCCCCTTCTTTTCCCCCACAAGGTGTTGTACTCACGTTTCTATCTTTCGTGTCCTCCCCCTTGCTGCTCCTCCTTCCCCCTTCTTTTCCCCCACAAGGTGCTGTACCACGAGTTGGCGAGTCTGCAGCAGCTGGTGCTGTACTCACGTTTCTATTTCCTATCCCCTCCCCTGCTGCTCCTCTCCCCACCACCATCCTCCCCCTGCCTCCCCCCCACCTTTTCTCTTACCAGGAGCTGTACCACCAGTTGGCGAGTCTGCAGCAGCTGGTGCTGTACTCAAGTTTCTATCTTTCCTGTCCTCCCCCTTGCCGCTCCTCGTCCCCCCACCTTTCCCTCCCACCAGGAGCTGTACCACGAACTGGCAAATCTGGAGCAGCTGCAGCAGGTGTTGCGTTTACGCATGTTATTTTGTTCCGCTCTTCCCACTCACCCCTATTCCCCCTTCTTCCCCTCCCCCATCGTTACCCCTCTTTTCCCTCCCACCAGGAGCTGTACCACGAGCTAGCCAATCTGGAGCAGCTGTAGCAGTTGGTGCTGTACTCAAGTTGTTTCTATCTTTCCTGTCCTCCCCCCTGCTTCTCCTCTCCCCACTGCCATCTTCCCCCCCAACCTCCCCCTACCAGGAGCTGTACCACGAGTTGGCGAATCTGGAGCAGCTGCAGCAGTCACTGGACAGACGGATGAAGCAGGACACAGACTCAGCTGTCAACAGAGGTATGAATGATGCAGTGCTCCTTGTCTTGTCTCCTGGCAATCTAAGATCTAGCAAAAGGGCGAGTCTTGGAAGGCTGGACGGACGAATTAAGCAGGAGTTAGACTCTGCCAATAACAGAGGTGGATGGGGGGTGGGTGGGCAGGCGGGCGGGCGGGCGGGCGGGCGGGCGGGCGGGCGGGTGGGTAGACTGCTCGCTGGGTAATCTAGCATGAAGCAAAGGGCCGAGTGCAGCAAAGGAGAAAATAGTAAGGTGGAACATTCTCGTCCTCCGTTCCCATCGCATTCCATCCCGTCCCTTCCAACCCATCCCAACCAAACCCAACCCATATCTTCCCTGCAGAGCTGATAGCGCAGATGCGGGCAGAGCTGAAGGCACAGGAGAAGATAGTAAAAACGATGAAGAAGAAAGGGCTCTGGTCGAAAACCATGGACGAGGTGTGCTGGTGTGAGGTGGTGTGAGTGAGTGCATGCAGTATGGGTGATAGCTGTTACTATGAAGATTGTGAAAACGATGAAGGAGAAAGGGCTCTGGTCCAGAACCGTGGACGAGTTACGTTGGTGTGAGCTGTTGTGAGCGTTACTTTTGAAGTTTCACAAAAGTAAAATTCACATCGCTGGTGTGAGCTGTTGTGAGCGCATGCTGTTAAGAACGGAGGACGTATTTACTGCAGGTGGTTAAGGAGCTGGTGCAGTTCGGGTGATCACCATTTTGATACTTGGTGTTACTCACTCAACACCCCTGTGTCCTGTGTTGCCTGCACCGCAAGTGAAAATTCAAACCCGAAATGGATTGAAGGGAATGCAGGTGGTGGGTCAGGTGCGTGCGTCAGGTGGTCACCGCTTTGGTACTACATTTATTACACTCATTCAGCACCCCTTTCTCGTCTGCACTGCCTGTCTGCACTACGCTGCCTAGTTGTCTGCAGGTGGTTAAGAAGCTGGTTCAAGTGGTCACCACTTTAGTTCTTCATTCCACTCCCTCAAACCATTGTGATAATTCATGTTACTCCCTCAAATTCACTTTGTTGTCTACACTGCACGGCAGGTGGTGGAGAAGCTAGTTCAAGTGGTCATATTCCTCCACGACCAGATTGTGGACGTGTTCGGGGCCGATGGTGAGTGCCAGTTGGACCGAGGGTGCTGCTGCTTGCATGCGTCCATGCATACATGCATGCACACCTGTTGGGGGTACATGCGTGCCACAAGCTAGTCTTGCTTGCAGGTGGTGGAGAAGCTGGTTCAAGTGGTCACATTCCTCCACGACCAGATTGTGGACGTGTTCGGGGCTGATGGTGAGTGTTCCTCTTTTTGAGAATTCTCAAAAACCAGCTCTTGCTTCATGCATGACAAGCTTGCGGCCACATTACTCATGCTGCTGCCCGTCCCTCTTCCCTTCTCCGCCGCTCCCCTCCTCCCCCTTCCTCCATCTCTCTCCCAACAGTGGTGAAGGTGGGCCGACTTATGTCAGGCACGCCTTCCACAGCGGCTGATCTGAGGAAGCTCGGAGTGAACGGCATGGCGCTGCAGTACCCATCACCCCCTTCCCTCCTCCCCACTCCTGGTCACCCCCTTGCAGTGGTGAAGGTGGGTCGTCTCATGTCAGGCACGCCTCCCACAGCGGCTGATCTGAGGAAGCTCGGAGTGAACGGCATGGCGCTGCAGTACCCATCACCCCCTTCCCTCCTCCCCACTCCTGGTCACCCCCTTGCAGTGGTGAAGGTGGGTCGTCTCATGTCAGGCACGCCTCCCACAGCGGCTGATCTGAGGAAGCTCGGAGTGAACGGCATGGCGCTGCAATACGCCAACATAGTTAACATGATCGATACAATGGTATGTTTATACATTGCTCGCACTCCCTTTACCTTCATGCGGTTCCCTTCATGCCTTCCCTTGATGCCGGTGGTAGCAATCAGCAGTCAGGTGGCTGGGAGTAGAGAGGGGGTTTATTAGACGTCTCAAATATTTCCCATGATGCCGGTGGGCCGGTGGGCCGGTGGGCTGGTGGTAGCAGTCAGCAGTCAGGTGGCTGGGAGTAGAGAGGGTGTTTATGAGACATCTAAAAAAATTCCCTTGATGTTGGTGGGCCGGTGGTAGCAATCAGCAGTCAGGTGGCTGGGACTGAATGTCTGTGTTGATAGCTAACCCCTATAAATGTGAAGCATCGCAAAACTTGTTGTTTCGATGTTTTGAGACGTCTCAAAACACTTCTTCATACACGTTGCCAGTCAGGTGGCTGGGACTGAATGTCTGTGTTGATAGCTAACCCCTATAAATGTGAAGCATCGCAAAACTTGTTGTTTTGAGTGTTTTGAGACGTCTCAAAACACTTCTTCATACACGTGGCCAGTCAGGTGGCTGGGACTGAATGTCTGTGTTGATAGCTAACCCCTGTAACTGTGAAGCATCGCAAACCTTGTTGTTTTGAGACGTCTCAAAACACTTCTTCATACACGTGGCCAGTCAGGGCTGGGAGTGAATGTCTGTGTTGATAGCTAACCCTTGTAGATGTGAAGCATCGCCAAACTTATTGTTGATTTGAAACGTCTCAAAACGCTTCTTCATACACGTTGCCAGTCAGGTGGCTGGGACTGAATGTCTGTGTTGATAGCTAACCCCTGTAACTGTGAAGCATCGCAAAACTTGTTGTTTTGAGACGTCTCAAAACACTTCTTCATACACGTGGCCAGTCAGGGCTGGGAGTGAATGTCTGTGTTGATAGCTAACCCTTGTAGATGTGAAGCATCGCCAAACTTATTGTTGATTTGAAACGTCTCAAAACACTTCTTCATACACGTTGCCAGTCAGGTGGCTGGGACTGAATGTCTGTGTTGATAGCTAACCCCTGTAACTGTGAAGCATCGCAAAACTTGTTGTTTTGATTTGAAACGTCTCAAAACACTTCTTCATACACGTGGCCAGTCAGGGCTGGGAGTGAATGTCTGTGTTGATAGCTAACCCCTGTGAATGTGAAGCATCGCAGGACTTATATACCAGCCCGCCTGGTGCTTCCTCCCTTCGTTTCCAGGTGACTTTTGAGTCGACTCAAAACGAGGTGACTTTTGAGTCGACTCAAAACGAGGTGACTTTTGAGTCGACTCAAAACGAGGTGACTTTTGAGTCGACTCAAAACGAGGTGACTTTTGAGTCGACTCAAAACGAGGTGACTTTTGAGTCGACTCAAAACGAGGTGACTTTTGAGTCGACTCGAAACGAGGTGACTTTTGAGTCGACTCAAAACGAGGTGACTTTTGAGTCGACTCAAAACGAGGTGACTTTTGAGTCGACTCAAGACTTATATACCAGCCCGCCTGGTGCTTCCTCCCTTCGTTTTCCCCCCAGGTGATGCGACCAGCGTGTGTGGAGACACAGAGGGAGGCGCCCTACTCCGCCCTGCCTGCTTCTGTCTGTGGCTCATCCCATCCTCCCATGTTCCCCATGCTCCCGTGCTTCTGTCTGGGCCCATGTTCCCCTATGTCGTTTTCCCCCTCCACTCTCGCTCCCTCTCTCTCTCTCTACTTTCAGGTGATGCGGCCAGCGTGTGTGGAGACACAGAGGGAGGCGCTTTACTCCGCCCTGCCTGCTTCTGTCTGTGGGCGGTTGAAACGCACGCTGTTGCAGTCGCAAGACATAGAGCAGGTGGGTGGGGTGGGGTGTGGTGAGGTGCAGTTTGGTTTGGTAGCTGCTCTGCCTGCCTTGGTCTGTGGGCGGTTGAAACGTATGCTGCTGCAGTCGCACACTTCCACTCCCTGCCCCTCGCTCCCTCCTTCCACACCCATTTCCCCCTCTCTCTATATGCAGGAAAGCACAGAAAGCATTCGGCAGAAGATGTAGGCGGTGCTGGAGCCTGGACTGGCTGGTTGTTGATAGGATGACCCATACGCACACATACACACCCCCACCACAAACTCACGCACACGCATGCTGGCTCCCCCCTTCCCTCTCTCTCTCTCTGCAGGAGAGCACAGAGAGCATCCGACAGAAGATGGAGGCGGTGCTGGACTGGCTGGTTGTGTATGGGACGGCCCGCACACACTTATTCACAGTTATACCCATACGTATGCACACATACACCTCTTCTCTCCTACTTCCTCTCACCTCTGCAGGAGAGCATTCGGCAGAAGGTGGAGGCAGTGCTGGACTGGCTGGTTGTGTATGGGAGGCCCGTACACACACATATACACGCTCCACCACAGATTCACACGCATACATGCTGGCCCCCCTTCCCTTTCGCATTGCAGGAGAGTACGGAGAGCATCCGGCAGAAGATGGAGGCGGTGCTGGACTGGCTGGTGACCATGGCAGAAAACACCATCCGGTACGTTGGTGCTGATGATGAACTGCACCACTACATTTGTGCTGAACATTCTTTGGTGTGCTCATTCTTGGTCATGCTGAGTGGGTTTCGCATCACAAGATGGAGGCGGTGCTAGACTGGCTGGTGACCATGGCGGAAAACACCATTCGGTACGTTGGTACTGAGCATAGCATGCAACCCAACTCATTTTGAGTAACTGAGTTCATGCGTCAGAAAGCAGGTCAGTCGGCGTGCAGCAGAAGATGGAAGCAGTGCTGGACTGGCTGGTGACCATGGCAGAGAACACCATTCGGTACGTTCAGTTGGATATACAGGTATGTTACTGCGGAACGCGTTCTGAGTAACCGAGTGCATGCCTCTCAGAAGGCAAGGCAGCTTGCAGCAGAAGATGGGGGCGGTGCTGGACTGGCTGGTAACTATGGCAGAAAGCACCATTCGGTACGTTTGGATTGAGGGACTGAGTGGTTCATTTGCAGCAGGAGATGGGGGGCGGTGCTGGATTGGCTGGTGACCATGTCATGGTGTTTCTCTCGTTATACTGTCTGTCTGCTCACATGCAGGTTCGGGCTAGACAGCAGGGTGCAGGGGCACACGGACCTAACCCTCCTGCAGACGCTGCTTCAGCTCCCCACCACCTTCTTCTGTATCATCCCTCTGCCATCTACTTCTCTCTCATTCTGTATTTTCCCTGGCTATCCCCCCAGGTTCGGGCTGGACAGCAGGGTGCAGGAGCGCACAGATCTCATGCTCCTGCAGACGCTGCTTCAGCTCCTGTGACCTTCTGCCCCCATTCTCCTTCTCCCTGTCATCTTTTTCTGCTCTCTCTTCCTATCCCCCCTCCCAGGTTCGGGCTGGACACGGACTTAACTCTCCTGCAGACGCTGCAGCATGTGGATCACCTCAAGATGGAGCGCCTCGTGCTGCTGCTGCTCGTCGGCCTGCAGCACCCCCTACCCGCCCCTTCTGCCTGCCTGTGCTGTCCTCTGCTGCCCCTTCTGCCCCTGCTGCCCCCTGCCCCAGAGGCACTGCTGCTTTGGCTGTAGCACTTCCCCTGATTCCTGCACCCACCCATCGGCTGCCCACCCTTCCCCCCCTCCCAGGTTCGGGCTGGACAGCAGGGTGCAGGGGCACACGGACCTGACTCTCCTGCAGACGCTGCAGCATGTGGATCACCTCAAGATGGAGCGCCTCGTGCTGCTGCTGCTCGTCGGCCTGCAGCACCTCGCCAGCCGCAGCGCCGACAACGACTGGAGCCCCGTTCCCCGCGGGGTGGTGCTTGCTCCGGTGTATTCGCCGAGGGTTCTGTCTCCCGATCGCGCCGGTTCTTCTGCTGATGGTGGTGCTGCTGGTGGCTCTGGTGGTTCTGCTGGTGGTGGGGATGGTGTTGGTGTTGTTGTTGGTGATGGGGCTGAAGCGGTTGCTGCTGCTGCGGGTGAATCAGATGGGCTGGTGGTTCGTGCTAATGGGGAGAAGACTGGAGAGACAGGAGAGCAAAGTATCAGTGCTGAAACAATTTCTGGCAAGGAGGGTACCCCTGCCGCTGCTGCTGCTCCTGCTGCCGGCCTTTCGGCTGCTTCTGAGGAGGCAAGTGCGTCTGCAGCAACAGATGAGTTCCGGTTCCCAGTGCCCAAGTCCTCTTCGGTAGAGTCACAGGGGGCAGCTGAAGCAGCTGCTGCAGCAGCAGCAGCAACAGCAGCAGCAGGAGCAGCAGCAGGAGGAGGGGGAGGTAAGGAGGAAGAGCCAGTAGTGCCGCCCATTTCTCTCTCCCGCGCCCGTCGAGGCCTCTCTGAGAGCGTCCCAACAGTGGATGACTGGGAAACCCTCCCTCGGCGCATTGCAGCAATGGAAGAGGAGGAGAAGGCACGGGCAGAAGAAGGGGGTGCGGTTTCTGCCGCAGCAGAGGGGTTGGGGGTTGTGGAAACTGGTCGGCCTCGATCGGCTGGGCTTGAACCTGGTGCGGTGGATGCGGCAGGCTCGGCCGAGCCTCCGGTGTGGCGGCAGGTTCGGCAGGCTTCTCTTACTGAAGCTTCGCTTGAGCCGGTACCAGAGGTGGAGGTGATGGAAGGGGAGGAGGGCGAGGGAGAGGGAGGGGAGGAGGGAGAGGGAGAGGGAGAGGGAGAGAAGGGAGAGCGCGAGGAGGGAGAGGAGGAAGAGGAGGAGGTGCATGAGAAAGAGAAAGACGATCTGTTGGCTCCTCTAGCATCTAAGACCGGGGGAGGTGGTGGGAGTCGACCGTCTAGCAGCGGAGGGAAGCCTGCCACTGCTGCTGCTTCAACAACAGAGGTTGCGGAATCTCCTGCTGCTGCTGCTCGTAGGGCGCTAGCTAGCGGCATGGGCACCAGCCGGAAGAGTTTGGAAAACGCCCTGCGCATGGGGGGTAATGCGGGTAAACGCCCGGTCGATGCCGCCGGAGCGTTCGGAAGCCCGTTCGACCGAACCAAGCTGCCAGGCTCGGCAGCAGGCTCGGGCGCGGCAGGCTCGGGGCCGTTGGCCGGCGAAGCGCTGCTGGCAGCGATGACCATGAGCCAGGGCTTTGGTCCGGCAGCCCGAGGCGCAGCTTCGGAAGAGATGATGGAGGCGATGCGGGAGGCCACGTACGGCCGAAGCAGGAGCCACACGTTTGCCATGGCGGCTCGGCCCGAGCCTAACCCTCGGTTCTTCACGAAATCTCTAAGCAGATACAACCTGCTGAGACGCATGGAGGCTGAGGAAGCAGGGGGAGGTGGTGGTGGTGGTGGTGGTGCGGGCAGCAGCAGTGCAGGAGGGTCAATCTTTGTAGCGCCTCAGAGGTTCCTACCGATGACTCCTGCAACGGTAGATGTGGATCGGATTCACGATGTGAAGCCTGATCTGGACCTCACCAGTGTGGCTGCACCTAGACTGGGAGGCAGACTAGTGTAGTGCACTCCACACCTGCTGTGGTGCTGCCGGTGCTGCCGGTGCTGCTGGTGCTGCTGGTGCTGCCGGTGCTGCTAGTAGTGGCTGAAGGGAAGCGGATGACTCCTGCAACGGTGGATGTAGACCGAATCCATGATGTGAAGCCTGATCTGGATCTCACCAGTGTGGCCGCGCCTAGACTGGGAGGCAGACTACTGTAGCCCACCCCACACCTGCTGTGGTGCTGCTGGTGCTAACTGCCGGTGCTGCCGGTGCTGCCGGTGCTGCCGGTGCTGCCGGTGCTGCCGGTGCTGCCGGTGCTGCTAGTGCAATGGGTTGCTGAAGGGAAGCGGATGGCTCCTGCAACAGTGGATGTGGATCGGATTCATGACGTGAAGCCTGATCTGGACCTCACCAGTGTGGCTGCACCTAGGCTGGGAGGGAGACTGGTGTAGCCCACTCCACACCTGCTGCTGCTGCTCCTGCTGCTGCTGCTGGTAGGGCTGCTGGTGGTAGGGGTTGACTGGGGCCAGTATTCACGACATGAAGCCTGATCTGGACCTCACCAGTGTGGCCACGCCTAGACTGGGAGGGAGATTGGTGTAGGACTGCTGCTGCTGGTAGGGCTGGTGCTGGGTTTGCTGCTGCCACTGCAGCTGGTGCTGGTATTTTATTAGTAGGTTTAACTGTGTAATTCTTTGCTGGTATAGTTTGCTGCTGGTGTTGCTGCATGGTGGCAGGCAGATCAATGATGGAGGTTTCACGAGGGTGGTTTTCTCTTCCACCCTAACAATCAGGGCAATCGGGACAATACCCAGGTTTATAAAAGGAATGTAAAAGGTACGGCTGAAGAGGGGATAGTTTGATTCTTTTGATCCTAAGAATGTACCCTGCAAAATATTTATGGTAGGTGGCATGGTGCATGCTAGTCCATCTGCAAGCATGTTCCTCTGTAGTGGTGGTTGTAGTACTCAATATACCACGTAAGATTGGTGGTGTATCATCATTCTGGTAGGTTGGTATTTCTGCTGATAGTGGTACCGTAGTTTGTTCTTATCTTGCAGTACACCATCAATATAGTATATTTTAGCGCTGTTCTGTAGGAGGGAGTTCTGTGATATCTGTTCGTCGTGGGTATGCTTGCATTGCGATGCTTTGCCCAGAGACTGGGTACGGTGCATTTTCCCTTATCAGTCATCTCGGGCCCGGGGCAGGATGTCCATCAGGCAAGTCATTCCTACAGTGGGGACTGTGTGCACTAGGAGCATCAACACCACAAACTCTCAGACCTGATGTAAGAATGTATTTACAAATCAGGAGTATATGAAGACAAGCGTGGTGTCCCTACTCTAGCCTGGAAGTCCGAATCACTAATAGCAAACCAAATCAGATGTGAAAGTGTAAGAACGTTGTGACCTAAGTGTAATCTTGTGGGTTGGTGCTAAATCTCAGCTCTCTTGCTCTCCTGCTGTTGTTGCTGCTGCTGCTGCTCCTGTTGTTGCTGCTGCTGCTCCTGTTGTTGCTGCTGTTGCTGCCCTAGTTGGTGATGCTGGTGCCACCAGTACCATCTTTCACTCTTGAATTGGGCTCGTTGCCCCAACACCACTTCCTTTTCCCTTGGAGTTGCTAGTGCTGCTGCTGCTAATAATGATGCTGCACCGCTGCTGATGGTGTGATGGTGGTTATGATGGTGCCACCAATACTAACCATCTCTCGCCCTTATATTGCACTCGTTGTTCCAACACCACTCCAGCCCGTTCTGCTGCTAATGCTGCTTTCAGGGCACCTCAAAAGCCTTGCAGTGCATTCGCTGCTCCATCCCCATTCCCACTCTTTGTGCTGCTAGTGCCGCTGCTGTTGTTCTTGCTGTTGCTCTTGCTGTGGCTGCGGCTGCTGCTGTGGCTGATCTGGGTGGTGTTGATGATGGTGAGTGTGTACCTTGGCAGGGGGAGGGCAGCTGCAGCAGCGGGCAACCACACAGCAGCAGCAGCACGTCGAGCAGTAACCTCCGCTCTTCCGCCACCAGTGGTGCCAAACCCGCCTGCTCTTGCACTGCGTTACCCTCTGCTCCCTCCTCTGCGCCCCTCTCTGCTCGCCCCTCTCCGCTCCCCGCTGCTCTACCCCCTGCTCTCCTTCTCTCCCTTGCTGCTGCTCCTGCTGCTGCCTCTCTGCTTCCAAGAAAGCGTCTAACGCAGCTGAGGTCTCTGCTGCTGCTTTGAACTCGCCTATCACCAACCGGAGTATACACAATACTGCAGCCAGTGCAGCCGAAATCAGCATTGCAAACACCAGCCTCCAACCTAAATCTCCAGCTCCTTTCTCCCCGCCCCCAATCTCTGCCACTATCCCCGTTAGAAAAGGACCCAGAGCAGCCCCGAGCGACCCTGTGCCATCAATAATCGCAGTAACCGTAGCCAACCCCTTGGAATTCCCTCGGAGCGACGCGTGCTGCCCCAGATCAGCAGAAACAGCACAAGTGATAAGCGCGTAGGGCCCGTTCACAAAGAACCCGACCAGTGAAAGGAGCCCTATATGCACAGAGAGCGAAATTCCGCCCAGGAGAGAGTAAAGGAGGAGGGACGGAATGGCTAGGAGCATGAATGAGGCAGAAACAGTGGCGTGCGCGCCTGTATGGTCGGAGAGATGGCCTGCCACTATCCCCCCCAGCACCCCCCCTAAGTCAAAGACTGTTGAAGTCACTCCAGCAAAAGCGTCGGATAGATGGTGCCCTGCTATCTCTGCTCAAAGGGGTGTGGGGAAAAGAAGGGAGGGGGAGAAAGAGGAGAGAGCAGTGAGCAGGGGAGCAGGAGGGCATTTGTGTGGTCGGAGATATGGCCCGCTACTATTTCCCCCAGCACCCTCTCCCCCTCCACAAAGCCTGTCGATGTCACACCGTCAAACGCTTGGGTTAGAAGGTGGCTTGCCTAGTTAAATAGTTGAAGTTATCTACACTGATATTTCCTTTCTCTCTTTTAGCTAGGAGTACAGTACAAACATTCCGCTTACCTGTGCGCTTGATGTAGAACGGGAGCCAGTACAGGAACGTGTACGCCACAAGCTTAGCGAAGAACAAGCATAACGCGTACGCCGCAACGCCAGGGATGCGACACGCGTCCCAGAAACTGATCGCCTCGTGCTCCTCGCCGCTCCCCTCCATCCCCGCTTTAAGCACATCCTCTGTTATCACAATCGGGCCTTCCCCTTCCGGACCCGCATCATCCTTCCCCTGTAAGAGCGGCACTGTAAGCTGATCCGATACTGAAGCATAAGCAGCTTCTTTAGGAGCTAACAGGGTACCATCGAAACCAGCCGCCACGTCAGCAGCCACGTCAGCGCATTCAACAGCCCCGAAGCCTGACTCCTCGTCCCCCTCACCGTGCACGCTTCCACCAGCCTCACTCGACGATTCCGACAGCAGCAGCGAATGCGGCGACTCCAGCCCTATGGTTTCCGGCTCCGGCGCGAGAAACAGAAACATCACCAGCGCTCCCGCCATGATGCTAAACCCGGGGACGAGAAAGGCCCAGCCCCAGCCGCTTGCAAGCGCGGAAGAAGCGATAAGCGATCCGAGAATGTTGCCGACGGAGGTGTGTGCGTTCCACACGCCGAGAATCAGTCCGCGGCCTTTTTTCCCGTACCAACTCGCCATAATCGCGACGACGCTCGGCCACCCCGTCGCCTGGAGGAACCCCGCGGCCATTTGCACAACGGCGAAGTAGTTTAACGAGTGTATATCCCAGAAATACCCCATGCCGAAGAGGGATACGAATAAGCCGCTGCCGAACATCCCCACGGAGAGAAAGACGCGGAGGTCGATTCGGTCGCCGACGTGGCCGGCGATGTACATGCCGATCGCGTAGCATCCCAGAAACGCGATATCGAGTTCCCCGAGAAGAGATTTCCCATTTTTACCGTTGAAAGGAGCCCATCCGGCTTTTTTTTCTGCCCGCAGGAGGGCGTTTTCTGGGTGGGTTTCCAGCCGCTGGAGGTAGAACGTCCAGGGGTTGTTTGTAACGGAGTTGCCTGTATCGAGAGGGTCGAGCACGCCCTTGACAATGCTGGGAGGCTTTCGCGAGGCGTGGTATAACGCGTATGCGATGAAGGTGAGAATGAGGACGAAAATCTGGTGCGTCGCGAAGGAAAAATCCTTTGGCCGGAAGCGACGGAGGAGAGCCAGGCCCGGCGGCGCGGTGGAACACGCGCGGGAAACCATCGCGCCGCAATGAGCTGTTCTAAGCTTCACCTACGGTCCCAGTAGGCCTGTTCTTTGGCCTTCACAAAATAACACGATACGACCAAAGAGCAACAGCTAATGACTGAGGAATACGATGCCTTGCTGGTGGTATTTACACGCACAGCTGCGACGAGACCTGAAATGCGAGGCAGTAGGGAGAACTCACATGCTTCTGCGGCTAAAATGACTGCTCCCACCACAAGCAGAAATCAACAGGGACCACCAAGTGTTCTCAAGACCTTGATTCCAAGCAGCCATGGATGATGGGATTCTCCCTTCTTCCTCGTCATCTGAGGGACAACGCGGACAGGTTCGATGGTGCTCCTTGAGATTGGTTGTTGACCCAGGAAGGAAGGAGGTACTGTAGAGGGGCAGAACGTAATCTTGAGAAGCTGACCGGCTGATTGGAAAAACAGTTCATCTCAAGACATGTAGGGTGGAAAGGAAGCCTTCCTGAGGAGAAGGGAGTTCAAAGGGGTGTTTGCAAAGTGCGAGACTGTTTCGCTTGGGCAGGTCTGCCTGAAAGGGGATCGATCTGACCAGAAACTATCAGACGATGACCCTGGATGGTCGGATGTCGTCCATTCCCGATGACTGCGGTTTGGGGCTGGCGCCACCGCGTCGCCTTGGTTCGTGCGCGAAATGGAGCTGATTGGTTGCCGGGAATATTCCCTTCAGTTGATTCCTTCTCGAGATTGGTCCGCGCGAACAAGTCAGCATGAAGTTCTCCACACACTGCTCGCCTTGTCACTGTCAAGGGCTGCACAGCCTTGGGAATTTGCCAGCCCATTTCAGACACGCTTCGACTGGACGGACTCGGAGGATTCCAGCATGGTGAGACGATCTCGTTTTCAATACAGCATCCCAATTTTGAAAATACAGCCAGAAGTACGACGCTTATCTTACTAAATTGCACAATGATGACAAAACTGAGGGGTGTCGAGCACTACTTGAAGAATCCACCCTTGAAACCTTTGTAACCCTTGTGCTTTCCATAATAACCTGCACTCCACCACCAAACCAGCAGGCGATACAAAGAACTTCAGGAAAATACTGATAGGGATTAATTGGTGCAAGCAACGGAAGGGTAAGGTCTCACGTGTACTATAGAGGACAGAGCACAGGATAGAGAACAGGAGGACACAAGATGGTGAAACAGGTCATCAAAGCAGATATCAGTACAATCATGATTCATCACACTGCTACAGATCATGTCGTCAATGACACACATATGCAGTAAAGCCCGCGAAACAACATGACGGCTGTAATGCATAATGGCACAGACCAGCATGTACCACAATTCATGATGCATGTAACATGATGTATGATGGAGACAGAACAACGCCCTATGGAAGTCCATGAGAATGCACCACCACCACAGGATGGGTGCTGTAGTGAGAATAGTACCCTCGAGGGAGCCGCAGCATAGCCATATGGGGCGGGAGGAGGAGGATATGGATGCCATGATGTTACCACCATGATGGGCCATAATGTTACAACTCATGTTCCATAATGTTACAAACTTACGTACCATGATGCCCATGGCCATGAACCACCACCACACGTGGCTGCGTGCTGTAGTGAGAATAGTACCCCTGAGGGGCTGTGCCGCAGTAATAAACCTACCTCATGACTATGTGATCTCACACCATCACCATCACACGTACCATGATGCCCATGTCCGTGCACCACCACCACACGTGGCTGGGTGCTGTAGTGAGAATAGTATCCCTGAAAGGCCGTGCTGCAGTATTAAACCTACCTCATGATCATGTGATCTCACACCATCACACCATCACCATCACACGTACCATGATGCCCGTCCCATGCACAAATCGCGGCTGGGTGCTGTAGTGAGGAAATACGCCTGAAGGGCTGTTCTGTAGTGATGCATTATCAAACTTACCTCATGACTATGTGATCTCACACCATCACACCATCACACCATCACACCATCACACCATCACACCATCACCATCACACGTACCATGATGCCCATGTCGATGCACCACCACGACACGTGGCTGGGTGCTGTAGTGAGAATAGTACCCCTGAGGGGCCGAGCCATAGCCATACGGGGCTGGGAGAGGGAGATCTGAATGCCATGATGCTATACACACGTACCATGATGCCCATGTCTGTGCACAACCACCACACGTGGCTGCGTGCTGTAGTGAGAATAGCACCCCTGAGGGGCCGAGCCATAGCCATACGGGGCAGGAGGAGGGGGATAGGGAATGTAGGGAGGAGGAGGATGGCCGTACGAGGCAGGAGGAGGAGCGTATGGATACCCATATTGGGGAGCTTGAGAAGGTGGGGGGTATGCGGAATATCCATAAGGAGGGTTTTGAGGAGGAGGATAACTGTACGGGGGAGGAGGGTAAGCACCCTGAGAGGGAGGGGGAGGATAGGCGGATTGAGAGGGAGGGGGAGGGGGATATGCGGATTGAGAAGGTGGGGGAGGGGGAGGATAAGCTGACTGAGAAGGAGGGGAAGGAGGGGGGGGATAGGAGCCCTGGGAGGGGGGAGGAGGCGGATACGCGTTTTGAGAGGCAGGAGGGGGAGGGGGATAAGCTGCTTGAGAGGAGGACGAGGGAGGGGGAGGATATGCGTTAGGTTGGGGAGGAGGGTGGTTGACTGGTGGCGCTGCTGCTGGTGCTGCCGCTGGTGCTGGTGCTGGTGCTGGTGATGGTGCTGGTACTGGTGCTGGTGCTAGTGCTTCTGGTGCTGCTGCTGCTGCTGCTGGTGGTGGTGGTGCTGCTGCTGCTGCCGCTGCTGCAGCACCACCAATTGCAAGACCACCCATGGCTGCCCCAACGGCTGCTACAGCTGCCGCATCCTCCCCTGTGCGTGCTCCACCACTCCCCCCTGTGATCCCTGCTGCTGCTGTGGACTGAGGGGGATAGTTGTAGGGGTGAGTGGGAGGAGGGGAGGGGGGTGCTCCACCACCCCCCCCTGTGTGCCCTGCTGCTGCTGTGGACTGAGGGGGATAGTTGTTGTACGGGTGAGTGGGAGGCCGGGAAGGGGGTGGGGCTGCTGTGGGGTGAGGGGGGTAGTTGTAGGGGTGAGTGGGCGGAGGGGATCGGGGTGGGGAGGGGACTGGAGATTGAGGGGGAGAGAGAGGGGGGGCAGATGGGGGCCCACTGGAGTGTACTCTTGGATAGTCCCTACTACCGGGGTAGGTAGAAGAAGCAGCAGAAGGAGGGGGAGCAGCACCACCACCACCATTTCCAGGGTAGTTGCCATAACCACCACCACCAGCAGCAGAACTACCAGCGGCAGGACCAGAACCAGCAGCACCAGCAGACCCAGCACTACCAGCACCAAGAGGTGAAGGAGCAAGAGGAGAAGGTGGGTAGAGATGAGCTGATGGCGCTGAGACCTGGTGGCCGAAGGAGAAAGCTGGGTCTGAGGAAGAGTACTGGCTGTGGAAGGAGGAGGATGGGGAGTCTGACGAGGAGGAAAGGTGGGATGAGAGGGAGGGAGAATGGGTGTGGAAGGACGGGGAGGAGGGTGGCTGGGAACGTGGGCTGTGCGGCAGAGAAGGGTAGGGAGATGGGTACAGATTGGTCTGGTCCGGTGATCGAGCCGCCTCAGAAATCGGCTGTGGCGGTGGGGGATAGAGGGGTGGGTTTGGCTGGGGTTGGGGAGGGGAAGGGTAGAGTGATTGGGGCGGAGGAAAGGCGGGGGGTTGAGATGGCTGCTGCCGTGGTGATGAGGTGTAGTGGTCAGGAAGGGGAACGGGTGCTCTCTGCTGCTGCTCCTGCTGCTGCCGCTGCTGCTGCTGCTGCTGCACCTGCTGCTGCTGCTGCTGCCGTTGGGGAATGCATGGTAGAAGGAAGTGCGGATGCGTTCGGCTGGGACTGGACCAACGAGTAATCAGGGAAAAAAAATAGAGTAGAAACGAAAACAAATCACAATAAAATAATTATACATTCAAGCATCCATTGAGTGACGAATCGCTTGGGAAAATGACATTCAGTTGTGGAACCAAAACAAACACAAAGAACAAGCTAGGGAACATGATAAAGGGTACTTCTTACAGGGATATACTTCATAACGAGGCGAATATAACCCTTCTGCCTGCAAAGCAACCCCAAGAGCAGCACAGGGAAAGCAAGACGGTGAGAGGAGTTTTTAGTCACCTGAAAATAAAACCATTTCGCATGCATAAAAATGGCAGGAGCAGCAGAGGGAAAGAAAGGAGGAGTAGAGTAAGTGTATATTTGAGTCTCTCCAGGCTAGAAAGATGTACAAAAGGTTGATTTGTCAGAAGAAAAAAACGTCTTTTGCTAAAAAAAAATCAAGATGTTGCAAAAGAATACGGCCAAGTGGACAGAATCGAGTTTCTGAAAAGGGTTTGCACATGAAATCAACCAGGAATGCCTCCTGAGGCGCTTCAAGAAGGCATACAGACAGAATCAATCAACCAGGGAGACAAGCTACACATGTGGACCGCGCAAAAGCATGGATGTGTCTGCGCAATCTCTTTCGAGACTTCGAGTTTCATTTCCAATCGCTTCATAAATATGTTCGAGCAGAATCAGTCAAGCTAAGGAGATCTGAATGCAACTCCTGTCCAAATCCCTGCTGGATAAGCAGACTCGACTCAAAACGACGTGAAGATAGGCATGGTTCGCAGTGCACGCAAGATGGGAAGTGGATGCAGGCCGAAGCAAAGCAGCATCACGATTATGTTTCTTAGTGAAGAGAGGGTGCCATGTGTTTCACAATTCTGCTGTCAGTGCTGGTTCTGAAGAAAAGTTCCGAGTCGACTCAAACCAAACACACATGCGCTGACGTGAATGAATGCAGGCCAAAGCCAACCAAAGCCATACTTTTGTTTCTTAGTGAAGAGAGGATGCCACGTGTCCCACACCTGTGCTGTCAGTGCTGGCTGGAAGTTCACCCTAAGCGAAATTTGCGGTAAGAGTCAGTGCAAGGAAGAAAAACAAGGGGGAGACGCCAACTGAATGGCTGGCTGCGGGACGAATATTTCTGCTCTGCTGTCAGTGCTGGCTGAAAGTTTCCTGAACGATGTTTAGGAGTTAGTGCAAGGAAGAAAGAAATGGGGAATGCAAAATGCGTTATTGACGCGCCACATGACGAAGGTTTCTGCTGTCAGTGCAGTGCTGCTTGAACGTTCACTTTGAGGAAAAAGTGAGTTGTGAATGGATCTATGCAGGCAGTCTGAGCTGCAAAGAACAGATAATTAGTGGAACGGTGCAGCAGGCAATCAAAGTGGTTCAGAGGGCAATCGGAATGGCGCAGAGGATAACAAATGTGGTAGGGAATTTTTAGGGGCTGAAGTATGCATTCAGTATGATAAAAGGGTTGATAACTATGTTTTTCCATTTGACATGGTAACCCACTACGGACGTATCAAGACATCTCAGACGACTTCTGAGGCGAGCTATGTTGATGTTACTTTTGAGAATTCTAAAAAAGAACATCAACATTGGGGCGCCTCAAAAGTGGATTTGACATGGTAGCCCACTACGGACATATCAAGACATCTCAGGTCTTACAACCCAGAACTTTTAAAAGCTCTTGGAAAATCATTGAAAACGCACTAACGACCTGTATGAGGCGTTTTTGAGACCCAAAACGCACCAAGAATGGATGGAATTAGGAATTATGGTTGGATGGATGGATGGATGGATGGATGGATGGATGGATGGATGGATGGATGGATGGATGGATGGATGGATGGATGGATGGATGGATGGATGGATGGATGGATGGATGGATGGATGGATGGATGGATGGATGGATGGATGGATCAACCCTCAAACGTGTACTGACCAACCAATCACAACAGGCACGGCAGGCAGGGGGTACGTACGAGCAGTGGCCAATCAGAACGTCCCTGCGCTTGTTCTTGTCCCATACATGGCATTCCAAGGTGCTGACGCCGGCATTCAGCTGCAGCTGAAACGTCTCGTTCCACACAGGGGTGATGTGGCCGTCTGTAGGGACGAAGGAGGGCAGGGGAAATGCAAAAAGCGAAGAGAGGAGCTCAGGAGAACAGTGACTACCTGCTTGCATCTCTGGCCTCTGATGCAGCCGAAACGTCTCGTTCCACACAGGGGAGGTGTGGCCGTCTGTGGGGACGAACAAGGGCAGGGGAGATGGAGAAAGCGAAGAGAGGAGCTCAGGAGAAGAGTGACTGCCTTCTTGCATCTCTGGCCTCAGCTGCACTTTTGAGGCGCCTCAAAGTCCTCAGCTGCAGCTGAAACATCTCGTTCCACACAGGGGTGGTGTGGCCGTCTGTGGGAGTGAGGGGATAGGAGACGGAGGAAGAGAGGAACTGGTAGAGAGAGCTGGTGCCTGCACTGCACCACATGGTTAAAATGCTGAAAATGATTGAAAATGCGAGTGAGGAGCTAAGCACCTTGGGGGGGGTCTTGGTGCAGTGCTGCTGATTGCCATTCCGTACTGGTTTTTGAGAATTCTCAAAAACCAGCTCGTAGAACTCAGCAGGAACCCTACCTTGTTTGCTGCACAAGCGACCTACATTGATGAGTCTTGGTTTGCTGCTGCTGGTAACCATACTGTAACACCAAGGGAGGGTCCTGCTTGCTTGCCACTCACCTGTCTATGTCCCACCAAAGAAGCATCCCCGCAAGCAGCCTACCTTGATGTGTCTTGGTTCGCTGTTGCTGGTTACCATACTGTAACACCACGTAAGGGTCCTGCTTCCCGTACAACTCCACGTCATCTAGATCCTTGCAGCCCACGACTGGTGTGGTGCCACGTGGCAAATTGGGGGAAAAACGGAAAGGGGAAGAAGAGGGGGGGGGTGGGGAGGGGAGGGAAGGGGGGGTGTTGGGAGGAAATACTGAGTTTGCTTGTGTGCTTTTTTTATTGTCATGAAAAAAAGGTTAAGAGGATGTTTCTTATAAAGGACCGAGCCTCGCTATTCCAAACGATAAAATAACGACCAACGACTAAGGAGCAACGAGAGAGAAACGAGTCGAGAGCGACGAGTAGAAAGCGACGGTCAACGAATAGCAAGCTTGTAAAACTATTCCAACGGCGCTTGGAATCACACGATTTCTTCACCTTCCTGGAAGTACCGTGTGACGTGACGTCTTTAAGTAGTTCTCCTCACGTCTGACGTCACGTCTTTCATTAACTGACTAAAACGACATTCGACATTTCGTTCAACCTACGCCGAAGTCTGAAGCGACAATTCCGTTGGCTGGCGTTTCCCGATATTGGGCGTTCTTTTCTGACAAAGAGTCGAGCAGATTCAGTTCAGGTCAAACTTTATAATCTGACACTTCTCTAGCAAGCGATTATTTTCTCACCCGTGACGTCTAGCCAGCCAGACGCCATGACCGCCGGGCCGGCTGAACCTTTGCCGCTGCTCTCGCCTTTTTTTCCCCTACCCTCTTTGTAAAATGACGCGTTCTGAAAATCGAGACACGAGCAACGATCTTGAATGAGCAACGTAAGAAGGAACCTCGGGTGAGTCTAAGGAAGACATATTCCTACTGATTACGGACGAGGCAATGGCTAAGAAATGAGGTGAGAGGACCTAGTAAGCCAATTCCTGCCACTCTGTCTGATTGATCTGTTTTTCTAGGAACTCACAATTCTCAAGCACATACATACAGCTGATGCTCACCCCATGCACGCGAATTTGCCTTGCGCCGGATGGATACGCTGCACCCGAGGTTGTTTCCCCAGCTTCATGCACCTACATTACAAGCGCGTCGCGTGGTTATCAACCAGTAGTAACGAACAGACCGACGTCAAACTAGGTACAGACCGAAGTCAAGCAGAGGAGACTGAAGTCAAACTAGGTTACAGATCTTGTTTATAAGCACATGCGAATCATTTTTAGCTAGCTGCGAATTGCCGAAACTTATGCGAAATGCTCGTGACAGCTTATACGACAGGTGTACTCGTTTAGGGAGGATGCCACAGTTATGGACATCACCGCTTTAGACCGTTGGGCGCCAAGCTGAACCCTCGTAAAATAAGGAATATGTTTGCGTGACCCATTCTGTGCTCAATCTTGCTTCCAACAGAACCAGCCAGGTGAGATGGAATGGTCTCACCTATCAGGTGCGCCTGACTGAAATCTCGACTCTTGTCAGTTTCAGTACAGTACCCTCTTGAAAATCCGAATCCGAGATACGGTGTGTGTACTAGGACCAGAAAAAACACCGGCTGAATAGAAAAACATAAAAGATCATACATTGCAAGTGCGCTTTATCCACTAGCTGCTTCCTCTTCTTATCACAATGCAGCTTGCCTTTCTACTTGTGAACTTCGTGTGAGCACTTTCCATGATGATTCCAGGCATACAGTAGCAGCTTCTTGCTTCTACGGTATGTTCTTTGTGACTGTTAGGTTGCCACTGTAATTGTAATCAACCGCCACTTTCATATATGGCAGGGCAGGCAGGGCATGGCATCACTGGGGGTAGGGCATTGTGTCACGCTTTGTGAATAAGGAGGATAGGGTGTAGGTACTTGGCGACAGAGATATACGGTAATAAGGAGCAGGTTTAGGAGGGGAGCTTGGACATGCACCAGGTAGTCCTTCCGATTAGGCTGACAACATCCTGCATAGCATACCTAGTACCATGTCTTGGTACTGTCTTGGGAGTTGCAAACACAACCTTGGGAGTTGCAAGGAATGATAAGCATTACTTGAAGAAGAATCCACCTTTGAAACCTTTGTAGCCCTTGCCTTTACCATAATAATCTGCACTCCAACCCACCATCACAGCAATAGGTGATACAAGGGATAAAAAGACACACGGGTAGGGAATGAATAATAACACATGGAAAGGAACTGAAAGATGGCAGATTTTAACTTAACAGAGAGCAGGGCACACTTGAGGAGAATGTGAAACAGGAAGGCTGAGTGCAGACAAATAACAAGAACAGGGTGTACATCCACGCGCAATGATGTAAGATGCACGTACCATGATGCCCATGATGATGAACCACCACCACAGGTCTGGTGCTGTACTGAGAGCAATACCCATGACGGGCAGCAGTGTTGCATTGCTGAACACCTAGGATTGCATCACTCTGCAACGTCGCACTATCACACGTAGATTACACGCAATATCGCTCATCACACGTACCATGATGCCCATGGTGATGCACAACCACCATTGGCCAGCTGTTGTACTGGGAACAATACCCTTGAACAGCACACCAGCGGTAACACATGATCACACGTACCATGATGCCCATGGTGATGCACAACCACCACAGGACAGGGGTTGTATTGAGAATAATATTCTTGAGTTGTCATGTCATAATGTCGCACTGGAGCATACATACACTGTGCAATGCCACACTGATCACATCACACGTACCGTGATGCCCATGGCGATGCACCACCACCATAGGCCGCGTGCTGTACTGAGAATAATGCCTTTGAGTTGTCATGTCATATGCCGCACTGGAGCTTGCACTGTGCAATACCTCACCTGATCACACGACACGTACCATGATGCCCATGGTGGTGCACCACTACCACAGGCCGCGTGTTGTACTGAGAATAATACCCAGGAGGAGGGGTCCCATAGCCATACGGGGCAGGGGGAGGAGTGTAAGGGTATCCATATGGGGAAGCTTGAGAAGGCGGGAGGTAAACAGGGAATTTCTAGGAATTCTTAAAAAAAAAACCTTCAAGCACGTACCATGATGCCCATGGCGATGCACCACCACCACAGGCCGGGGGGGGTTGTACTGAGAATAATACCCAGGAGGAGGGGCCCCATAGACATAATGGGCGGGAGGAGGGGCATAGGAAGCAGGAGGAGGAGGAGGAGGATGGCCGTATGGGGCAGGAGGAGGAGCGTAAGGATACCCATAGGGGGGAGCTTGAGAAGGTGGGGGGTAACCGGGGTATCCGTAAGGAGAGGGTTGAGGGGGGAGGATAGCCGTAGGGAGGAGGAGGATAGGGGCCTTGAGAGGAGGGTGGAGGATAGGGGTTCTGAGAGGGAGGGGGAGGAGGATAGGAGTCCTGAGAGGAAGGGGGAGGAGGAGGATAGGAGTCCTGAGAGAGTGGAGGGGGATATGCGTTTTGAGCAGGAGGGTGTGCAGCTGCTGGTGCTGCTGCTGGTGCTGCTGGTGCTGGTGCTGCTGGTGCTGCTGGTGCTGCTGCTGCTGGTGCTGGTGCTGGTGCTGGTGCTGCTGCTGCTGGTGCTGGTGCTGGTGCTGCTGCTGCTGCTGCTGGTGCTGGTGCTGGTGCTGGTGCTGCTGCTGCTGCTGCTGCTGCTGCTGGTGCTGCTGCTGCTGGTGGCGCTGCTGCTGGTTCTGCTACTGGCGGTGATGATGCTGCTGGCAGGGGTGCTGCTGCTACACCACCACCCCCGCTCCCAGCAGCACCAATAGCCAGAGCACCCATTGCCACCCCAACTGCTGTAACAGCTGCTACACCACCCCCTGTGTACTCTCCAGCACTAGCAGCTGCCTGCACAGGCTGCTGCTGCCCTCCTGCACTGGGTGCTGGTTGGTGGAAATACTCTGCTGCTGCCGCTGTGGCTCGTGGGGGGTAGCTGTAAGGGTAACTGGGAGGAGGGGTGGCGGATGGGGAGGGAGAAGGGTAGGTGGGAGGAGGGGAGGGAAGTGGGGGAGCGGCTGCAGCAGGGGGAGCAGCAGCAGCAGGAGCAGCAGCAGCAGCAGGAGGAGCAGCAGCAGCAGGAGCAGCAGCAGCAGGGGGAGCAGAAGCAGCAGGGGGAGCAGCAGCAGCAGTGGCAGCAGCAGCAGTGGCAGCAGCAGCAGTGGCAGCAGCAGCAGAGGGAGCAGCAGAGGGAGCAGCAGAGCCCCAAGAATCACTTGCTGCAGGCACTGTTGATTGAGAAAGAGGGAGAGGAGCGGGGGGGTAGACTTGCTGGGTAACAGGGGGAGGGGGAGCGGGGGAGTAGTTTTGCTGGTTAGCAGTGGGCGGAGGAGCAGCGGGGGAGTAGACTTGCTGGGTAACAGGGGGAGGGGCAGCGGGGGAGTAGTTTTGCTGGTTAGCAGTGGGCGGAGGAGCAGCGGGGGGGTAGACTTGCTGGGTAACAGGGGGAGGGGGAGCGGGGGAGTAGTCCTGCTGGTTAGCAGGGGGCGGAGGAGGAGCAGGGGAATATACTTGCTGATTAGAAGGAGGAGGAGTGGGGGAATAGAGTTGCTGGTTAGAAGGAGGAGGGGGGGCAGCGGGAGAGTACTCCTGCTGGTTTGCAGGGCGCGGAGGAATAGGGGGGTAGACTTGTTGGTTAGCAGCGGGAGGGGGAGCGGGGGAGTAGCTCTGCTGGTTAGCAGGGGGAGGAGGAGCGGGGGGATAGACCTGCTGGTTAGAAGGAGGCTCAGGAGGAGGAGTGTTGGAGGGGTAGGGTTGGTTAGCAGGGGGAGGAGGTGGTTGTGCATGGGGTTGGGGAGGAGGAGGGTAGAGTGTGTGGGGAGGAGGAGGGGTGGGGGAGTGAGAGGGCTGCTGCTGTGGTGTTGCGGTGTAATAGCTGGGAATGCTAGCTGATGCTTTTGATGCTCTTGCTGATGCTCCTGCTGATGCTCCTGCTGATAGCCCTGCTGCTGCTGCAGCGGGAGGAGGTACCTGGGGCTGCGGAGGAGGAGGGTAGAGTGTGTGGGGAGGAGGAGGGGTGGGAGAGTGAGAGAGCTGCTGGGATGATGCGGTGTAGTAGCTAGGAATTGTAGCTGAAGCCCTTGCTGCTCCTGCTGATGCTCCTGCTGATGCGCCTGCTGATAGCCCTGCTGCTGCTGCTACTGCTGCAGCTGCGGCGGCTGCTTGTGCTTCTGCTGCTGCGCTTGGGGAAAGCATGGCCGGAGCAGGTGCGGGCGTGCTTGACTGGGCCTGGAGGGCGATAAGGCAGGAAAAAAGAGTGTGTATTTGAGGTGAGTTGTGAGTCGACTTAGATTAGAAGCCACCTTGCTGCTGCACTTGGGGAAAGCATGGCCAGAGCAGGCGAGGGAGTGCTTGACTCGGCCTGGAGAGCAAGAAGGCAGGAAGAAACAGAGTGTGTTTGAGGTGAGTTGTGAGTCGACTCAAACGCCATCTTGCTGCTGCACTTGGGGAAAGGAAAGCATGGACGGAGCAGGTGAGGGCGTGCTTGACTCGGCCTGGAGGGCGATAAGGCAGGAAGAAACAGAAAATCGTTGGTTTTTTATGGGAAAGAAAGAAAAAGAAGAGAAAAACAGGCACGGGAGAACTTGCCTCAGCCTGGAGAGCAATAAGGGAGGACAAACAGAGAATATTCTAAGCAATAGTGCATGCGTATCTGAGATTTTTTTATGGGAAGAAAGAAACGGAAGAGGCTTACAGGAATATACTTGAGAACAAGACGAAGTTGGCCCTTTTGCCTGCAAGATCGATAGGAGCAACACCAAGAATGGAGGACAGAGTAGACTCAATAGCCAGAAGGTAACACTTATGCCTGCAAGAAGGCAACTGGAAAACAAGGGAGAAAGATAGACATGGCCTTGTTACATTTGTGACGACAACTCAAACCGGTTTGCCTCGGCCCGAGCAGGCCGGACCTTTTTCTTTCTGTGATGCTAATTGCAAAGCCACCTTTCGTGAATGCTGTCGCCAGTTTTGATTCGTCGAGAGAAGTTTTGAGGTGCCTCAAGTCCGGAACAAATTAGGAAGTGGAGATGGGTCAAAGCAAAACAGAGGCACATTACGCTGCAGGGTGTTTTTGAGAATTCTCAAAAACACCCTGCAAGTCCGAGTGCAAATTAGGAAGCGGAGATGGGTCAAAGCAAAACAGAGGCACATTGAAATGGCTTACTCTTGTTTCTTAGTAAAGAAAAGGGTGCCACGACTACTAGGCACGTCAATAAAAAGTCTGCTTTCTAGGCGCCTCAAAAAGGGGATGTAGGTCAAAGCAAAGCAAGGGCATACTTTTGTCTCTTGGTGGTGAGAGGATGCCACGTGTCCCACACTTGTGCTGTCAGTGCTGGCTGAATGTCAACTCTGAAAGAAAATGAGCAGAGAATAAAGCGAAGCGAGTAAAAGAGGGGCACAGGAAGCGAGTAAAAGGGAAGCAGAGTTATTGACCGACTAACCAAGCACAGCGGGCTGGGCAGGAGGAGAAGCGTACGAGAAGTGGCTGATTAGCTCGTCCTTTAGCTTGTTCTTGTCCCACACGTGGCATTCCAAAGGGCTAGCTTTACCCTTTAACCGACATGGATGATGGATGGACATTATGCCTACCGACCAACCTGCAGGCAAGCAGAGCAGGCGGAGGAACGTACGAGCAGTGGCCGATCAGTTCGTCCCTTAGCTTGTTCTTGTCCCACACGTGGCACTCCAACGGGCTGACTTGGCCCTTCAACTGCAGCTGAAAAGTCTCGTTCCACACAGGGGTGATGTGGCCGTCTGTAGGAGCGAGGCAAGGGATGGAGAAGGAAGAGAGAACATGGGAAGAATAGTGACTGCCTGCTTGCATCTCTGCCCTTTAACTGCAGCTGGAATGTCTCGTTCCACACAGGGGTGATGTGGCCGTCTGTAGGAGCGAGGGAAGGGGAGATGGATGAAGAGGAATGGAAGTGGGAGAAACAGCATCTGTGTATCTGCGTTTCTGCCTGCAGTTGAAGCTGAAACGTCTCGTTCCACACAGGGGTGGTGACCGTCTGTGGGAGGGAAGGAAGCGATGGAGAAGAAAGAGAGAAACTGGGAAGAATCGTGACCGCCTGCTTGCATCTCTGCCCTCAGGTGAAGCTGAAACGTCTCGTTCCATACAGGGGTGGTGTGGTCGTCTGGTCTGGAGATGCGGATGGACAGGGAGATGGAAAGGGAGATGGAAAGGGAGATGGAAAGGGAGATGGAAAGGGAGATGGAGAAAGAGGGGAGGCAATGGGGGAAACAGTGACCGTCTGGTTGACTTTTTTTCCTTAGTTGCTGCTGAAACGTCTTGTTCCACACGGGGGTGATGTGGCCGTCTGAAGGAGCGAGGGAAGGGGAGATGGAGAAAGAGGAAAGAAACTGCAGTGACTGCTTTGACTCTTGTGTAAAAACAAACTGCTTTGACTGCTTTACAGTGCATTCAGCTGGTACACTAACTAAATGCTGCCGAGAGTCTCAACAGCAGAATCATCAGCAGAGTGAGTGAGCAGATGAGTCAGCAGCAGAGTGCAGCAGAGTCAGCAGATCAGATGCTTATGATGGTGCATGCATCATCCACCGCATACACATTGAATTGATGACACGTCACGTATCAAAAAGCTGACTCAGCACAGGTGATAGCATATGGAGTGAAGAGTTGATTACCTTGGTGGACCTTGGTGCGGTGCTGCTGGTTACCATACTGTAACACCACATAAGGGTCCTGCTTTCCGTACAGCTCCACATCATATAGATCCTTGCACCCCACCACTGGTGTGGTGGCAAATCGGGGGCCAGGGGAGGAGGGGAGGGGGATTTTCCAAAAACGAAAGGTTGGAAGGGAAGTGCAACAATAACAAAGCAACGAGCAATGGATACAGAGTAACGGCAAACAGGTAACGAGCGGAGCAACAAGTAACGAGCGACAAGTAATGGCCAACAAGCAGCGTGTGGCTGTGATTCTTTCTCCTCTGTGGTGCATGACATGAAACGTCACCCACTACTTGATATTTTCTCCATTGTGTCTTGGTTTCGACTTAACCACGCCGACGATTTCGGGGCAGCAGTTCCGTTACCTTATGTTTGCAGCATTGGGTGTTTCTTTTCACCATGGCCCCGTTTTCCTGGTTTCTGAATCTGAGACGGCATTTTTGAGTCGACTCAAAAGTTGACTTTTGAGTCGACTCAAAAGTCAACTTATGTTTGCAGCATTGGGTGTTTCTTTTCACCATGGCCCCGTTTTCCTGGTTTCTGAATCTGAGACGGCATAGAAACTATCTCTGACTTCACTGCCTTCTCGTTGCCTTAGCCTTCAAACCATCATGACCAGCTAGCCACATGCATCGCGGAGACTCTCAGAAGGACTCTCAGAAGGACTCTCAGAAGGACTCTCAGAGGGGACTCTCAGGGGGGACTCTCTGAAAGGTCTAGCCAAACGCCGTGACACCTCCTCCTCGCCATAACACTTCATCAGCTACAATTCCTTACCCGTCGCGCGTCTAACTAACCAGACACATTCTGACCTTTTTTTTATCTAGCCGCAGGCCAAGGACCACGATCCTCTACGCTTCTCTATCATCTTTTACACGTGACGAATCTGTTTTTATGGCATTCTAAAGAAATAGTTTTTTCCTTTACGCTTCTCTATCATCTTTTACACGTGACGTCCAAAAGCCAGACGCCATGGCACGTCCACTGGACCAGAAAACTTTCCCCGCCTTGAAACTTACCCAGCTAATATCATATTTCCTTACCCGTGACGTCTAACCAGCCTGTCGCCATGATCGCCGCGACGAAGCGTCGCAGCTCCTGCTGCCGTTTTCCCTGACCGGAGTGCCACCCTCTTCCGCAGAACGTCGTCGAAATAGCCTAAATTATTTTTTTCGCGATGAGCTATTACGACTGACCAATTTCAAGGGCTTGGAGAAATCGCTGAAGTCTGGGAGAGGTACCTTGGACAGCCGCTTACAATGGATGGCTACGATTATCGCGTCGCCTTTAACTACATTTTCTTGGAACTGGTCCCACGCAGGATAGTCGGGCTCTGACAGCACCTGACACCATAGAACCAGTATAAGCGCGGCGCGGGGTACAAAATGACTTTCTACAATGAAAGATTCTACCCGACAAATCGACTTTTAGAATGTTTGAATCTATACTCCTCCCCAAATTCCGCACCGAACTTGATTACGATGGACCAATCGGGGTCGTGTCGTGAAGCTCGTGGTAGCACATTCGAACCAATCAGGTTGTCTGAGGGCGAGATATCTCCGCCACTTCGGGGCGCCGGAAATACGCGTTATCAAAGGAAACAGAGTAACAAGGGTTAGAAAACACATTGTTTTGGAAAGCAAGCACTCCAAAAACAGTCTTTTTTGTAGCTTGTAGCAAGGATGCACCTACTTCCACTTCTTATCATAGTGGCCTTTGCCTTTCTTTTTGTGCTCTTTGTAATAGCACTTTTTACATTCTTTGCAGTCACAGCAATCCTCCTTTCTTCGATCTTCTTTATGCGAGCGAGATCGGTTGTCCTTGTATCTGTGCTCTCCCCCCTTGTGAGAACCACTGCTTCCACCTGCAATGTCGTAACCGCAACAAAGCGAGAGGACAAGAAGAAACACACACACGCACGCACGCACGCACGCACGCACACACACACATTCAAATTAAGATCAGCGTTCTGCAGGGGACATTAATACAAAATCAATGAAACTTATAATATAGTCGTACCACTCCTATGCCGCTCGAATGAAACCGGTGACGTCGAGCGGTTTCCACCACGAGCACGATCGCTGGAACCACTGTAACCACCAGGGGCTGGGGCAGGATAACCCCAGGGAGCGGGGTACTGTGCCCCGCCCTGCTGATAAGGAGGATAGGGTGTAGAGCCTTGAGGTGCAGCATAGGGATTATAGGGAGCGTTAGGAGGAGGGGGGTAGTTAGGATAAGCACCATGCGGTGCTTGGGGAGGGTAACCGTACTGAGAGGGGCTGTATTGAGAGGGATTGTATGGAGTGTGAGGGTAGGGATAGGGATACGGATTTGAGGCAGGAGGATTGCCAGGATATTGGTGGGATGTTGAAGTTTTAGGGGCGGAATGGATGGGTGGAGGAGGGTTATATGCGGCTGGAGGGGTGTGAGGGTGGGAGTGTTTAGGAGGGTGTGTGGTGGAACGGTAGGTGGGGGAGTGATCTGAAATGTCTGAATCTATTGATTGAGCTGATTTGGAAGGGGGGTAGTTCGAGGAGAAAGATGAGTGGTTCGAGCGATGAGAACCCTTTTCGTCCCTATTTGAGTGTGCGGATTCGAAAGGCCGATGACCTCTGTCTGAATGTGGAGAGGAGGGAGAAGGGTATGACACAGAGGGGTGAGCGTAGGAAGGGGAGGGATGGTGAGAGGGCCAGGAGGGAGACGGGTATGAGACGGAGGAGGAGGAGGAGGAGGAGGAGGCGGAGGAGGAGGAAGAGGAGTGGGAGGAGTAATGGGACGGACGGGTAGGGCCTGAGGAACAGGATTGGCTGGTGGCTGCATGAACAGGCTGTTGCGGGGACGCGGAGGAAGTAGAGGAGTGGGAGGAGTAATGGGACGGACGGGTAGGGCCTGTGGAACAGGATTGGATGGTGGCTGCATGAACAGGCTGTTGCGGGGACGCGGAGGAGGAAGTAGAGGAGGAAGAGTAATGGGACGGACGGGTAGGGCCTGTGGAACCGGGTTGGCTGGTTGCTGCATGAACAGGCTGGTGCAGGGATGACTGGTGGGCCTGATAAGCCGAGGGGGGAGCGAGAAAATGAGGCGGAAGAGCAGCAGGAGGAGGAGCGGTAGGATATGGAGCATGAGGGTACATAGGCACGGCGTGTAGTTGCGGATTGGGTTGCGTTGCTACATGTGCAGTGTTACTACCCCCCAGCGCACCCATCATTCCCGCCCCTCCTTTCACCAAGGGAGCCTTGGCTGCTTCTATCGCATTCCGAACCAAGACTTCAGCCTCGCCTGACCGAACCTTGTCCATGGCTCCGGAAACTGTGTCTGTCACCATGCCCATCATCCCAGTCAGCATGGAGCCACCACCTGAAAAACCACCTGACATAACACCTGTCATTGCCCCTGTAACTGCCTCCTGCATGCTTGACATAGCCCCTGCCAACCCCCCCGGATTTCCACCTGAACCCAACCTTGATGTGCTTACCAAACCTCCTCCTGAACTTCCTCCCGAAGCACCGACCGGACGTCCAACCACACCCCCAACCGGACCTCCGACCAGACCTCCTCCCGAACCTCCCGAACCCCTCGCTAAACTTCCACTCCCGCCTGACCTACGTGACAACCCTTCCTCCTCGCCTTCCTCTCCCTCTGCAATGGTATCAGCCCAGCCCTGCTCCTGCCCTCCCCCCTGCCGCCCAATCACATCACCACCGCCGCCCGCTCCCGTCTTCTCGAACACAGCTGCAGCTGCGCCAATTTGTCCTTTAGCTGCCCCTGCCGCCCGGCTGTGAATGCTGTGACTGGCCGGCACTCTCCCCGCTTCTGCCAGGATCTGATGGATGGTAACCAGCTGCTTCTGTGAGACCGTGGGGCGCAATCTGGACCGTCCGATCGCCTTGCTGCTACTGGTGGTGGCGCTGCTGGTGGTGCTCGTTTTACTGCTATTGATAGCCTTGGTGGTGAAACTGGCGGTAGTGGTGGTGGCAGCAGTAGTAGTGCTGGTCGTGTTATGAGTCATGGGTTTGGGAGAAGAATTCAGAGCCTTGGCAGTAGCAGCAGCAGCTGCTGCAGCTGCAGCAGCATCAGCACCACCTGGACTGGCACCCACAGGTTCGCCTCTGTTGCCATCAGGTGCTGCTCTGTGGTCGCCAGGAGTTTCACCAGATGCACTATCAGCATCACCAGTTGTCATTTCGAGGCCCTCAAGTGCTTTCTCTAATTCACCTGAACCAGGTGCTTCGTTGCTACTGCCACCAGGTGCTACACTGCTGTTCCCAGGTGCATTTTCAATTTCACCTGAACCAGCCCTACCTGAATCCCCCTCCTCACAATTCTCAGCAAGCATGCGGTAAATCGCGTCGATCCGCTGAGACAGCCTGGCAGCAGCTAACGCCTCTTCGTCCAGAGTATTCAAAGGGGCACCTATAGCACCCGGCAAAGCATCTTCCGCCTCTCCCGATTCCTGCTCCCAAGTGGCGCGCCCAATCTGCCACCCCGGCACTTCGTCTTTCGCTTTCTCCCCCCCTGCTACTTCTAATCCCATCCCTCTCAGTGAACCACCAGCACCAGCACCAGCACCAGCAGGGTCAACACCAGCAGTCCCTGAACCATCTGTAGCAGTCTCATCTGTAGCGGGGTCTGGTTCGATCTGTGCTACAGCCAGCATGCGTTCAATTGCATCAAGCTGCATGGAGAGGTTGGAGCGTGGGAGGGAGGCGGGGCGGCCAGAGGAGGAGGAAGAAGAGGACGATCTGTGCTCCTTGCTCTGTTCTGTGTCTCTCTCACGACCGCTCCCTTCGTGGTCGCTACTAGAAACATCTGCTGCAGCGTTGCCATGTGTAGCGTTGATGCTGTGAAGGGCCACGGAGAGAGCAGAGCGCGGGAGGGAACCTGACGCTGCGTTGCTGCTGTTACTGCTTGTGACTGCTGCGTTTGAATCTACTGCTGCTGCTGCTGCTGCTGCTGCTGCTGGTGCTGGTGCTGGTGCTGGTGCAGCAACTAAATCAGGGAGAGGAGTTGCTCCCAGCTGCTTGTACTGAGGATTCTGGTGGGGGGAAGGGGATGTGACATGAAGATAACTTTGTTAATCATGCCTAGCTCGTGCCTTACTTCACGTTCACGCCGAGTCAGTTATTGACCTGGTGAATGTTGCCCTTCATCAATACAGCAGAGTGTGAAGAAACACAGACAACCTTAAAGGCTTTTACGAATAATTGAATAAAGTGTGATGTATGGAACGTACTGGGTGGTATTTAATGATCAGGCGAATGCTGCCCTTCTTCCTGCATGCATTCAATACAAGAACGTACACATGAGAGACACAACATGAATGCAATATATGAAAAACTGGCAAAACAGAGTATTAGTGCGGTAGAGTGCGGTCCATACATAATTAACAGCTTCTGAAATGCTCAAAAAAAGAAGAAGGAAAACAGTATTTATCCCACCCACCCGAGGCGCGACAGCGAGAGGAGGACGAAGAGGAGGAGGAGGAAGCGTGCTCATTTCTCTCCCCCTCCCCCCCTCCCCTCTAGGTCACCCGTGTCAGAAACATATGAGTGATGATGGATTACTTTCTAGGTGAGGTGACCCGTTACCCGTAATATAAACATATGAATGTTTGTGAGCAAAACAACCAAGCAGCAGCAACACACGCTCGAACATTGTCACACTCTTACCTGTTTCAGTGTGTGGACCCGAATTTGACACTCTCACACACATGCACACACCTACACACTCACACAATCACACATTCCCATAATCACACACCTACACACTCACTCACACACTCACATAATCACACACATACACACTCACATAATCACACACCTACACACTCACTCACACACTCACACTTGTTTCGATGTGTAGAGAGGGTGCCATGCGTCAGTAAATCCAGCATCGAGAGCTTGGGTGATGCTCACCCTGCGAGGAGGGATGGAGAAGGGGGGTTGGAGGAGGGGGGAAGTGGAGGAGAAGGGAGAGGGAGGGGAGGATCCTCAATCAACATGTGCCACGCATTGGACACTCAGCATCCAGAGCTTGACTGAGGGGCACTAGAGAAAAGAAGATGAGTTGAGGAGAAACGGGGTGGAAAGGAATGGGAGAGGAGAGGAAGGGTGAGGAGAGGTGGGTTGGCGGAGGAAGCGAGGGATCGGAGAGAGGAGGGCCTGAGTAAGAGCGGGGATTGGAAGAGAGGAAAGTGATGAAATGAAGGAGGCAAGTCACACTCACTCAAGAACTAAAGTGGACTCACACATGGCGTAAGAAATAGCTTCCTTAACACTGGATGTAAAATAACATCACACGCAGCAGTAAACTCACTTGCAGCCACCAATGGGATTGTCTTGAGTGAGGGTGTTTTCGTCCCACACGCCAACAGTCAGGTCAAACACATTGGGCTGGTAGTAGTTGATATGCTGGCGATCTCACACACATGAACCGCCCTAGCATTGCCCATCTGTACACTCACTTGCAGCCACCGATGGGGCTGTCTTGAGTGAGGGTGTTTTCGTCCCACACGCCCACAGCCAGGTCAAACACGTTGGGCTGGTAGTTCAAGCGGACAGTCTCGTTCCACTGGGGGGTGGTGTGGCCGTCTGGAGGAGAGGGAGGAGAGGGAGGAAAATTGGGAGGTGAGAGGAACTTCATTAAAGCTCAGATCAAACACATTGGACTGGTAGTTCAAGCAGACAGTCTCGTTCCACTGGCGGGTGGTGTGGCCGTCTGGAGGAGAGAAGAGAGGGAGGAGAGGAAGGAAATTTGGGAAATGATAGACCATTAAAAGTAGGTCAGGTCAGGTCAAACACGTTGGGCTGGTAGTTGATGCGGATTGTTTCGTTCCACTGGGGGGTGGTGTGGCCGTATGAGGAGAGGAGAGCGGGAGAAGAAAAGAAGCAAAATTTCAAAGAAAAAGGGATTTTAGGACAGAAATATTGATGCGCACACACAGTCTCGTTCCACTCCACACAACAACAGTCAGCTCAAACACGTTGGGCTGGTAGTTCAAGCGGACAGTCTCGTTCCACTTCGGGGTGGTGTGACCGTCTGAAGAGAGGAGAGGAGAGAGGGAGGAGAAAAGAAGTACAATGTGAAAAATAAAGGGATTTTAGGACAGAATTACTGATGCGCACACACAGTCTCGTTCCACACGCCCACAGTCAGCTCAAGCACGTTGGGCTGGTAGTTCAAGCGAACAGTCTCGTTCCACTGAGGGGATGTGTGGCCGTCTGAACGTTCAGGAAGGGGCAGCGGAGGGAAGGAAAGCAGGATGCGTGGTAGGGACAGGCTGCCACACACACACATTGGGCGGGTAGTTGGTAGGTACGCACTGTCTTGTTCCACATAGGGGGCGTGTGGTTTTCTGGATGTGCAGCGAGGGGGAACGCGAGGAAAACTGGGCGTCAGTTTAAAGATTACGCACACACTTGCATTGTGAGCCGTACTGCAGCACCATTTATGGGGGGCGGAACGACTGAATCCACATACACATGCTCTGAGAGACACGCACATGCTCTGGGAGACACGACATGTTCTGAGCCACTCACACATGCCTTGAGCCACTCACACTTGCTCTGAGCCACTCACACATGCCTTGAGCCACTCACACCTGCTCTGAGCCACACGTACATGCTCCGAGACACTGACACATGCCCTGAGCCTCTCACACATGACCTTTTTTAGTCAGCAATCTGTACTGTGTTTGGTGCTTCTTGCCTTTGTGAGTGGCCGTGCACTTGCATTGTGAGCCGTACTGCAGCACCATGTATGGGGAACGGCTGAATGCTGATACACATGCTCTGAGCCACACCACACATGCTCTGCGAGACATGACATGCTGTGAGCCACTCACACATGCTCTGCGCCCCTCATAAACGGCCCTTGTAGTCAACAAAACAGCCTAAATCTGTATGTATTGAGTTTAGCGGGTCTCACCTTTGTGAGTGGCCGTGCGTTTGCACTGGGAGCCGTACTGCAGCACCACGTATGGGTCCTGCCAGCCGTAGATCTCTGTGACCAGCAGATCCTTGCATCCGACGGCTGACAAGACAAGGAACCAAAGGGGAGCGGGGGTGAGGTGGAAATGGGGATTGCTCAAAAGGAAAGGAAGAGGCTCGGAGGTAGGAACCAGGTGGATGGCTCTGTGAAAAGCCTTTGAACACGTAGCGCCCCACAATCTCATATTAACACGTGCTGTAAGCCTATAAACGGAATCGCCGCCTCATAACCTTCGTTTCCTTCCTTTTTTTTTTTGTTCTAACGCCCCTCTTCCCCTTCCCTCCTCCCCTCCTCCCCCCCTCCTCCCCTCCTTCACCCCCCCTCTTCCCCTATCCCCTTTTCTTCACCCATCTCACCGCTCTCTGATTGCTCACGAGCACGACACTCATTCATGTATCTGAACGACTGCGTAAAAACATTGAACAAACGAAACAAGTATTCGCACGTGCTTCGATTCTCGTTCAGGAAGTATGACGATTCTTGAGGCTTGTAACGACTGCGCGCCTCGAAAGAAAAACCGCGCTCCATCATGTAGGACGAATCGAGCATCGATGATCATTCTTCCAGCGCGCTCCCGAGTTTTCCTAGTTGGTGCAGGTTTTTTTTTTCCAGGAATTCTAACGAGAAACGTTCCCACTGTGCGTGAGCCGAGACGAGCCTCGACTACATATCTTTATATCGCAGCGCGCTCCCTCGTCCTAATCTCTCTTACCTGCGATACGGTCAATGCGGACTTCCAAATAGATTTGAGTCAACCACTCCCTTTCCCGAATCTCATTTAACCGCGTAGTCGGTTTTCGACCCCCCCCCCCCCCCAAAAAAAAAGAAAGGGTAGTCGCGTAAACCTTCGATGCATGTGACGCATTATCTGTAGCGTGTCATCACCTTTGGCGTTCTTCTTAATCATATTACATGTAACGTCAAGCCATCCCAGAAGCTGCAAGCCCATGAGTCCAGACCTTCTGACGCATTATTTAAAAACTATTATTATCCCTAACCGTTGACCTGCATCGTGTTACCTGTAACGTCCAGCCATCCAGCAGCTGTAGAGCCCATTGGTCCAGACCTTCCCTCCCTCCACGACAGCGCCTGTTGCTTTCCTTCCCAGCACAATCCAAGCCGCGACCGTCACAGTAACCAGAGGATATTAGCCTGTTTCTACGTCGCTCTAACTCTAAGAACGATGTGAAACCCTAAGAATAGGAAATAAAACTGACGCTGGAAATCTACCGCGTACTCGTTCCAAGGGAGTCGATTCACACTCACGTACGTGCGATACTTGTGTGTGGGAGTGGGAGTCGATAACTGGAAACTGGGGGAGAACACTACGGTAGCGCTGTCACTGAAGAATCTGTGGCAGCGGCAATCCCGAGGACCGCTCACTCTAGTCACACTTCGGCCCAGCCAGGATTCTCAAAAGTGGCTGGGAACCGCTGTAGTCACAGTTTTTGTGGCAGGGAGGGGAGAACCTTCGATTACCTTCAGTCGTTGCCGCCCAGTTCATCAACCAACCACCACCGCCTTTGATTTGTCGTACGGGCCAATCGAATTCCACTAGAAGCGTACGCAATATCGCCCATATTGGTAACGAAACGTCTTAATCAACCCATTGACTTCCCGGTATCCCTTATTCACAAATCACAATAAAGTTTAAATGATGTACCAGCGATGATTCATTCATTCATGCGCAGGCTCAGATTCAATTGTGAGGAGCTGTAAAACTCACGTGGATAGTTGTGTGAATTAATTAATTATGAAAGGCGCCGTGGGACGGCAGATTCACATCACAAGCCTACGCTGATGTGCCGATCATGTCAAAACAGATTGGGGAGATCCAGACTGCAGTAAATAACTAAGATGACTGGCTATCCATTGACCAAAGAAGCCAAAGACGGCACTGATTTCCACATTTCCTTGCTCGTTCAATTCAACACACCCAGCTCTTGCACATTGTTTCCCACTTTCCCTCAACGATTATTGGATACCGTATGTGCTTGTTCCTTTTCTGCAAGTCCTTGACCCCGCCCTACTCTCTCTTCCTCCTGTTTTCCTACATTTTCTCAGACTTTTCCTCTTCCTCCTCCTCCTCTTCCTCCTCTTCCTCCTCTTCCTCCTCTTCCTCCTCCCCTTCTTCTACTTCCTCCTCCTCCTCCTCCTCCTCCTCCTCCTCCTCCTCCTCCTCCTCCTCCTCCTCCTCCTCCTCCTCCTCCTCCTCCTCCTCCTCCTCCTCCTCCTCCTCCTCCTCCTCCTCCTCCTCCTCCTCCTCCTCCTCCTCCCCCTCCTCCTCCTCCACTCCCACCCCCACCCCATTCCCCATCCCTACACCACCCTCCTCCCTAGCAAACCCCTCCTCTAACTCATACTCCATCTCATCCTCCTCCTCCTCTCCCTCCTCCACCTCCCCCTCCTCTACCCACAGTCTATGCCCAAGGAACATCACCATCCTCTGCAAAACCTCTACCTCCATCTCCCTATGCGCAAGCCTCCTTCTCAACTCCCCCACATCAGCAGCACTATCATGCATACTCCCGTCAACCTGCCCTTGAGCAACCTTTCCCTGCTGCTGCTGCTGCTGCTGCTGCTCCTGTTTTCTTTGCAGCCGCAAGATCAACTCCCTAATCGCCCTCTCCATCCCCTCCTCACCCACCTCCACCTCTACCTCTCCCTCCTCTCCCTTCCCCACCCCACCCTCCCCTCTCTCCCTCTCCACTGCAGCCACCGCGTCAAAATAACTACTTCTTAAAAGACTCTCAACTAAGCGCTCGTCCGTCTCATCCATACTAAGCATCTGCTTCCACTTAGCCTTCATATCCGCTCTCGCTCTTGCCATTATCTCATCTTTCACCCTGGCCTGCTCTAACTCCTTCTCCTCCTGCCGCTCCTCCAGCTGCTTCACCTCCTCCTCCTCCTCCCCATCCTTCTCTTCCCTCCCAACCAGCACATCCCATACATCATCAGCATCGTCACACACAAGGGTGAGTTGATCCCCCATGGCTCTAAGCATCTTCGCCCCAACCCCGTGTATCATGCGGTTACCATCGCCGCCACACGCCACCACCACTTCTGTCGCAGGCCGGTAAACAGGGTTACCGCTGTTACCGCCTGCGTCCCTGTGGTATTCGATATAATAGATGTGCTTTTGCAGGTGCTCTGGGACTGGAACCTTCTTCTTCCACCGCCCCCAGGGGTCCTGGGGAAAGAGGGGAGGGGTAGACATAGGGAGGCAAAGGGATGCATTACTGTTGTCACCACCAAGCCTGGTACTGCTGTTACAGCCTGCGCCCCTGGGGTATTCAATATAATAGATGTGCTTTTGCAGGTGCTCTGGTACTGGAACCTTCTTTTTCCACCGCCCCCACGGGTCCTGGAAAGGAGGGAAGGGATGGGGAAAAGGCAAAGGCGCAAGTAAGCTTCTTGCTTGCCGCTTTGATTTTGTTCAGCAAAGAGTGGAAGAGTGTGAGAGCAAAGGAGATGCGGGTGTGTTTTGAGTCGACTCAAAACACACCTGCTTGCCGCTTTGATTTTTTTCCAGCAAAGAGTGGAAGAATGTGAGAGCAAAGGAGATTACATGGAGAACGTGTATATTACATCCAACTTCAATCTTACCGCTTCAATCTCCCCTGGAAGGGAGTGGAAGAGTGCGAGAGCAGAGGAGGGGAAAGGGTAGTGCACGCGAGCAAAGCAGCCGTCACCCCTGCTGCTAGATCGAGGTTTCTGGAGGAGATGAGAGGGGGGAAGTGGAGAGCAGTGGGAGAAGAAAGAGAAAGGGTTTGCATAAGGGGAAAAGAGTACGGTGGGAAGTGGAGGAGGGGAAGGGGTAGTGCACGCGAGTGAAGCAGCCGTCTCCCCTGCTGCTAGATCGAGGTTTCTGGAGGAGAGGGGAGAGGGGAAGTGGGAGAGGAGTGGGAGGAGAAGGAAGAACGTGAGTTTGCATGATGGCAAAAGACAACGAGGGGTGAAAGTGGAGGGGTTGAAAGTGGCAGGGGGTGAATGTGGAGGGGTGATAGTGGAGGGGGTGGTAGTGGAGGGGGTGATAGTGGAGGAGGGGAAAGGGTAACGCATGCGAATTTGAGAGTAGCAGACATCACCCCTGGTGCTGGGTTGGGGTTGCTGGGAGGAAAGAAGGGAGGGGGAGGAGGAGAGGGGTTGGGGGAGATGGGTGTGAGGTGAAGGAAAAAGGGTGAATTGGCATGAGGGGAAGCATAAAAAACAAGGGGGAGCAGAGCCAGGGAGGGGCAAGTATAAATGGACAAAGCTATAGAGCAATCGCTGCTGAATCTGAGTCGCTTTTGAGATTGTCACCATCATCACCCTTCTGCCTCGATGACCATGTATGCTTGCCTCATGCATTCATGCCCTCATCCCATCGCCCCATCACGCTACCGCACCACCTAGTACGTACCGTCACCCATAACTGTCAGAACTTAGGCTTAGAACTGATACATTAGTAGTGAGCTCAAAGCTCTTTAAGTACATCAGGAATGAGCAAGGTAGGGATGAGAGGGGAATCAGGGGGCAATCCTAGGGAATCAAGGGTAATCCCAAGGCAAGCTCCAATTGGTGGGTTGGAGATTGCTTGGAGATTACATTTGGGTTTGGTTGGGATGTGGGTGTACACCCAACCAAACACAAAGTGCAAACTACACTAAACTAACAACAAGTACAAATTGTGAGATTGAGGGCTAACACCAACAATAACATCATGTCATCCTCATCCTTCTGCCTCGGTGGCCCAAGTATATGCTTTCCTCATAAATACAGATACATTCATGCCCTCATCCCATCACACCCCCTAGAACCTACCATCACCCATGGCATCATGGCATCATGTCATCCTCATCATCTTTCTGCCTCAGTGGCCCAAGTATATGCTTTCCTCATACATACATTCATACATTCATGCCTCAATCCCATCACCCCATCATGCTATCGCCCCCCTTACCGTCACCCATGGCATCATGTCATCCTCATCCTTCTGTTGCCCGGGAACCCAGATGAGTATTTATGATATCATCCCCTCCCCCACACCATGCCACTACATTTTATCCCATCAACCCATCATCACCACCTACCGTCACCCACGGCATCATGTCATCTTCATCCTTCTGCTGCCCCGGAACCCCACATGGTCATAACCCCCATGCTCCCTATGCCCTCATGCCATGCAACTAAAATATTTCATCACATCACCACCTACCGTCACCCATGGCATCATGTCACCCTCGTCCTTCTGCTACCTCATGCCCCCCTATGCCCACATGGTCATGACCATTCCATTACGGCATCCCATCATCACCACCTACCGTCACCCATGGCATCATGTCATCCTCATCCTTCTGCTGCTCCGGAACCCCAGTACACGTTTCCCCATGCCCCCACACCATGCCACTACATTTATAGCCATCACACCATCATCACCACCTAGTACCTACCGTCACCCATGGCATCATGTCATCTTCATCCTTCTGCTGCCCCGGAACCCAGATTCTTGTCTCATCCTCCTCCTCCTCCTTCTCCTTCTCCTTCTCCCTTCTTCTTCTTCCCCCTTTTCCTCTCCCTCCTCCTCCCCCTTTTTCCCGTTCTTCTCCTTCTTCCCCTTTTTCCCCTTCTTCTCCTTTCCTCCCTCCTCCGCCCCCTCCTGCCCCTCACTTTCCCCCTTCTCTTCCTCTTCCCTTCTCTTCGCTTCCCTCCTCCTCTCGTAGTGGGCCAGCAAGGCAAGGATCATCTCTGCAGTGGTGCCACGTGGCAGGCTGTCAATGGTCAGTTCCCGCATCAGATAATTGCCAACCTAGCAGGGATAGAGGGAGGGAGGGGGTGAGGAAGGGGAGGGGGTGAGGGGAGGGGAGCGTGTGAGAGGGAGGGGAGTGGGCGAGAGGGAGGGGAGTGGGTGAGAGGGAGGGGGTGAAAGCAGGGAGCCAAGAGGAGTGAGATGGAGTGCGTTGGGGGAGAGAGGGTGGAGAGAAGGGGAATGGAATGAAAGGAGTGAGCCAAGAGGAGTGAGATGGAGTGAGTGGGGAGAGAGAGTGAGGGAAGGGGAGTGGAGTGAAACCAGTGAGGCAAGAGGAGCGAGATAGAGTGAGTGGGAGTGAGGGGGAGTGGAGTGAAACGACTGTGGCAAGAGGAGTGAGATGGAGTGAGTGGGAGTGAGGAGGAGTGGAGTGAAATGAGTGAGGCAAGCGAACACCTCTTTTGGAAGGCTGATAGGACTCGATAGCACAGCCGTGTCAGGACCTCTCTCAGGCTTATGTTTTATATGCTTTGATGTTTGATATGGATGATGCATTGATAGAGTGATAGGTGGTGGTTGTGACTTACAAAGGCGGAGAGCGGCTGAATGGGTGTGGGGAGGAGGGCAGAAGAGCTGACGGCCTTCTGAACCAGCCGGACGGGAATCAACGAGTCTTCCACACTGTCATGGTGTGATTGACACTGGTCGTCGTTGGCACTTACAATGGCAGACAGCGGCTGGATGGGCGTGGGGAGCAGTGCGTCGGAGTTGAGGGCCTTCTGAACCAGCCGAATGGGAATCAGCGAGTCTTCCACACTGTCGTGATGCGACGTGTCCCCTTGCCGCATCTTGTAGCCCATATTACGCTGAAATACACGAGAGGAGGAGGAGGGAGGGGAGAAGGGGAGAGGGAAGGTTCAAGGTTGGTATTTTGTTGAGACTACGTGTAAAAATATTGTTTTTGAGACGTCTCAAAAATAATCTTTTTACACATGGTTCAAGGTTGGTATTTTGTTGAGACTACGTGTAAAAAAAATGTTTTTGAGACGTCTCAAAAATAATATTTTTACACATGGTTCAAGGTTGGTATTTTGTTGAGGCTGACTGCCTCAAGAACAAGCGGACGGGAATCAACGAGTCCTCCACACTGTCGTGATGGGACGTGTCCCCTTGCCGCATCTTGTAGCCCATAGCACGCTGGATGGGAGGAGGGTGAAGGTGCAGTGCGGGGGATGGGAGACGGGGGAGGGGTGAGAGAAGGCTGGTGGTGGTTGCTTGAAGCACGTGGACGGGGATCAACAAGTCCTTCACACTGTCATGATGGGACGTGTCTCCCTGCCTGATCTTGTAGCTCATATTGCGCTGAGATGCATGAGGGTTAGTGGGGGAGAGACACTTGGTACTTTGTTGAGGCACTTGGACGGGAATCAACGAGTCCTTAACACTGTCGTGGTGGGATGTGTCCCCATGCCGCATCTTGTAGCCCATATCACGCTGAAACACACAAGGGGGGAAGGGTGGGAGAGGAGGGGGAAGGGGAGAAATAAGACAAGGTTGGTCGTTGAGGCACTTGGACTTTGAGAATTCTCAAAAACCAGCTCGGACCATTAAAGAGTAGCGGAATAGCAGCGATGTGTCAATGACCCCCCCAGTGCCAACCCATTCCATGCAGTGAGTGAGGAGTACTCACCAGGGCAACAAGAGCGAGGGGCAGTTGCACAGTTGACATGTTAGGGTCCTTTGATGCATAGCGGAAGAGCAGCGATGTGTCGATGACCAATGGATGGTCTATCTTGAGAACTGCGAGGGATAGCATGGCACGGGATGGCATAGAATAGGATGGCATAGGATAGGATGGCATAGAATAGGATGGCATAGGATAGGATGGCATAGAATAGGATGGCATAGGATAGGATGGCATAGAATAGGATGGCATAGGATAGGATGGCATAGGATAGGATGGCATAGGATAGGATGGCATAGAATAGGATGGCATAGGATAAGAGCAGAGATGTGTCTATGACCAATGGATGGTCTATCTTGAGAACTGGAAGGCACATGCTCATGCACATGCACATGATGAGATGTATGGATGGAGAGATGTATGGATGGAGAGATGTATGGACATGCTCATGCACATGCACAAGAGAGACAGACACATGTTGAGGTGAGGCCAAGAAGACAAGTCCAGAGGTGCCTAGAAAGTCCTGGGGTCGACAAAAAAAGTCACAGACAGAGGGGCACGCATGCCAAATGACAAACTATGGATACCACGCGATTGAAAGATGAGGAGTGGGCAGATAGGGTGTGGGAATGAAGTGACAAGTCGACTACATCCTATTTTTGAGAATCACTTTTGAGAATTCTCAAAAGTAATTCCCAAATATTTTTGAGTCGACTCAAAAATAGGCTCAAAGATGGGGTGTGGGAATGAAGTGACAAGTCGACTACATCCTCCGCACGTCATATAACATGTGTTCATCCACGTCAGCAGGCTCACCGTCCATGTCACCAGACACGTGGTGCCCCACCAGCACCGTGTTGGGCGTCAGCAGCGCCGCCACGTCACGCTGGTATGCCACGTCAGACAGAATAAGGGGGAGAGGAGCAAGTGGAGGAGGAGGAGGAGGAGGAGGAGGAGGAGGAGGAGGAGGAGGAGGAGGAGGAGGAGGAGGAGGACGAGGAGGAGGAGGAGGAGGAGGTGAGGAGAAGAGGATAGGAGGGCAGGGAGAGAGAGGAAGGGAAGAGGAGGGGGGGGGGGGGGGGGGGCAGGAAGGAAAGGCAGGAAGGGAAGGAAGTTCGAAGTGATTGGCAATGCTTTAGACATATGACCACCATCAATATCTGTCACCAGACACGTACTGCCCCTCAATAGAGCTCCAGTTCAGAGCCATGGTTTCAATACGTGGCAAAACATGTGGCCACCATCCATGCCTGTCACCAGACACGTACTGCCCCACAAGCAATTGTTGAGAATTTTTCAAAATACCCCTCCCCTTACCCCACCCCTCCGCAGCTTCCCCCCGTCCCCACACACAGGCAAACCTGTGCCTCCTCCCCCGTGTGTGTGACCTTGTCAAACTTCTCCTCCTTTAACCCTCTGATGATTTCTCACACAGTGACTTGTGAATTGACTCACACGTCGCCTTGTGTGTGCAGCAACCACACACACTCACGACAAGCACAAGCCACACGCACTCGCTCATGTGTGCATCTTCCCTTGCGTATTTGACCTGACAACCCAGTCATCTCCCAAATGACTCTCAAGTCACTCACCTGTGCGTCCTCCCACGTGTATGTGACCTTCTTGAAATCTTCCTCCTTCAACCCTGTGATCTCCTAGCCACTCAAGTACCTTGTAAATCGGCTCGTGATTCACCTCGTCTGAACAATGATCACAGACTCTCACGCAAAGAATGAGTCTCACGCGCACACACACACACACACACACACACACACACACACACACACACACACACACACACACACACGCACCTGTGCATCCTCCCACGTGTACTTGACCTCCTTGAAATCTTCCTCCTTCAACCCGGTAATCTCAGTCACGTATGACTTCACTTCCCGCTGTGGCTTCACCAGCCGATCCAGCAGCACCTGCAGTGAAAGGAGGTGGAGTTGGAAAGGAGGAGCAGAGAGGAGGGAAGAGGGAGAGTGCACTTGGTAACATTACAATCCTCTTCCTTCAACCCAGTAATCTCAGTCACGTATGATTTCACCTCCCTCTGTGGCTTCACCAGCCGATCCAGCAGCACCTGCAGTGAAAGGAAGAGCAGGAGAGGAAGGCGGTTAGGTGTGGGTTTAAGAAAGATCAAGGGAGGGACGGAAGCTAGACTTCACCGCACTGCACCACGTCTCACCTTGCCCTTGCCATCCACGACAGAGACTCGTGTCAGCTCCATGGGTCCTTCATCATCCCACGTCTCACACATCTCACAGTCCATCCCCACCAGCCTCAGCTTCTCCCTTCATCGCCACTGCACACAACACTCCATCGCTCTCCACCGCACTTCACTGCTCTGCATTGCGTCTCACCTTGCCTTTGCCGTCCACCACAGAGACCCTCGTCAGCTCCATGGGTTCTTCATCATCCCACGTCTCACAGTCCATCCCCACCCACCACCAGCCTTGCTGTTCGTATGTCATCACTGTACTGCGCCCCACCACACAGTACCACACATCTCACACATCTCACAGTCCATCCCCACCAGCCTCAGCTTCTCCCTCCATCCCCAGCGCACACAACATTCCACCGCACTACACCGCATTGAACCCCATCGCACCGCACTGCACCGCATCTCACCTTGCCCTTGCCGTCCACCACAGAGACCCTCGTCAGCTCCATGGGCTCCTCATCATCCCACGTCTCACACATCTCACAGTCCATCCCCACCAGCCTCAGCTTCTCCCTCCCCTCCTTCGCCTTCCCCTTCCCCTTCTTCTTCTCCTTCCCTCCTCCCTCGTCCTCCTTTTCCGTTATCTCCCCGGCACCTTTGTTGTTGCTGTTGGCATTTTGATCAGTGCAGACCCAACCCTGTTGTGTGGGGGGGGGAGGGGGGGAGGTGAGAGGAATCGTAGATAATTGAAGAAACAGTAAAACTGGAGGCAGAGAATGATTAAGCGGGGAATCTTAGAAATGTATACAAGAGTGAATGCAGTCAATGGCAACAGGAAATGCCACAAACATCTGACGCACATACCAAAAAAAGAAGAGGAAAAGAACAGCATAAACTAATGGCTAGTCAGGGACATGAAAAGGGTACTGTTAAGTACCAAAATGTCAACTTGCTTTTCAGTATATGTAGTGTTGCCATTTGCAACTAAGCACTAATCCAGTTGACCAACAATTCATTCCCTTTCCACCGATTTGGTATTCAGCTGGCCAGCCCTTCTGACTAAAGCAAGAACCTGGCTCATTCAAGCAGATTGTATGGTTATCCCAGCAATTCACTTTCCCTGGCAGCAATTCCTTTACAGAAGGTTGTGTGCCTTTGCTCCTTTCCTTCTTATTCATGTCATGCCATGCTATGACAAATATGGTCGCACAAAAAAATTACCTCCATGAAAGATGGGAATGTGAACGCCTTCTTGTAGCGGCAGTGGGCGCGAGTGCAGCGAAGCAGCCACTAGAGGGGATAGATAGAGGGACAGGATGCAGGGGTGGGACGGGATGTGGAATATAAGAATGGGGAACACAGGTGGGAACAGGTCTACTCGCTTTTGAGAAATTTCAAAAAGTAGAGAGGAAAAAGAGTTGAACCAAGGCAGATAGAGCGCACAAAAGCATGAAGGAAGCTTCCATTGTTGGCAACAAATCAGAGTGCCAACTATGGCCAGCATTCAAAGATCAGGATGAATGCGTTTAAGCTGTTTCTTATTGTTCGCCTTCATTCCACCAGCTTTTCCTTGAGACTTGACGAGGACCAACAAGTCAGCTCATCAGGAACTTCTTTTTGCTTGCCTTCATCCCCGTACTCTTCAAACAAGTCGATTTCTGAGTCGACTCAAAAATCACGGCACCCACAGCACTCAGGCCACCCATGGCACCCAAAGAGGTTATCACACCTCTGCTGCTGCAGCGCGCAGTTACTGTGTCCTCTCTGAACACATGTCACCTCACCGTGCTCCTCTTGCTGTGTTCCTCTTGCTGTGTTCCTCTTGCTGTGCTCCTCTTGCTGTGTTCCTCTTGCTGTGTTCCTCTTGCTGTGTTCCTCTTGCTGTGTTCCTCTTGCTGTGTTCCTCTTGCTGTGTTCCTCTTGCTGTGTTCCTCTTGCTGTGTTCCTCTTGCTGTGTTCCTCTTGCTGTGTTCCTCTTGCTGTGCTCCTCTTGCTGTGCTCCTCTTGCTGTGTTCCTCTTGCTGTGTTCCTCTTGCTGTGCTCCTCTTGCTGTGTTCCTCTTGCTGTGTTCCTCTTGCTGTGTTCCTCTTGCTGTGTTCCTCTTGCTGTGTTCCTCTTGCTGTGTTCCTCTTGCTGTGTTCCTCTTGCTGTGTTCCTCTTGCTGCTCTCTTTCATCCCAGACCTGACTCTTCAGCCCACCTCTCTGCCTCCCCCTCACTGTGTGTGTCCCTCATCCCATCCTCTGCAAACGACCTCTTCTCAACTCTTTTAGAACCTCCCCTCCTTAACCTTACTCTGAACCGCCACTCTTACTCTTCCTTCCCTCAAAGATTGACTCACCATGATCTTCTTGTTGCTTTCCCTCATCCCATCCTCTGCAAACGACCTCATCGCATCCCTCTCTACCATGTCCTCTCCTTACTTTTACTCTGAACCGCCACTCTTACTCTTCCTTCCCTCAAAGGTCATCTCACCATGATCGTCTTGTTGCTTTCCCTCATCCCATCCTCAAGGAGGAAGCATGATGACTGCACCGTACCACATGACATTTCAACCGTTCCATATCTCATCATCTCACCATGATCTTCTTGTTGCTCTCCCTCATCCCATCCTCCGCAAACGACCTCTTCGCCTCCCTCTCCTCCCTGTGCTGCTGCAACGCTCTGTGCTGCTGTAGCAACTGCGCATGAATGGGAGGGGAAACGGGAGGAAGCAGGAAAGGTGAAAGAAATAATGAAAGAAACGTATAGGAATCAAGCCATCAGTGTATTTGCCTCCCTCTGCTGCAACAACGCTCTTTGCTGCTGTAGCAACTGTGTATATATGGGAGGGGAAACGGGAGGCGGCAGGAAGGGAGGAAGAAAGGAATGAGTGAGTGAGAGAAAAACAGCAGTGTATGTGCCTCCCTCTCCTCCTCCTCCTGCTGCAATGATCTGTGCTCCTGCTGAAGCAACTGCGAGTGGGGAGTTGGGGTTGGAGGGGAAAGGCCAAAAATAGCAACGATTGAGAGACACTGGGAACAAACAAACAAGGCACACTCCTAGAACCCTCCCTTGCTAACTTCTCTGCTGCTCCATCTCTCCCTGTTGCTCCGAAACCCTGTCACCAGCTGCTGACAGGTTCAGAAGGCAATGTAACACGTGCAACACATGCAGCCAAGCCAAGCCAAGCAAGCTCGCTCACCTTCTTGACTCGGAAGTTCCCGGCCTCTTCCAGTGATGCCACAAACCCCGCCACCAGCACCCAAGGCTGCCTGTTCACAGGCTCCCAGAACCCTCCCCCCGTTCCCCCTCCTATGCTACTCTCGTAACCGTGCATCTCTCACTCACCTTCTTGACTCGGAAATTCCCAGCCTCTTCCAGTGATGCCACAAACCCCGCCACCAGCAACCAAGGCTGCCGGCTCACAGGCTCCCAGAACCCTCCCCCGCCCCCGCCTCCCCATCCCCTCCCCCCTGCCCCTCCCCCAAACCCCCTTCCCCCCCCACCACCTCCCCCTCCGCCCCTCCCCCCTCCGCCCCTTCCCCCTGATCCTCCCCCTGAGCCCCTGCCTCCGCCCTTCCCCCAGGGGCGCTTGTGGGGGGGAAGGGTCCTCCCCCTGCCCTGCAGCCACTTCCCCCAGTCCCCCTTGCTGCCCCTCGCGCCCCTCCTCACTGCATCCAGTGCTATCGCTGCCAGCACCTGTAAGGGGAGAGGGGGAAGGGGGAGGCGGAAAGGGAGAAGGGATATGCCCTTGCTGCCCCACGCGCCCCTCCTTATGGCATCCAGTGCTATCGCTGCCAGCACCTGCAGGGAAGAGATGGACGAGTCATGAGCGAAGGAGAAATGAATGAATAATCCTCCCCTTCCCCTTTCCCTGCAGCCGCTTCCCCCAGTCTCCCTTGCTGCCCCACGCGCCCCTCCTTATGGCATTCAACGCTATTGCTGCCAGTACCTGGGGGGAGAGGTGGGGGGAATCATGCGAGAGGGGATAATGAATGATCCTCCCCCTTCCCCTTTTCCCTTTCACCGTCCACCTGCCCTGCAGCCACCTCCCCCAGTCCCCCTTGCTGCCCCACGCGCCCCTCCTTATGGCATTCAACGCTATTGCTGCCAGTACCTGGGGGGAGAGGTGGGGGGAATCATGCGAGAGGGGATAATGAATGATCCTCCCCCTTCCCCTTTTCCCTTTCACCGTCCACCTGCCCTGCAGCCACCTCCCCCAGTCCCCCTTGCTGCCCCACGCGCCCCTCCTTATGGCATTCAACGCTATTGCTGCCAGTACCTGGGGGGAGAGGTGGGGGGAATCATGCGAGAGGGGATAATGAATGATCCTCCCCCTTCCCCTTTTCCCTTTCACCGTCCACCTGCCCTGCAGCCACCTCCCCCAGTCCCCCTTGCTGCCCCACGCGCCCCTCCTAATGGCCCCTCCTAAGGAAGTTGCACAGGGTGAGAGAAGGAGGACAGTGGGAGGAAGGAAGACACGAGACCGCAGAGGGAAAGAGTGAATTAACAAGATTGCTTGTGGGAGGCCGGAATGGGGAGTTGGAAGTGGGGAGGGGGAAAAAAACAATCCTTCCCAACCTTCTCCCCCACCCTCTGCTCTATGGGATGGAATGTGTAGGTCACATACACTCACTCACTCACTCGTGCCCCAAACCTAAAACCCAGCACCCCAAAACTCCTTTTCCCACCACCAACACTCACACCACTCCATACAGTATCCCCCCTTCACGCCCCTCAATATTCTTGCAACCAAACCTTATACCCAAAACCTCCAACACCCTCCCTCCAACACACAGCCTAAACCCTCTCGCAATATTCTTCCTTCTCCCTCTCCGCCCTCTCCTCCCCCCATCTTCCCCTCCCTCCGCACCTTGCCCTGAACCCACACAAGCTCCCCCCTTGCTCACCTTGTAATCCTCCTCCTTGTACCCTTGCGCCTTCAGCGCGTCCTCCCTCTCCTCCCCCAACCCCTCCTCCCTCCATCTTACTTCCCTCCCCTCCCCGCACAAATTCCCACACGCTCACCTTGAAACCTTCCTCCTTGTACCCTTGCGCCTTCAGCGCGTCCTTCCCCCTATCCTCCCCCTCGTCCTCCCACGCTCCCGAATCCCCACACAAGCTCTCATGTCCCTCCCTTCCCCCACACAGGTTTCCCCTCTCACCTTAACCTCGTCCTCCTTGTACCCTTGCGCGCTCAGCGCGTCCTTCTCCCTCTCTGTCACTCCTCGCTGCTCCCCTCTCCGCAAATCCCCGCACAAGTTCCCCCTTGAAATCCTCCTCCTTGTACCCTTGCGCCCTCAGCGCTTCCTTCTCCCTCACCTCCCCCACCCCCTCCTCCCTCCATCTTGCTTCACTCCCCTCCCCGCACAAATTCCCCCACGCGCACCTTGAAATCCTCCTCCTTGTACCCTTGCGCCCTCAGCGCCTCCTTCTCTCTCTCATTCGCTCGTCCCCCTTCCCCTCTCTCAAATCCCCACATAAATTCCCCCACGCGCACCTTGAAATCTTCCTCCTTGTACCCTTGCGCCTTCAACGCTTCCTTCTCCCTTTCCTCCTGCCGCTGCGCCTCCGTCATCCCCGCTTCTCTCGCCCGCCTCGCCTCTTCCGCCACCCTCGCTCCCCTACCTTTCCCCGCCGGTTTTGCATCTGAACGTGCCGCACGCCCATTTTTAGCATTTCCCTTCTTCTTCTTGAGATCATTATTAGACTCCTTATTCCCTTTCTTGGCGGTCTTTGCGGGACGTTTCGTCGACGCTCGTTCCCGCTCCGCGACCAGCACGTCTACGTCCTCGTCTAGAGAGATCCCCTTAAGAATATAACCCGAATCGTCCCCTTCCCCCGAACCAACGCCGCCATTCTCGTCCTTCCGCTGCTTGCTGTCGGAAGCCACCCCAGCGGACCTCTCCGCCGCGCCTTTCCCTGTCGCCTCTGCTGTCCGCGCAACTTTCCGCCGCTTCGCGGAGCCATCCGCTCCGCCAACAGCTGCTGTGCTTCCGCCCGCCTCCGCATTCGCGCCGTCAGCCTTTCCCGCGGAGCTTTTCCGCTTGCGTGGAGATTTTTCCGCCTTCTGTTCCGCAAAAGCACGCGGGGACTTTTTGGCGGAGGTCGAGCCTCCCATTTTCTCCGCCTGCGGGAACTACGAATTCGCAGTCTCGGCGTACCGAAATGGGAACGCGAAACGCCGTCTCGGCGAAGCAAAGCAGAAACGCCGTCTCGGCGAAGCAAAGCAGAATGTAGAATTGTGGATGAAACTTAGAATCGTGGATGATACTCACGTCGAGAGCTGTTTCAGGTGGCCTATTTTGGCTAAAGCCCGAAACCCACTGTAATCCTCATAACAGACTCGTTTCCTATTTACATAATACTCAGTATTGTTTGTCATCACATTCTATTTCCCAGAATAAAAAAGGAAAACCATGTTCAAGGCTAACAACTATGACAAGTACCTTATCGAATTACATTAATTCATTTCATCTACATCAGAGTGGCTAATAATTTTCAAATACTTGTAAGTTTTTCATACATATTACAATGCATTTGGAATGTGCATCTTGTTTTGTTGACCCTAGCAGGAGATTTGGGTTTGCGCCCTTCGTTACAAGGAATACGCGCATCGTCATCGCACGTCCCCACCTACAGCCAACAAGACCAGCTGCCCAAGTCCACCCAGAAGTGGCGGGAACTACCTTCCGTGCTTTGCGCCACCAACCAGCACCTTTTGCCCCACCATCGTACCCCTCCCGTTCGATCTGGCAAATCAGAAACACCCAAGAAAGACCATCCACGTCAACCTTTGCACCTCGCCTGCCAGACCGCGACCACTCAGCCAGATTTTCCAGCCCCCGCGACTCGATATTTGTTTCCACTTTACAGGCCATCCAATGCTCACTGGACATTGTTGTATGGAACGTGAGGGCCATCCCATCTCATCCCATCGCACCCAGCCAGCTCACTTTCCCACCACTCCCACCAGCAGTATCCCTCCCATCACATCACATGCTGGGCAGGGTTGCTTGAACCTGGTGTAGCCGAACCCTGTCTCTTGTCAGGTCGAGATTACCCCACAGGCAGCGATATCAGCTTGAACTCTCCTCTGGCCTCCCCTCCCGTATCGATCGACCCTGGGGCAGCAGGAAATCAAAGACGGCTCTTCCACCCACACATGGCTCCTAGCAGCACTATTAGCCTAGCAAGCACCCTTCCACTTCTCACGGCTCTTTTACAAACAAGACCATCTTGGTCTTGCAGTGAACGACTAGGAGGGCAGGACGAAACAACAAACCGACAGTGCATGCTTGGTCGTCACTCCAGAGGGTGTAGCTACTTCGCCCAGAGACAATCAGGTTGCTCGTCATTTGCACGTGCAATTTCGTCCTAATTCCGATTTTTTCTTCACTCGTTCTCGTCCCGGATGCCTGAATCACGACTACAAGAACGGTACTTATAATTAGCTATCCAGAAAGCTTAGAAAGCCTTAAGTGTGTGGATGCCATCGTCACGGAAAGCGTAGGAAAGCTTTTAGTTTGTAGATCCCATTGTCGCGGAAAGCTTTGCAATATCCCGTATATCGGCGTAGAGCCACTTATGTCAAGCAGCGTGTTACGGGGCGCTTATAATCTTAGCGTCAGTTCTCACCGCCCGTTGCTACAGAGCTTCTCTTCGCAGTCTCCACTTTTGTAGTTGCGATTGAGGTTTAGACTTAAAATACCTGGCTTCTAGAAAGTTTATAGAAAATTACCTGGTTTCTAGAAAGTCTAGCATTAGGATTTATTTTTTTTTACCTTGCCGATCGTCGCTGGTTAGATTGATAGTGACTCAAGCAGCGTTATAACGGGGACAGATTTAGCGAGCTCAGCAACATGCCGTCCCAGCGACTTGCCCCCTCCCTCCCGCCCGTCACGGAAGGAGAAGAGGAGGTGCGATCTGGAGACATTTCAGACGCTTCGACTCTCAAAAATGACACGTCAGCCCGCGGCGTAGACGTGTCGGCTAGCAAGGCGAGCGAAGGCGGAAAAAGAGGCGAGAGAGCGGCGGTGCAGGGCCAGGGCGGAGCCGCGGCGAACCAAATGTGTCGTGACGACTCAATGACGTCGACGCCACGATCCGATGCGTCGGAGTGTCGCACGGTGTACACTCCCAACGAGCTGCTGCAGCTGTGCGACGCATGGGCCGCGGTGAGTGTCGTTCCTAAGTTCTTGAAATGCGTGCGTTTGCCATTCTTGTTTGAAGCAGTCTAGGACACTGATATAAGATAACAAGTCTCAAATTTGTCTTCAGCGAATACGTCGTTTACTAAAAGATTCTTGGAGCTTCATGTACGCGAACGAGTCTCGAATAAGGTCTCCAAAAACGTTGCCGGAAATTCATTCAGAAATGCTTTCCGAATTGAAGCGCGAGCTCCAAGGCGAGCAGAAATGATGCTTTTCCATTTGTCGGTCCACACATGGCTGAATCGCGAATTTCAGAGGGTCCCGATGCGGGTTCGCGGATGACTCGATGGGTTCGCCGTGTTTGTGATGCTTGCCATGAGCTCGAGAGTAAGGCCTTTGGCAATTACCCCCGTTTACGACCGTCTCGCCGTCTGCCTTCATCTATTACCTCAACTCGTTTGTTTTCAATGCTTGCTAACATACACTCAGTCGCACACCAGGTGTGTTGTTTTTTCACCATTTTCTCCCGATGACCCACATCTCTGGTTTTCCTCCCATCGTTTCCCACCGCTTCCCACACCATCAGCCATGGGAGGATCGCCGCCCTCAAAGCCAATCAGCATCACCAGCGCCACGTGCCTCCAACTCTTCATCGCAACCGTTAGATCTTCAGCGCGCACTTTCCTGCGATCGCGCTTCCCTTTCCAGCATCGGCTTGTCGACCCCCTCGCCCTCGCGCAACGCGGGCGGAAGCGGAAGGATTCCCGCATCGCCCGGGCACGGAAGCGGAGGTATTACTCCGCAACCGAACGCTTCCCCCGGTCTTCTCCCCCCGCACTCCCCCATGGTGTTGCGCGAGTGGGAGGAATTTTTGTTCGTTAAGAATGCTTCCCCCTCCCCCACCGCTACCTTCCGCCGATCCCGCCTTGGCGCGGGATCGGGGGAGGGAGCCAATGGCGGCGGGGAAAGCATAAGCGGGTTACAGCTGGACTCGGGCTCCGCGAACAACGGCGGAATTGGCGGAGACGATTCGAACAGGGACCCTGCGCTGCGAAACATTCGCCTGCCGATTCACAAGGTCGTTCGCAGCAGCTGGCCGAGGTATCGCCTGCGACGTCGCGACCATTTCGGCGTCGCCATGGAAGGCGTCGCTGAGGGCGACGAGAACGAAGACGACGACGACTCGTCGCCGTCGTCGCCTGCTGTCGCAGGGCTGCCTGAACGAAGCGAGAGCGATCCTTCTGCGACAGGCACGCCAGGACTAGAACAAGCCGCGTCGGTTGCGGTTACCATTTTCTCCGAAGCTGCCAGCGGCTCGAAACCGTCCCACGTGGCAAAATCCGGAACATTATCCGTTAGTCAACGACTTGCAGCAGCAAACGGCTCCCCAGCAGCTGGTAACTCCAGGCCCGTGTCGCGTCGCCTATCCGGGCAGATGCGGCTCGGGGACGGAGCCAGCGGAAAATCCGGGTTACTCGACGTTTCTGCAGCCAATCAGCGTGGAGAAAACGCACGTGGTGGTGACTCGAGTGATAGTGGCGGAGGGTTTGTGAATATGGCGGAAGGGATGATGGCGGGAGGAAACGCGGGAAAATTGTTTCAGCTGCTGGAGCAAGTGGACAAGCACGGAGATTATTTCCGTGGTGACGTGGAGGACCCTGATTTGACGAGCAGCGTAGAGTTGGAAGACGAGGCGACGGATGACGAACCAGGTAACCCCTCTGTTTTCAAACATTTTTCGTTTTCGCTATTGATTGCCGAATTTTGTTTTTTTACGAAGTGGTGCTAACTTCGCAAATCTCGTCAGCGTGTTAGGTAACCCTTTCGCCAACTTCGTATACTGTCACAACCTCCTGACCCCGCCCTCCCCCGCGTGTTCTCCAATCCTGCAGGGTTTCTCGCGCGGACTGACGTGGCGCGGCTCGTAACGGACGGCACGGATACGCAATACCTGCCGCGACTGAACAAGTACTTCCCCTTCGGCGCGTTCACCATCTTCATCATGATGCAGGTGCGTGTGACAATAACGAAAGCTGGACTTTGTAGATGTGATCTTCCATTTTTCGCTCTTTCACGTGACCTCCCCTCCCCTTCTTGCTGTCTCCTCCTCCCTCTCTCCCCATCTCCCCCTCATCTCAACCCTCCGTCACCCTCGCCCTCCCCCCTCCCTCGTCCCTCCTCTCCAGGCGCTAGTGGCGGTGGTCGACTCGCCCTCCGACAAGCGCGCCATGACTGCCACGTCACTCGCCATCTGCTTCGCCGTCGCGTCGCTCTGCCCCTTCATCAAGCGCACCGGACACACCGCGCTCGTTCCGCGCAACAGGTATGCATGCGCCAATCCCATTGCACCACACTGCACCGCCTTCACCGTCCCTCGCGGCGTCGCTCTGCCCCTACATCAAGCGCACCGGCTGCTCCGCGCTTGTTCCGCGCAACAGGTGGGCACGCGAGCAGTGCGTGCGAGCGCTCAACCAACCTCTTCATCCGCGTGTCTCGCGGCATGTCGCGCTTGACAGCGGCATGGGCACACTTTCAGTCTCTCGCCCAAGCCGTACGTCTTTCCCTCACTGTCCCTCCGCCTTCCCATTCTCTCCCTAATCCCCCACTACAGTCCCAGCTGGAGCCACAGCCACTAATCCCCCCTCCATATCCTCTGGCGCCAGCATCTCCAGTTGGAAGTGGCCAGCATCGCCAGCACACAGACGCTCAATCCTCACCCATGCCGTCACAAAGTTCCCTCAATCGCTCTCTCTCCTTTCCATCCCGCCCCCCACACCCGTCAACTTCATCCCTCTTCTTCTGCCAGTTGGAAGTGGCCGCTGGCAGTGCGGGTGGGCTCAACCAACCTCTTCATTCACGCCGATGCTCAGACTCTCGCCCACGCCATCACTTCTTTCCCCCTCTGTCCTTTCCTTCTCCAATTCTTCTCCCATGCCTGCGCCCTCGTTGCTTATCCAGTTGGAAATGGCCGCTGGCAGTGCGGGTGGGATCAACCAATCTCGTCATTCACGCAGCAGAATCTCACCCTTGCTGCCACTGCTTCCTCCTACTGTCCCTCCCCATTTCCCCTCCCTTTCACAAACTCCCCTTTCCCTCCTCTGCCCCCCTGTCCCATCCAGTTGGAAGTGGCCGCTGGCAATTCGGGTGGGATCAACCAACCTCTTCATTCACGCAAACGCTCAGACTCTCGCCCACGTGTCACTGCTCCCTCAATCTGTCTCTCTGCTACCCTCCTCTCCCTCATCTGCACCTCCTCCCCACATCCCAGTTGGAAGTGGCCGCTGGCAGTGCGCGTGGGATCAACCAACCTCTTCATTCACGCCGACGCTCAGACGCTCGCGCATGCCATCACCAAGGCAATCACCCTCATTTCCTTCACTGTTCCGCCACTCCATTCCCCACCCTGTCAGTTGGAAGTGGCCGTTGGCAGTGCGGGTGGGCTCAACCAACCTCTTCATTCACGCCGATGCTCAAACCCTCGCCCATGCCGTCACCAAGGCCATCGCATTCGTGCCTCTGGGAATCTGCAACGACACGGCTGCCAGCATTCTCTTCCCAGGTAGCTAATGCCCCACCCTACCCCTCTCCCTCTCTCTCCAATCACAACATCTCGTGATGCTCCCACGCTCACACCCTCGCCCGCTCGCCCATGCCGTCACCAAAGCCATCACTTCCGTGCCTCTGGGAATATGCAACGACACGACAGCATTCTCTTTCCAGGTAACTACCCTACCGCCTACTCTCCCCCCTCCCCCTCTAACACAATCCTCCCCCACTCTCTTCCCCACCAGGCCTCCAGTCCTAATGGTTGCTAATCCTTCAGCCCTCCACGTTCCTCCTATCTATTCTGCCTCCCTCAACTCCCTTACCACCTGCCCTTGTTCCTCCTTCCGACCCCCTTCCACCTCACCCACCCTCTCTCCCAATTTCTCCCACCAGGCCTACAGCCCTACTGGCTGCTGCTGCTGCAGCTCTCCACCCTCCTCCTCGTGGTTGCGCCTTCATCACCCACCTAACTTTGTTCTTCCTTTCTCCCCCACTCCCATTCTCCCCTCCCCCACCTTCTCTCCCTCCCACCAGGCCTACAGCCCTACTGGCTGCTGCTGATCCAGCTCTCCACGTTCCTCCTGCCCATTCCACCCTCACCACCTCACACCACCTGCTCTTGTTCCTCCCATCCCCACTATCCCCCATTCGCCCCCACCAGGCCTACAGCCCTACTGGCTGCTGCAGTATTCAGCTCTCAACCTTCCTCGTCGCCTCTCTCACCCACCTGCCTCCTCCTTTGTCCCCCACTCCCGTCCTCCCTCCCGTCCTCCCGTCCTCCCTCCCGTCCTCCCTCCCGTCCTCCCTCCCGTCCTCCCGTCCTTCTCTCCCCCCACCAGCCCTACAGCCCTACTGGCTGCAGTATTCAGCTCTCAACCTTCCTCCTCGTCGCATCCCTCACCCACCTGCCTCCTCTGTCCCCTACTCCCCCTTACTCCCCCCACTCTCCTTCCACTCTCTCCCCACCAGGCCTACAGCCCTACTGGCTGCTGCAGTATTCTGCTCTCAACCTTCCTCGTCGCCTCTCTCACCCACCTGCCTCCTCCTTTGTCCCCCACTCCCGTCCTCCCTTACCCCACCTTCTCTCCCCCCACCAGGTCTACAGCCCTACTGGCTGCTGCTGATCCAGCTCTCCACGTTCCTCCTCGTCGCCTCCCTCAACCATCTGTCCTTCCTCCTTTCTCCCCGTCTTTCACCCCACTCCTTCCCCCTCTTCCCCCCCACTAGGTCTACAGCCCTACTGGCTGCTGTTGATCCAGCTCTCCACCTTCCTCCTCGTCGCCTCTCTCACCTTCTTCGTGCATGACCACGTGCCATCCATCCGCACAGCAGCCCGCCCATTGGAACCTTCGCTGTAAGTAGTATTAATCATAGATGTCACACGCACCCCGTGGCCTCTCTTTCCTTCTTCGTGCATGACCATGTGCCATCCATCCGCACTGCTGCAAGGCCGCTAGAGCCCTCCCTGTAAGCACACCCATCTTCGCTGTAGTCACATTCATTTACATCTCTTCAGTTATTAGCACCTCGCCTCTCTCATGTGCATGAAAACGTGCCGTCCATCCGCCCTGCTGGCAGATCACTCGAGCCCTCATTGTAAGCACACCTTCCTTAAAACCCAGGGTCCACAGGTTTCAAAGGTAGGAAGGTTGGTTGGACTTTGTGCCAAAACCAAAGGTAGGAAGCTTGGTTGGACCTTGTAACCCAACCAAAGGTAGGAAGGATGAGGCAACTTCGGGAAACTTGAGACCCCGGTTTTAAACTTTTCACCTTCGTTATTGTCACTTCCACTAAGAGCACCTCGTCGCCTCTCTGAATAATATATGTTACATTTGTCAGAAGCACCTCGCCTCTCTCACCTTCTTCGTGCATGACCACGTGCCTTCCATCCGAAGCGCCGCCAGGCCTCTAGAACCCTCGCTGTAAGCACGCTCCTTTCATAGTAATCACTCGAGATAATAATAATTATTATCACAGTTATCAGAATCACGTTCCTCCTCGTCATCGTCTCTCTCCCCTCTCCCTCCCTCCAGCTTCCCTCTGAATGCTGATGACGAGGCAGAGGAACACACACATCCACACCACCACCACCACTGCACGGCATGCATGCCTGCTGCTGGCGCTTCTGCTGGTGCTGCTCCTGGTGCTCCTGCTTGTGCTGGTGCTACCAACTCCTCCGCAGCCCCCTGCTCCTGCCACCAACACCAACACCAGCGCCACTGCTACGCCTTCAGTCACACCCAGCACAACCAGCACCACCCCACCTGCCACTGCTACAGTCACACTCGCCACTGCCGCTGCCACAGTCACTGCGACAACAACAGCGGCTATTTCGCAAGTGACGTCAGCGCTTACAGCACCAGCGGTTACACTCACAGCGGTAACACCAGTTACAGTCACAGTGCTTACAGTCACAGCGGCTTGACTACCGGCCACAGTCAAGAGGGGAGAGGTTCGGCTTTTCTCGGCCCGCCCGGAGAACCGAACGCACCCCGGGTCGATTCTTCCCATGCTTCCTACACGCCTCGAAGCGGCTCAACTCACGCGTCTCACGTCACCAAATCTGGCTCCTTGCACCCAACCCAACCCAACACCACCACTAACACCAACACCAGCGCCGCTGCCAAGGCTACTGCAGAGACTAAACCCAACCTTTCTTCTTCCGTTGAGCTTCAGTCTTCAGTCACTCTCCAATCCTCTGCAGAAATTCGCTCAACTCGTTCCTCAATAGAGATCCGATCTGTTGCTCTCCATCCCTCTTCTAACTCCATCAATTCAACAGACGTGGTGCAACCATTAGCTAACCCCCACTCCTCCAAGCAGCCCTCCTCTCCCCAACCCCCCTCTCCCCAGCCCCTCTCTCCCCTTCCCCTCTCTTCCACCAAAAATCCCTCGTCCCCTCAGACCACCTCGCGTCCCTCTCAAACTTCCCCCACCGCTCTCAACACCAATCTACCCTGCAGCACCAGTCCGCCCACCCTCCCTCCCAGCACCCACAGCTCTCCACCGTCCCTTCCTCCCAGCAGCAGCGCCACTCCCCTTCAAAACACCTCATTTGCCGGCCACACCCCTCCTCCTAGTCGCTTTGGCGCCGGTAGCACCCCGCTTCTCCTCAGGGGTGTCTTCACCCCACCGCACGACACTCCTCCCCACTCCTTCACCCCTTCTTGCAGCAGCACGCCTCCGGTTGAAAACACCTCATTTGCCGGCCACACTCCCCCTCCCTCGCATGGGTTGAGCACTACCGCTTGCAGCACCCCTCCTCTTCTCAGGGGTGTCAGCAGCCCTCCTCATGATACTCCTCCCCATGCCTCAGCCGGTCACACTCCCCCTCCCTCGCATGGGTTGAGCACTACTGCTTGCAGCACTCCGCTTCTTTTGAAGGGGCTTCAGAGCCCTCCCTCTGCTGCTGACAGCCCGCTCAGTGCTGCTGCCCGTGCTTCCCCTGCTGTCCATGCTTCCCCAGATGCGTCTGCTTCTGCTTCTCTTGCACTCCCAAGTGTCACTTCAGCCACTGCTGCAGCCGATGCTGCTGGTGCTGATGCTGCTGCTGGTGAGGATGAGGATGGGGTGGGGAATGGAGATGGAGGAGAGACGACAGGCGGGGGGAAGGAGGGTGATTCAGGTGCTTCTTCAGGTGTTTTGGAAGAGGAAGGCAAGTATAGGAATGGTAGCATGTCTCCTGGAGGAGCAAGCGACTGCAGCAGCAACAGCAGCAGCAGCAGCAGGAGCAGCAGGAGCAGCAGGAGCAGCAGTGGTGGTGGTAACAGCGGCCCTCAGTGTGGCTTGCTGTGTTTGGTTCGCAGGAACAGCAGCGGCAGCAGCAGCTGCTGTAGAGGCGGCAGCAGCAGCAGCAGCAGCAGCCAGCACAAGACAGGGAGGGTGGATAGCGAGTCAAAGGCGAAGAAGGGCAGAGGAGGAGAGAGAGAAGAGGGTAGAGGGGTTTTGCTTGAGGCTAGGAGTCGAGACACGAGGGGAGAGGCAGAGGGTGGAGGTGCCAATGAAAGAAGAGCAGCAGCAGAGCCTGCAGCAGCACGGGAACTTGCACCAGCAAGAGAAGAAGCAGGCGCAGCAACAGTAGCAGCAGAGGGTGTTGAAGCACCAGCAACAACAGCTGCGGTTCTGACAGGAGGAGCAGCAGCAGTAGGGGAGGAGGGTGAAGTGGAAAGTGATGGGATTCTATCATTGCCACTGGCTGCAAGTGAGGTTAATGGCGACAGGGCCACAGGGTCAGAACCAAGAAGTGATGCTCGTGGGGCTGATTCGGGTATCGGAGAGGCTAATAACGATGATAGAAGTGAATGGGGTGCACGTGCTTGGAGGCTGATACCTCCCCCCATGATGGTGCATGCAGGGAGGCAGAATGCAGGGATTGAGAGCAGGATGCAGGGAAGTGAAAGGCAATAACGGGGATTGAAGGGAGAATGAGGTGCATGTGCTTGGAGGTTGGTAACCCTACTCATAATGGTAACAGCAGGGAGGCGAGGTAAGGGGGGTTGAGAGCGGTAGGATGCAATTTTGTGAAAGGCAATAGTGGGGATAGAAAGGGAGTGTGGAAGTGAAAGACCAAGTTGAGAGGTTGACAGCATTTTGTCAGGACCGATAAGGAATGAAATTAGAGTGTGTTATGTTGCATGGAGGGAGGGAAGGGAATTGTCGAGATACTGTAGTGTGGAACTTGTGTAGGCTTATCTTTGGATGGTGGGGGGACATGCGACTGGTTAGTTACTGTGTAACTTGTAGGGCTTTTAACTTGTAGATACACTTTAGGCTTTTGGTATAGAAATGAATGACTTTTTGTAGACAAACAAACTGGTTCTGGTGTCACTCAGTCAGATTCTGAACTGCATGGAATTTGACCTTTTTTGTGATTGGAGAATTGGTTGTGTAAGAGTTGGAGGTTTTAGAGAACCCCTTTAAAATGCCTGGATTTTCAAGTAATGCACAAAACAATCTCGTCTAGATTATGAAAGTCTCCTACCTTAAAACAACCAGGGCTACAGCTGAAGTATACCCATCAACCTCCGCAGCACACAGAAATATACCCTGGATTTTAATTTTCAATTGACAAAACGACCATGTAGTCTAGTCGATTAGGCCAACGGCTCAAACACGATTACCCTAACGAGAAACGATGCACGCCCTAGCGGGAAATGAACAGTACATAGCATCACATTCGCGATGGTGCGTTGTGTCCAGCTACGATGAACCTCGCAGGGCAGCCGCATCCATAATCCCCACGCGTCCCAGCCTGGGCCAGAACAACACACACCTCCCTCGTTCTGACGCAGTTCTGGGCCCCAAACGAACGGCGCGGGTCGATGGTGCACGCAGAACCTCTTGGTTCGGATCAGATGAGCCTGGTTTCGTGTTTCTTGATGTGACTGTGAGGCCTGCCACAGCTGTTTCCTCCAAAAACGCGGGAACTTGGAGCGTTCCGTTCTCCCCGAACCACGAAATCAAACCTCGTTCCTCACCAATTTCTCCCCCAGGGTGCCTCTGCCGAAGCAGACCCTGAAGGCGACGAGTCATTTGATGCCAACGCGGACGGAGCCCACGCGCTCTCGACAACCAAAGGTCGTTCCACCACTAAGCAACGCCCTACCTCGACACATTCACCAATAAGAATTTCCTTGGCCCCCAACAGCACCATTGTTACAGCTGGTAACCAGTCGGTCAGCAGTCATCAGAACGTAACGACTACGGCAAACATCGAGCCGCGCGTTGCTGCGTCCATCTAAACAACCGAGCCAAGGCAGCCTGCCAAACAGCCCGCCACCCATGCCAGACCTGTTGCAGCCATCCTTGCCTGATGCCCGAAACTACGGAAACGAGTCCTAAGAATTCGCACGACCTCTCACGATGAGCGAAACGTTCGCAAACCACTTATTTCTGGTTTCTGTTTTCTCGCAAACACTTCGCTATTGTTTTTTTCCCCGCATAGCGTGAAGCTCGGTTGTCTCCTTCGTTCTGCCCTCCACCCTGCAGCTTGGCTTCTCCCTTCACCTCTCCCCAAATCACTTGTTCTGGTTCGGTTTGGTTTGGTCGATAGAACCCACCGCCTCCTTCTGCCGTTCCCTCACGAATCAAGCCATTTCGCATTGAGATAAGATGGCAATGCGGCTTTCATGGCCCAAGTAGTCGCGTCTTTCTCCTCCAACATACGGAAGTTACTTGTCACACCGATATCACTTCTTCGCAATAGCTTAAAGATCGGCAGTATAGGTCCCGCATCCATAGCACTCACCAGTAGGCCGGCCGATTCTCAACTACTTGCTCGTCGCCGAACTCGCGCAGTAACAGTTACAGCTTCGTCTAACGCCGGCGGTACTGAGCAAGAAATCTCGGAGGATCCCAAGTCAGCGAGCATGGCGAACATAAAAGACGGCTTCGCGAGAAAAGGAACATTTCGTTCGGATTATGGATACAGGTGACCCCTTCCGACCCTTCCTGAGCCCTCATGACCCCATCTCTCACGACTGTAGAAATGGCCACGTGGCAAATTACCCTTGCCGTCGGCGTCTCCGCTAGACATAAGCTCCAGAAGGATGATTTCTCCCCTTACCAACCCTCACCCCAGCATCGGCTTTCCAGGAACGGCTTATACAAAATCCACCAGTGAATCCATATCGATTAACGCGCAACGAACATAAAACTCGTAACGTGCTACATCAGGTCAATTTGTTACGTGCAGATTATACGTCGGCTCCTCGTCTCACCTCCCAATTCCTTCAGTTTTTCCACAAGAATCCACCTTATCCTACGTTCTACCATCCGCTTCCCTCGTCTCTTTGACCCCCTGTCCCATCTTTCCCCCTCCGCCCCATTGCCCGATTGTGCACCCGTTCCGCGTTCCCCTTCCCATTCTTCCGAAGGTCCCCTCAGGACATAGCAGCAGCCCGCGCAGCGCTCTGATACCGCGCGAGCGGAGCGAATCGAGTAGACTGACCCGCTTACCGTTGCCCTCTTTACCTAATCGTCGACTTTGTCTCTCTCCTCCCCCTCCCTCCCCCCCTCCGCTCCCCCCTTCCCCCAACCCCTCTTCCCTCCCCCGTTAATTAATTTGAACCCCTGTTTTCCCGCTCATCGCGCTCGTGTTCCCCTCCCTTCCGCCAGAGCTTCCCCCGACATGGCGGCCGCGCGCGCAGAGGCGCTGCTTCCGCGCGAGCGGAGCGAGTGCAACCTGCAGGGCGGGCACGAGCAACACCTGCACCACCACCACCACGGCTTCGGCGATAAAACTATCACGTTCTGGGGGTGCGTGGCTGGACGGGTTAGGATGGGTGGACGGGTTGGGATGAGTGGACGGGTTGGGGTTGAGACGCGGGGCGTCTGTTTGAGGAATCAAGGGCACGAGCAGCACCTGCACCACCACCACCACGGCTTCGGCGACAAAACTATCACGTTCTGAGGGTGCGTGGGTGGACGGGTTAGGATGGGTGGACGGGTTGGGGTTGAGACGCGGGTCGTCTGTTTCGGGAATCAAGGGCACGAGCATCACCTGCACAACCACCACCACAACCACCACGGATTCGGCTTTAAAACCATCACGTTCTGGGGGTGCGTGGGGTGGACGGGTTGGGATGAGTGGACGGGTTGGGATGGGTGGACGGGTTGGGGTTGAGACGCGGGGCGTCTGTTGCAAAACTCAAGGGTACGAGCAGCACCTGCACCACCACCACCACCACGGCTTCGGCGACAAAACTATCACGCTCTGGTGGTGCGTGGGTGGACGGGTTGGGATGAGTGGACGGGTTGGGGTTGAGACGCGGGGCGTCTGTGTCGGTAATCAAGGGCACGAGCAGCACCTGCACCACCACCACCACGGCTTCGGCGATAAAACCATCACGTTCAGGGGGTGAGCGGGCGAACGGCCTGTGGGTGAGTGGATGGGTTGAGGGTGAGACGCGGGCCCTCTTCTTCGTAATTTAAGGGTACGAGTATCACCTGCACCATCACCACAGATTCGGTGATAAATTCATCCTCCCCCCAACGCCCCCTTTCGGTAAGGGATGTTGGTGGGAGGCGGGGCGACGAGCGGGAGAGGGAATAGAAAGTAAGGGCACCCCTTACCGAGGTAAGGGGTGTGGTGTTGTTTGATGGAGGGGTGGTGCGTTTCCCCTCCATCCTACCTGTTCTGCATCCCAGAAGCCTGCGTGCTCGATTTTGCTATTTTCTGCTGCTGCTGCTGCTGCTGCCGCTTCCTCAAAAAACCCACCCCCACCCAACTCCCAATCACCCCTTCATACCCATCCGCACCGTCAGATCTTGCGTGCTCAACTTCAATAATATCACGGGACCAGCTGTCGTGGTTCTCCCGTTGCTATACGCCCAGGCGGGATGGTTTTTACCAACTGCGGGGTTGACGCTCATGTGGCTGTTTTCGTCGTTTGCGGCCACGATGATGTGCGAGGCGCAGCAGCGAATTCCGGGTAACAAGGGTTTCGCGAGGCGGTTTGAGTACTGCACGCTCGTACGGCATTATTTCGGCGATCGGTGGTACACGCTCGCGCAAATCGGATTCAACGCGGGGCTGCTCGCGTCGAATATCGCGTCCATGATTGTTACATCGCAGGTACAGTGAAATATAACTAAAGTAAGGAAGAAGAAGAATAAGAAGAGGATGAACCCTATGGGTAGTATATTTCACATGAAAGTGGTACATGAGAGATTTTTTGTGTGAGATCCTTCTTTATTTTTGAGGAATCTACTCTTGGAATGACATGACACATAGGAAGAGGATCTCTGTAACAAATTCAGCTGAGTTGAGTGAGGATCTCTGCATGGAAATTGAGGTGAGTTGGGTGAGGATCGTTTTGAGACGTCTCAAAACACTTCTTCAAACATGAGGATCTCTGCATACAAATTCAGGTGAGTTGGGTGAGGATCTCTGCATGGAAATTGAGGTGAGTTGGGCGAAAAACGAACACGGGAGAGTAACAGAACTACAGAACAAATAGTCGCGTGACTTGCCGCCCCTGTCTCCCCTCACACCCACAGGTCCTAGACTCGGTTGTGTACCGACTAGCCGGCACGTCCTATGGCTTGGACTACGGGCAGTGGCCGCCTGCATTCATCGAATCTCTTGCAACGGGGGAAGCAGGAGGGAACGTGTGTGCATGGGGGACCACCAGCAGCGGTGACTGCAACCGATCAGTGATCTCCCTGGGGTGAGTGAAGGAGAGAGCGGTAGAGTGGGAGAGAGTGGGAGAGGAGGAGGTTGGGTGGGACTGGAAGAAAGGGCAGGCAGGGGATAGGGGGGTATGGGAGGGAACGCGTGCGCATGGGGAACCGGCAGCAGTGGTGACTGAACCGTTTAGTGATCTCCCTGGGGTGAGTGAGGGGAGAGAGGAGAGAGAGAGAGAGAGAGAGAGAGAGAGAGAGAGAGAGAGAGAGAGAGAGAGAGAGACTGAGGGAGACAGGAAAGTCTGAAACGAGGGGCAGAGGAGGGGGAAGAGCGTGTGGGGGACCACCAGCATTGCAAACGATCGGTGATCTCACTGGGATGAGTGAGGGAGATAGAGGTGTTTGGAGGTTTAGAATGGGAGGAAAGGGGGGGGACGGGGGGGATGGGGGGCGCATGGGGTACCACCAGCTGCGGTGACTGCAATCGATCAATGATTTCCCTGGGGTGAGTGAGTGATTGGGAGGGGGAATTCAAAAGAGGTGGAAGGAACGGACTGGGAGGAAGGAAGAGGTACAACCAAATTATAGACAGTAGCCTAAACCCTCCCAGGGAGAAGAACAATGACAGGGAGAGGGTTCTAAACCGCTGGACTTCGCTGTTTCTGGTTTTTTATTCAGTTCACAGGGTTAAGGGTTCCCGGGTTAAGGGTTCAGGGTTCCGGGGTTTAGTCTTGCTGTGCTAAATGTCGCTCTCCTTTCAGCCTCACGCTGGCAATGGTAGTCACACCAGTGTGTCTTGATCCTTTCTCATCCATCCCAATCCATCCCGATCCATCCCATTCCATCCCAATCCATCCCAATCTATCCCGATCCATCGCAATCCATCCCAATCCATCCCAATCCATCCCAATCCATCCCAAATTTATCCCGATCCATCGCAATCCATCCCAATCCATCCCAATCCATCGCAATCCATCCCAATCCATCCCAATCCATCCCAATCCATCCCATTCCATCCCAATCCATCCCGATCCATCCCGATCCATCCCGATCGATCGCAATCCATCCCAATCCATCCCATTCCATCCCAATCCATCCCGATCCATCCCAATCCATCCCGATCCATCCCAATCCATCCCAGTCCATCCAAATGTCTTGCCTGACATCCTTTTTCCTGTGTGCTCCCACTCCCTCAGCTTCGTCCTCGCAATGGCAGTCTGTGTCCCCTTTGCCCGTCTCAACCTGGACGACAACATGGGCTTTCAGTGGCTCTCCATGCTCGCCCAGCTGCTAAATTTTGTGCCGTTTTCTCTGCTCCCTCCACCTATCCTTCGTTCCTTCCCTTCCTCCCACCTCTCCCCATCTCCACTGCAGCTTCGTACTCGCTATGGCAGTGTGCGTCCCATTCGCCCGTCTCAACCTGGACGACAACATGGGCTTCCAGTGGCTCTCCATGCTCGCCCACCTGCTCATCAACTCACTGTGCCCGTTCCCTTGCTCCCGTTCACTGTGCCCCTTGTCTCTGCTCCCCATCTCCACTGCAGCTTCGTCCTGGCAATGGCGGTGTGCGTCCCATTCGCCTGTCTCAACCTGGACGACAACATGGGCTTCCAGTGGCTCTCAGTGTTCTCATCTTCCCTCCTCTGTGTTCCACCTGTCTCCCCATCACCCCTTCCCCCCTCCCAGCTTTGTCCTGTCCTGGCAATGGCAGTCTGTGTCCCCTTTGCCCGCCTTAATCTCGACGACAACATGTCCTTCCAGTGGCTCTCCATGCTCGCCAACCTGCTCTTCAATTCATTGTGCCCCCCTTGTCTTTCCTCCCCATCTACTCTTCCTCCCAGATTCGTGCTGGCAATGGCAGTGTGCGTCCCATTCGCCCGCCTTAATCTCGATGACAACATGGGCTTCCAGTGGCTCTCCATGCTCGCCCACCTGCTCACCCCTGTGTGTCGTTTTCCCCTCTCCCCATCTCCACTGCAGTTTTGTCCTGGCAATGGCGGTGTGCGTCCCATTCGCCCGTCTCAACCTAGACGACAACATGGGCTTCCAGTGGCTCTCCATGCTCGCCCAGCTGCTCTTCTCCTTTGAGTTCGCCGCCCAGTTCCTCTCCAACCTCTTCCCGGGCTCTCCTAATTACTGCACCGGAAATGGGCCTGGGAGAACACCGTTTTTGGGACTCGATATAAGCCAGGTAAGAGCTGTACTCCATATAAGCCAAGTGATATAAGCAGGTGAAAGTTGCTCCATACTCGCCCAGCTGCTCTTCTCCTTTGAGTTCGCCGCCCAGTTCCTCTCCAACCTCTTCCCGGGATCCCCCAACTATTGCGCTGGAAATGGGCCGGGGAGAACACCATGTTTGGGACTCGATATAAGCCAGGTAAGGGCTGTATAATCCAGAGATATAAGCAGGTGAAAGCTACTCCACGCTCGCCCAGCTGCTCTTCTCCTTTGAGTTTGCTGCCCAGTTCCTCTCCAACCTCCTCCCTGGATCCCCCAATTTACTTTGCCGCTCTCCTTTCCATCCCCATCCCCGTCTTTTACCTCTTTTTTTCCCTTCCCTCCCCCCTCCTTGGTCCCTCATTCTTTCCACTCAACCAGGTCCTAGGAGTGTGCATCTTAGCATACTCCTACGTCAGCACCATCCCCTCTGTCTGGCCCTACTTTGTGCCTGCTCAAGTAGTTCCTCTCTCTCATTCTCTCTCCCACTCCTCGTCCCCCTTTCCCAGGTCCTAGGAGTGTGTGTGTTTGCGTACTCCTACGTCAGCACCATCCCCTCGTGGGCCAATGAGAAGAAGCCAGGTGTCAACGTCAACCGAGCCATCTGGCTGCCTGCCTCCGTTGGTTGCGCCTTGAATATCCTACTCGGTAAGCCACACACACGGTTGCCCTGTTACATTGCTATTTTTTTTTGTGTCGACCCACAAGTCAACCGAGCCATCTGGCTGCCTGCTTCCGTTGGCTGTGCCCTCAACATCCTATTTGGTAAGCAGCACACCATCGTACAGTGTTACCTTGTTACAACAATACTACAGTAATGCAATGGTACGCAGTTATACATCTACGTTGACGTTGGAGTCGTCTCAAGAGCCATCTGGCTGCTTGCTTCTGTCAATTTTGCCCTCAATACCTTTCACTGTTACCATCTCACCAAGAATCGTATAACTTGGATGTCGTAAGTCATGCTCAACACGCCCCCTTGTCTTGGCGCCTGTGTTCCCCTGCCTTACAGGCCTGCTAGGAACATAAGCATACAAGCTAGTTAACGACACATGCCACCCATTCACAGAACCACAATGGCTTGCCCAACATGCTTACGTCCTTTCTACGCCTGCCGTGAAGTGGTGTCCCTTGTTACGCACTGTACCCTTTACCGTGAAATAGGCCTTTTCGGGGAGCGCGTGTATCAAGCTTGATAGAGGAACAACATCTGCCACCTGCGGTATGGGCAGGGGACAAGGGATCACGACATGCTTAACATGCTTACGTCCTTTCTACGCCTGTTCCCCCGTGCCCTGGTGCCCCTTGTTACACATTGTACCCTGCAGGCCTCCTGGGAGCGTGGGCGTACAAGCTAGTGGACGACGCAGGGCACCCGTTCGAAGGCACAAAACAACATGCTCAACATGCTTCCATGCCCCTCGCTTACCATACCCCGACCGACCCCACACAGGCCTCCTAGGAGCATGGGCGTACAAGCTAGTGGACGACGCAGGGCACCCGTTCTCAAAGTTTAGGTCATACGCCCAACATACCTTCCTACGCCTGTTCCCCTGTGCTCTAATGCCCCATGTTGTACCCTGCAGGCCTCCTAGGGGCGTGGGCGTACAAGCTAGTGGACGACGCAGGGCACCCATTCAAGGGCACAGACAACATGCTAAACATGCTTCCCTATGCCCCCGTGCCCTGTGCCCTGTTCCCATTGTTTTGCCCTGTGCAAATCAGGCCTCCTGGGCGCGTGGGCGTACAAGCTAGTGGACGACGCAGGGCACCCGTTCAAGGGCACGGACAACATGCTCAACATGCTGGATGGGCAGGCCGATGCCGCAACCGCGTGCGGCCATCCCCATGTGAGAAGCTTGCCTTGCACTGCATTACCGGTGACCACTGTGCACTGTGGTATAGCCTCAGGCCACCCAATCAAGGGCATCCCCATCCTGGCCATCATGGTGCGCTACAACCTGCAGGCCTCACCAACCTACTCTTACCCTTCCCCCCCTTCTTTCCCTTCTCTCCTTCCCCTTCCTCCCCTCTTTCTTCCTCCTCCCCCCCTCCCCCCTTCCTCTCCCCCGCTTCTCCCTTCTCTCGTCCCCCTTCTTCCCCCTTCTCTGTCCTCCTCCTGCTTTCTGTCTGTGTTACAGGTCTCCCCAGCAACGGAATTCTCAGTCTACATGTGGGGTTTCTTCGGCTACATCCCGGGAATCCCCATCCTGGCCATCATGGTGCGCTACAACCTGCAGGCCTCGGGTCTCCCTCTTACCCTTCCCCTCTCCTTTTTCCCTTCCCCCTCTTCTTTCCTCTCCTCTGTACCTCCGTCTTCCCCCCCTTTCTTCCGTCCCTTTCCTCCGTCTCTCCTTCCACGTCCCCATCAACCCCCCCATTTGCCGTGCTACAGGTCTCCCCAGCAACGGAATTTTCAGTGTACATGTGGGGCTTCTTCGGCTACATCCCGGGAATCCCCATCCTGGCCATCATGGTGCGCTACAACCTGCAGGCCTCACCAGCCCCCTCTTACCCTTCCCCCCCCCTTCTTTCCCTTCCCTCCTTCCCCCTTCCTTTCCTCTCCCCTTTTTTTCTCCCCCCCTCTCTTCCCCCTCCTCTCTTGCTCCTTCCCTGTCCCTATCTGTCTCCTTCCTCTCTGCGATACAGGTCTCCCCAGCTACGGAATTTTCCGTCTACATGTGGGGTTTCTTCGGCTACATTCCGGGAATCCCCATCCTGGCCATCATGGTGCGCTACAACCTGCAGGCCTCGGGTCTCTTCTCCGACTCTTCTGCATTCTTCTGGGCGGTTGTGGCGCCCTGGTTACTCACTGCATTCTTCTACCAGGCCCAGGTGAGACACAGCTAGTTGTGTGGGTCTTGGGTGTGCATATGTACGCCTCTATAGTGTGCTACAGGCAGCCTACAACCTGCAGGCCTCGGGTCTCTTCTCCGACTCAGCCGCCTTCTTCTGGGCAGTTGTGGCGCCCTGGCTGCTCACTGCATTCTTTTATCAAGCTCAGGTGAGACCCCAACCCTAAACCCGAAACCCTACCCCTTACCCTGCGCCTCTATAGCATGCTACAAGCAGTCTACAACCTGCAGGCCTCAGGTCTCTTCTCCGACTCTTCCGCCTTCTTCTGGGTGGTTGTGGCGCCCTGGCTGCTCACTGCATTCTTCTACCAAGCTCAGGTGAGACTCTCCTTCTAGGGGTAGGTAAGCATACCTGCAACCTTCAATGTACAGGGTGGTCCCCTGTGAATCCCCATCCTGGCCATCATGGTGCGCTACAACCTGCTGGCCTCCCCTGCAGGTGCCCGTGCAGTTGTGCAACTAGGCCGCCATCATCTGCCAGGGTTCCATCATCACTCACCCAATCCTCCCCGTATCCCCTTTGCCCTCCCTTGTGCGCAATCCCCCCCTCCTGCATCCCCGTACAGCTGCTAGTGCAGTTCTGCAACTGGGTGGCCATCATCTGCCAAGGATTCATCAACCTCGTCGACTCAGGCACTAATCCTTAACCACCATGCCTTCCCTTGCGCACTGTCTTGCCTCCATTCTCCCTCCTCTTTGCTGCAGGTGCTAGTCCAGTTCTGCAACTGGGTGGCCATCATCTGCCAGGGATTCATCAATCTCGTCATCCCAGCAGCCCCTAACCTATGCCCACCATCCATCTGCACCCCTTCCACCGCTCTCCACCCCCCTATCAGGTTCTAGTGCAGTTCTGCAACTGGGTGGCCATCATCTGTCAAGGATTCATCAATCTCGTCGTCCCAACGCTGCTCTTCCGAGCCGCACTCGTCACATACCCCACCCCCGAAGAGCTCGAATCTCGAGGCTACCTCATCGTCTCCTCCTCCCCTCCCTCCTCCACACCGCTCTCCACCACTCCGCCCGCCTCCACACCGCTCCGAACCTCCTCCAGCGCCGATCGGAGCTTTGTGGGTCTGATTCAGAATGTGATTGCTGCGCTTTCTCCCAAGCACTCACCAAGTTCGTCTGAAGGAGGAGGAGCGGGAGTGATGGAGAGTGATATGGAAGGGGCCGGTGCTTATAAGCAGATGCCGGACGGTGCAGGAGGGGAGGTGGGGCGGGAGGGAGATGTGATTGTAGAGGGGGCTCGGGTGGTGGATTCGGAGAGTGACAGTGGGAGTGTGAGTGAAGAGGGGGGGAGTGAGACAGAACCTCTCACTGCTGCTGCTGCTGCCACTGCTGCTGCTGCAGTCACAACTGCCACTCCCGCCACCACCACCACCGCCACCACCACCACCGCCACCACCACCACCGCCACCACTGCCACTGCAACTGCTGCTGCACCAGCCGTGGCTGTAGATGTGGATCGGAGCAGCAGAGCAGCAACACAACGGCAGGCAGCTAGCCGAACAACAGCAGCAGCAGATCCAGTGGCTCTGATCGGTCCAGGTCAGAAGGTGGTGCTGGAGCCACCTGTGCAAGCAGTGCCTACGTGGCTGCGTGTGGACCCCTTGATATTTGCCAGCGCGATGACGTGGACAACGGGGCTGCTGGTAGCTGTCAGCATTGCCATCACTCTTCTCTCGCCCTAAAGCTTTGGAGCGTCTAGAGCCCTTAAAGCCCACATGGCTGCGTGTGGATCCCTTGATATTCGCCAGCGCGATGACATGGACCACAGGGTTATTAGTGGCTGTCAGCATCGCCATCACCCTCCTCTCCCCTTAACCTCCAATATACGCACACAACAGGCTACTTGTGGTTGGTTACCACACATACACCCCGCATCTTGTGAGATTGCAGGGGACAGGGTAAACCCTGCATGCAGCCTAGATAGAAGGGCATTAGGTAATTAGACGAGGGGCGGGAGGAGGGGACTTACGACTGGCAGGAGGATGGTACGGCATGGTACGGTATGGGGGAACGGGTGGTGAGATGTTGATGAACGATGCAGCAGCAAATCTCTTGCGGAGGAGCATTGAGCGATACTGTACCAGTGGCACATACAGTAGATGCTCATTGAGCATTGAGCAGCTCATGGTTGCTCTCTCTCCGACTGGCACAGGTGGCTTGCTTTAGTTGACAGGTGCTGCTCGAATGCTATTGGTACTTGAGGCTTGGCCCACGCATCAGCAGCAGCAGCATCAAGCTGGTGTGGCAAGCTTCCATTTTGGTTTTCCATTCCATTTTTGGCGAATTGTTTGGTCCAGCAGAATGTGCTTGCTCAGCAACGTCTGCTATGCTTTACTCTGTTGGTGACTGGAAAAAATTTACATGCAATGTACCGTAATCCCCCGTATATAAGACCCTAGGGTATTATGATAATCACCCCTAAAAAGGCTGGGGGGTATAATTAAATGGTGTATTTTTTATAAGACCCGGGTCTTTTCATTTTGACATTTATAAGAATGCAGTTTGGAGCTCAAAGAAGTGATTTGTAATTGCTCCGCTTTTAGCTCCTGATGTATCACATTTTTCAAAGGGCTAACATTCGCCCCCACACATTCTGCCTCACACATTCGCCCTCGGGTCGGGTCACAGCAGGGAATTGTACTGTCAGGACAGGGATTCGCCCTGTCAGGGAAGAGATTCGCCTTGTCAGGGTAGAGATTCGCCCTGTCAAAAAGAGATTCGCCCCGTCAGGGCACAGATTCGCCATGTCACTGTCCGAAATCGTGCTATTATATGTTTCAATTTCAGAAAGAACTGGAAACACGTTTCTGATGGATCAGATGAAATCAAAAAACCATTTCTGATCGATCAGATAAAATATAAACCCAATTTCTGAAGAAAAATCAGATTTGCACAAAAAAACAACATGGAATATGACCATTTTCACTTGCGTTTTCTTGAATTCCGCACTTGTCTAGGATGTGGGGGGGTGTCAGAATGAAGAATGGATGGTGCATTGATGTTGGTTGGGGTACATATAGCTAACCCTAAGTTTTGTACCCCCTAAGACAAACCTCACTATAGGCTACAACATTTGACACACCCCCATAGCCTAAGTGAGGGGTGTCTAGCAGAACCAAACGAGTACGGTCACAAGACCAGTCCAAGAAACGAAGCTCAGGGTGGATCACAACGTCACCACACAGTCTGAGCACAAACAACAGTGGCCACAAGGCCAGTCCAAGAAGTAACAGAGGTATATAGAAAGCAAAGTAAACAGTACACTCAAGTCTAAGCAACACGAGAACCAGTGTCAACAAGGCCTAACTGCACACAGCACCTCTGGTGGTCACAAGGCGGAAGCGCCTTGGTGAAGATGTCTGCAGTGTTGGCCTCGGACTCCACAAACTCAAAGCGAGCCTGTCCACGCCTCTGCAACTCTCGCAGAAGAAAGTACCTGACGTGAATGTGCTTCACTCTGCTCTCCAGTCGTGGCTCTCGACAAAGGAGAATAGACGCCTTGTTGTCAGTGAACAAGGTCGGTGCAGAGCTCGGCCGCTCACCAAGGTCGGTGAGCAAGAAGGTCAACCAACGCAGCTCCTGTGCCGCCATGGCACCAGCGTAGATCTCAGCCTCAGCTGTAGAGGTCGAGACCGAAGAGGAGCGCGTGGACCGCCAGGAAACAGCTCCAGAACCCAGGCTGAAACAGTACCCCTGAGTAGACCTGTGAGTCTCAGCGTCGTCAGCGTAAGAGGAGTCACAGTGACCAGTAAGTACGACAGACTGCTGCCCTCCAAGAACTAGCCCCACGCCTGACGTCGTCGCTAGGTACTTCGCCACCCTCACAGCTGCTGTCCAGTGAACAGGACGGTGTCTCCCTGGCGCAACAAAGCGCGCAAGAACGCTGAGAGGGAAGGCGAGGTCCGGGCGAGTACAAGTCATCAGGTACATGAGGCAACCCACAAGCTCTGCGTAGGGACCACTAGGCTCGAACGGCTCGTCAGGAAAGGGTCCAGTGAGTCTGTGGTCAACAGCAAGAGGTGTGCGCTGTACTGTGGAGTGCTGAAGCCCGAACCGCTGAAGGACCTGCTGCACCATGTGCGACTGTGAAAGTGTAATGGTGCGAGCAGCTCTGTCCCTGGTGATCTGCAGGCCAAGGTAGTGGTGCAGCTCACCAAGATCAGTGCAGGTGTGTCTCTTCTGCAGTTCGGACTTCACGTGTGCCAAAGCAACCCTGTCAGGGGTGGCGAAAACAAGGTCGTCAACGTAGACCAGAACAAAGAAAGGTGTGGTGCCACGACGAACGAACAGCGACGGGTCAGCAGAAGACGGCTGGAACCCAAGGTCAGACAGGGTAGAACGCAGGGTGTCGTGCCACTCACGAGGAGCCTGACGAAGACCGTAAACCGGTCGCCTCAGCCTCCACTGGGTCCCAGGAGGGAAAGAGCCAGTGAAGGCAGAGGGACGACGCAACCAGACCTCCTCGTGAAGACTGCCCTGAAGGAAAGCAGTAGAGAAGTCGAGAGAGTGTAACTCGTAGTCTCTCTGTGCTGCTACGTGTAGTAACACCCGAAGAGTGGTCATCTTCGGGGTGGGCGCGAAGGTCTGAAAGAAGTCAACTCCCTCGCGCTGACTGAAACCTCTAGCCACGTAGCGCGCCTTGAAGACCGGAGGAGATCCCGGTGGCCGCTTCACCCTGTAGATCCACATGCCGTCGACTACGTTCGCCCCCGGAGGGGGAACCTCATCGACGTAGGTGCCTGTGGATCTATAGGAGGCCATCTCTGTGTCCATGGCAGCTCTCCACTGAGAGGCCCAAGGCCCTGACACTGCCTCAGCGTAAGTGCGAGGAGTCGGAATGTCAAGGGCGTCGGGGTCACCCTCAGGGGCGAGGAGCATGGCACAGAGATGAGGGGAAGCGGCGGCCAGGAACTCTAGCTCAAACTGCCTGTCCTCTAGGGCGTCACAGCCAAGGGCAGACACACCCCCGACGGCCAGAGGACTGGAAGGAGGAGCAGCCACAAGAGCGGTGGCGAAGTCAAGGCGGCGGGTAGAGGCAAAGTCAGTGACTGCGGCAGTAAGAGCGGACACAGAGGACACAGAGGCACGAGGGTGAGTAACAAGCGAGGCGAGAACACGAGAGAGAAGAGGATGGTACGTGCGGTAGTAGGGAGCGACGCAGTGAGAGCCGACTCAGGAGGAGACGGAAGCACAGACGGAGACGGACGAGGTGGACTAGAACGAAGTAAGGCAGTACGAAGGTCAGTGAAGGGAACAGGAGACGAGGGACGAGCACGAGGGGAGCGACGAGAGGCCCAAGTCTGAGAAGAAGGAGGGGACAACGAAGACTGAGAACGAGGGAAAACAGCGGGAGAGGGGTCAGGAGGAGGAAGCGAAGGACCAGAGACGGGAGGAGAGGGGGAGGAGGAAGGAGAGGGAGAGGGGAGACCAAGGGTCCGAAGACCCGAGACAGGAGGAGGAGACGGCAGCTGCTGCTGCTGCGGCTGCTGCGGCTGCTGCTGCTCCAGCGGCTGCTGCCCCTGCTGCTGTCGCTCCTGCTCCTCGAGCCGCTGCAACTCTCTCTCCTCTCTCTCCAACTCCAGCTGCTCCTCACGAGCACGGCGAACACGAGCCTGGAACCTGGTCGGGTAGGGGTGGGGGGAAGGAGTAGTGTCCGGGGCAGCGGCAGCCCCAGAGTCGACCTCCGAAGCACCAAGCACACCACCCCCAGAGGCAGCACCAACACCAGCTCCAGACCCAGGCCCTCCAGAAACCGAAGGGACACCCTCACCCCCAGACGCAGCACCCCCAGACTCCGCACGACCAGTACCAGCCCCCGGAAGACAAGAGTCCTCTGCAACCCGCGGCTCAGCTCCAACTCCAGCACCCCCAGAACCAGAGACCTGTACAGGGACAGTCGCCGGACCAACCTCTCGAGAGGGAGCACCTGCAGGAGGCGGCGAGGAAGACTGTGGGGAGGGAGGCTGTACAGGGGGGGCTACCGAAGGGGGAGGGCTAGCCTGAGACACACCAGACGGGGCTGGACCAGGGGGGGGAGGCTGTACCGGGGGAGCAGGCGGGGGAGCGGCTGTCAGGAAGAGGGGGGGAGGAGGAACCGGGAGACCTCGACTGGGGTACCTGACGTAGTAGGGGGTGGACTCCTCGAAACGGACGTCACGGGAGTCAAAGAACCGGTGAGAGGGAGGGTGGTAAAAGGTGAAGTCAGAGGAGTCCTCAGGGAAACCAAGGAAGACACAAGGAACGGCGCGAGGCGAGAGCTTGTCCGCGGAGGTGTCGCGGACAAGAGCCAAGCACCCCCAGACACGAAACCTCGACGCGACACCAGGGGACCCTGTCCAAAGACTGGTCGGTGAAGCCTCCGGCCGAGAGACGCGTGGCCAGAGGTTCAGCTGGTGCGCGGCGTACCTGACTGCGTATGGCCACAGGAAATGGGGGGCACGGGCGTGAGTCAAGGAGGTGCGGGCAATCTCCATGACCAGGCCTATGCGACGCTCAGCAACCCCATTCTGCTGTGGGGACTCCGGAAGCGTCCAGGACTGACGAATGCCCTGTTCGCGACAGAATCCAGCGAGAATGCCGGAGCGAAACTCGCCCCCGCGGTCGGAGTGGAGACAGCTGACACGACGACCACGAGTGTCCTGGGTGGTAAGCAACCACCTGATCAGCGTAGAAGTCACCTCAGACTTCCTCGCCAGGGGGAACACTGTGGTGTAGCGGGAGTAGTCGTCAACGACCACAAAAAAGAAACGCTCACGCTCAGGGCCAGGGCGAGGAGAGGGGCCCCAGACGTCCAAGTGCAGCGTCTCAAAAGGCTCGGTGGCCGGACGAAGGGAGGAGGAGTGAGGGGTGGCACGCAGCCTACCCTCGACGCAAGGACCGCACGGTGGTGCAAGAGACGGCGGCAGCGACGGCAAGACACGCGGGAGACCTAAGACCAGACGCTGACTAGACATAGCACGCAGACGTGGAAGAGAAGGGTGTCCCATCCGGTGGTGCCACAGAACGGTGGGGTGGGCAAGCGACCGACAGGAGCAAGACGCAGCGACTGGACTGGACGCGACAACCTGAGGGGACGGAACCACCTGGTGAGACGCAGGGAGGAGACTAGGGGGAGGGACAGGAACTGGGAGGAGTGGCTGCTGCGACGGCGGCCGCTGTGGCTGCGGCTGCGGCTGCTGCCGCTGCTGCTGCTGCGCTGCTGCTGCTGCTGCTGCTGCTGCGGCTGCTGCTGCTGCTGCAGTCGCTGCTGAGCGCGCGGGCCAGTGTGAAGAGTGTAGAGACCGGAGCCCGGCTCAGCAGCAAAAGTGGCGAGGGGCTGGTAAGAGTCCCCGTCAACACACACCGCAGTCTCTCCAGAAGGCTCAAACCACACACCCACGTGCTGACTCACGAGGGGTCGCACGCCCACCAAGTTCCGGGAGAACGAGGGGACGTGAAACCCAGTGAGAGACCCAGAAGGAGCAGCCGGACACGGCAAGGTGGTAGTGTGACGCGCAGTGACTGGTCCCGAAGTGGGATCAGCCAGCGCCACAGAAACAGGCGCAGGAAGAGGCGTAAGTGTCGTGCTGTCACGAAAGAAGCAGTGAGAGGCTCCAGAGTCCAGCGTGAACGACAGCGAACCGTCCTCTGAGGTAGCCGCTGGACTAGAGTCTACACAAGAACCTACACTAGCAACAGGCAACTGAGCAAGGCTAGCACCTAAGCTAACAACACCAGAGTAAGCAGAGTCAGAAACACTAGAGTCAACAACAGCATACATAGCATGGGGAGTACCAATCAGATCAACTAACTGCTCAGCAGACATGCCCCACAGAGCGGAGCCGTAGCGCTGAACAAGAGGCAGCCAGTCAGGGGCAGGAGCACCAACCCCGTAGACCAAACGAACCGTGTCAGTGAGCTGAGCAAAGCACTGACCAGGGGGGTGAAACCGGCCACAAGGGTGGCCACGACGAGTGCCTGTCAGAACCTGGTAGGTGCAGGGAGTGTAAGCAGCACCGCGCTGGGTCTGACGCAGCCCCGACCCTGGAGCCAGCTGCTGCCGCTGCTGCTGCTGAGGCTGCTGGGAGGAGAGGGGCTGCTGGTGCTGCAGAAGCTGCTGCTGACGCTGAGCCTGGTACCACGCCGCTGCTCCACCAACCGGGGCAGGAAGTACAGGAGGCGACTGACGAACTCGGGCGTCGCCACCACTAGCAGGCGCAGTGGAGTCACCAGTCACTGCACGAGGCGCCTCTCCAGGCCCTGAACCTCCACCGCCGCCAGGCGCAACGCCACCTCCACTACCTCCGCCTCCACCTCCACTACCACCACCAGAACCGCCTTTCTTGCCACTCCTACCGCGGGACCGCGACGCAGTCGTAACAGCAGCTGCAGTCGCGTCAGTAGCGGCAGTGGCAAGTGAGGCAGTAAAGGTGGGTAACTGCGGGACTGTGCACCCGTGGAAGAGTGGGGGGGGCACAGCACCAGAGGCAGCGGCTACCGAGCGAAGGTTGCTCTCGACGTCCTTGAGTGCAGACTCAAGGACATCGACGGTGAGCTCACTAGGGTGCTTCAGCAGAAGCGCGTCGCGAACGGAGGCAAGGCGGTCAGGGAGGCTAGTGGCGATGAAATAGATAGTAATCGCCATAGGGGGAGGAAGCAGTGCAAGCTGTGCCTCAGTGCAAGCAGCGCGGTAACTAGCGTCGAGCGAGCGGAGGTGAGTGATCAAGTCAGCAGAGCGCTCAAACGAGGCGAGATCAGGAAACAGGAACGGGAGGAAAAGACGGCCAAGAGAGACAGTAGCGGGAGTAGAGTAGCGGGCCTTAATCGCAGTGAGGTACGCAGCAGCGGTGCGAACCTGAGTGAAGTGGACCTCCTCTGACTCAGGGAGGAGGCTGCTGAGTGCGATGCAGGCCGCAGCGTCACGCGACGTCCAAGCCGTCCTGTCAGCGCGCTGACGGGCAAAGCGAGCCGTAGCAGCATCGTCAGGGGCAGGACCTAAAGCGGCAGGCTCGGGGGGCTCGGGGAGGTCACCAGTAGCGTGCGACCAGAGGGTCTCGCCCCCCTGGACTTGACTCTCTAACAGACGGCGAGCGCGAAGAAGCCAGACGGAAAAGTCAAGAGGTCTACCGTCAGCGTCGAAACGAAGAACTCGCGGAGTCGCCATAGCGAGAACGAACGCGAACGAGCAGGCGAGTAACAGCAGGAGGTAAGAGGCAAATTAGGGTTCAGGTGGGGGGACTTAGTCGCAGCGGAACGGGGGAAAGGGCGGGCGCGATGCGACGGGGCAGGGCGACGCGACGGGGCAGGGCGACGCGACGGAGCAGAGGCGACGGGACGGGGAAGGGCGACGCGACGGGGCAGGGCGACGCGACGGGGCAGGGCGACGGGACGGGGCAGGGCGACGGGACGGGGCAGGGCGACGGGACGGGGCAGGGCGACGCGACGGGGCAGGGCGACGGGACGGGGAAGGGCGACGCGACGGGGCAGGGCGACGCGACGGGGCAGGGCGACGGGACGGGGAAGGGCGACGGGACGGGGAAGGGCGACGGGACGGGGCAGGGCGACGGGACGGGGCAGGGCGACGCGACGGAGCAGAGGCGACGGGACGGGGAAGGGCGACGGGACGGGGGGAAAGGGCGCGACGCGACGGGGGGAAAGGGCGCGACGCGACGGGGGGAAAGAGCGCGACGCGACGGGGGGAAAAGGGCGCGACTCGACTGGGGGGAAAGGGCGCGACGCGACGGGGGGAAAGGGACGCGACGAGGGGGAAAGGGCGGGCAGGACGCGACGCTAGGAGTGGCGCTAGGCGCGGCACTACGCGCGGTAACAACGGAACCGGGACGAATGAGAGCTAGGATCAGGCTCGGGAGGCTCGAACGGAGAACGGAGGAACGGGATCCCACAGGATCCTAACCTAACTGATACCATGTCAGAATGAAGAATGGATGGTGCATTGATGTTGGTTGGGGTACATATAGCTAACCCTAACTTTTGTACCCCCTAAGACAAACCTCACTATAGGCTACAACATTTGACAGGGGGGTCTTATAATGTTAGGAGCCATTTAGGGGGGTACAACTCAGATGTACTCGAATAAAGTACCCGGGTCCGTATTATAGACCCGGGGGTCTACAACTGGGGGGGGTCCTATATACGGGGGATTACGGTATGCAAGTTATGGAAAATTTCATCCAATACCACCACTATTGAAGGGTGTTGACTAGCATAGCGACTTCAATGAAGGCTGTGTGTGCTTTAAAGGGAGTACGGGGGGACGAGGGGAGCTACTAAAGAGCTATGAGTGATAGCCACTCCCTAGAAGGAAAAATTGTGTGTAAGGAAGCGGATGTGCGGTCTGATGAGTCACAAGGCGTTTTTTACCAGTGCAAAGTATTACATTGTTTTCAATGTTTATTATAAAGATGCAATTGTACATTTCTCAGTTGAGTTTGTCCCAGTGAGTTTCTCTACAAGTAGGTCTAGGCTGATAGGGAAAGGGCTAGCAGATGAAATTTCGAGTTGTCGTCTCGTCTCGACCTGAACGGCACCAGCATTATTGGTGACAGACAGACATAGCCATGTCGAGCCGAGAGCGCGGTAACCGCGCCGTTTACGCCACGCACAACGCCAGTGCAACACAGCTATGGGGCACCCAGAGTGCAGAACGCAGGCAGCTCTTTTGGAGCGCAGAGACAATTATGGGAGCCGTGCTTGCATGTTAGCTTTCGGGCGTCGCGAACATGACGGGCGCGGGCTCGGAACTTTCGTTGCCAAGAAACTCTCTCGAGAGACGGTGCGTACGGGTGTGCGGCATAGTCATGGGCGTCCCGAACGATAGTGACTCTTTTTCGCCGCGCGGCTTCGTAGCCATGTGCGCGAATAATTATTGGCGCGCAGCGAGAATGGCGGCCGCCAACTCAACCACTGGTAGTTTCCCTGGGGGTATCAAATTCGCCATCAAATAAGGAATACGCGGTCTCTAACGTATACTACATACGTACTACTAGTGTTAGTACGCCTCCTAACATCGAGAACACGCACTCACTTCGTCAGTTATCCATTGCGAGGCTCGAAGGCATAGTACCTCTGACACTTTCTCGCGCGCGCGTGCTACACGCGCAAGCCACTTGCAGCAGCCCTGGCCGTCACGCGCTTCCCAACCCTGCCATCTGCAGCCCTGCCGTGCTGTATCATTCACACACAGGGCGTCTCGTCTTGCTGCTTTACGTTGCGTCAGTCCGTCGATTCTAAAGCTGCATTCCATTCCGGCTGCTGACTCCGACAATCCGGTCCATCTCCCCTACGCCTCGCCGCTCGCCTCGCCGCTCCCCTCGCCGCCACCTCCGCTCGCCGCGACCACCAGCGACGATGACGGGAGACCATTCTAAAGCCGCAGCCGCACTACTCGTCGTCGCCATCTTCTTTGGTACGCCTCCCTCCCTCCCTCCTTCCATCGCGCCGTGCATTCTCATTGGCCCCTCAAGGTCGCAGCCGCGCTACTCGTCGTCGTCATCCTCATTGGTACGCGTCCCTCCCTCGCCTCGCCTTTCTGGTGAAACGCACACAAATATAAATCCATCATACATCAGTTGCTCGCGGAAAGTCAATGCTGGTGAGGTGATGAAGGCTCACTGAACGTCCCATCAGAAGTCGGTTGGGCAGGCATGCATGTATGGTGTCAATCAGAACTCTTCATGGCCGAATTTTTGCCCTTTTTTTATGAATCATGGTTGGAGAATCTCGCAGCGAGTGAGGTGGCAGTGTCGCTGGGAGCACCTGCCGCCAACGGTGCGCCTGCTGGCGGCGGCGCCAGCGACTTCACTGATACCAAGGGTGCGAGCAACCCGACTATCGCCCGTGTGACACCTTCCCTGTCTTGCCCTTTCCCGTGTGACTTTCCTCACAGTGAGTGAGATCGCTGTGTCGCTGGGAGCACCTGCCGCCAACGGTGCGCCTGCTGGCGGCGGCGGCAGCAACTTCATTGATACAACGGGCGCGAGCAACCCGACGATTGCCCATGTGACACCTTCCCTGTCTTCCTTGTCTCCCCATGTCACGTCCTCGCAGCGAGTGACGTGGGATTGCCAGTGGCGCAAGGAGCACCTGCCTCTAACGGCGCGACTGCTGGGGGCGGCAGCAACTTCATTGATACAACGGGCGCGAGCAACCCGACTATCGCCCGCGGCATTAGGGGCGCGGTGAGCGCGGGGAGCGCGGGGAGGATGGCCGCGCGCGAGACGGTGAACGCGGAGCTGCGCGTGGGCACGGTGGTGCTCGCCGGATCGCTCGCGCAGCCGCGCTCCGTCTCCTTCGACCTGGGTCTCTGCGCGCCCGCGCCCGGCGATATCGCGGGCGTGAGCGGCGGCGGCGGCGGCGGCGCGGGTGGCGGAGGAGGCGCGGCGGACGCGCTGGTGTGGTGGGACGTGTTTTCGGATCGCTCGGTGTGCAACGCGGTGCAGCTGTTTGTGTCGCCTGACTGCTCGGGTAACCCTGCGGCGAAATACCCGTTTGCAGGGTATATGAGGTGAGAAGTACCCATTTTTCCGGGCATAGCAACCGCCAAATACCTTGTTCCCCTCATGCCCCTGTGCACCCCTTCCCCACTCCCCAACCCAACCCCACCCCCCTCCTTCCCATCACGCTTCCTCGCCTCCCCGCTCCCATTCTCCCCTTTCGCCGGTGCACATGTGACCACTGCCATCAGACCCCTAACCTATCCGCCCCTCCCCGCGCCCCTCCCCGCGCCCCTCCCCCTGTGCGTGTGTGACCAAACCCTTCAATCCCCCCTACCATGCGCCCCTCCTCCCCGCCCTTGTGCGTGTGTGAGCAGTCCCATCAAGCTGCGCACATCAGTGAAGTCCATCCGCTGCGTTATCAGTGAGTGCCCCGCTGCGGCCATGCTTCTGCTGCTGCCATGCTTCTGCTGCTGCCATGCTTCTGCTGCTGCCATGCTTCTGCTGCTGCTATTCTTCTGCTACGGTGCTTCTGCTGCTATTGCCATCTTTTTTCCTGCATGTCCTACTGTTGCCATGCATTGGCCTTCATACTGCATGTATCTCTCGCCATCTGCTGCTATTGCCATCTTTTGCTGTGTGCCCTCTTGCTGCCAAGTACTGGCCTTTCTGCTGCATCTACCACCACTCATCCCCTGCTGCTGCCTTGCTTCTGCTACTATTACCATGCGTGCCCTGATGCTGCCATGCATTGGCCTTTCTGCTGCACCTGTCGCCATGCATGCCTTGATGCTACCATGCATGCTGCAGACAAAGAGATCGAAGAGCAACAGCAGCTGCTGCTACCATCTGTGCCTTTCTTCCTCATGCCTCTCACCCCATGCCTCTCACCCCATCCCTCTCACCCCATGCCTCTCACCCCATGCCTCTCACCCCATGCCTCTCACCCCATGCCTCTCACTCCATGCCTCTCCTCCCATCCTTCTCTCCCCTTCCCTCTCCCTTATCCTTGATGTGATCCAGACAACATCTGTCAGAGTGCCAAGTGCCCTGAACACTCCACGTGCATAAAGACTAACGATTACAAGGGGGTGGCATGCCAGTGCGCGCAGGGCTATCGTGACGTCTTTGGCCAGTGCAAGCCCCAATAACCTCCCCAATAACACCCCTCCTGCCTAGTACCGTAAAAGTCCTCGCTGTCAAAATTACTTTTGTCACCTGGAGAGGCAGTTCTGTCATGGGAGCCAGTCATTGCCACGTGGGGAAACCAGAGAGGCAGGTGCAGTCACTCTCTGGGTGCCTGCCTGCCTAGCTACACTGCGTAGACGAGCATGTTTTTAGGAGCTACGGTAGTTGGTGCAAAATGCCCTAGAGGTGTGACTATCTAAATTTTCAATAAAATGGGCCCATATGAAAGGCCATTCACTATGCTAGAAGATTATGTTTGAACAATATAATTCTTTGCTCACCCTTCTCATCAGTTCACTCTTGCTAGCCTGCATTGCTTTTACGTTGGATTTGAATCTGAGGTACGGTACTGTCGTTTTTCAGTTGGATGGAAACACGCTTGTAACATGTATGATGGCGTCGCATTATGCTAGTTTTGAGTCATCAAAATAGTGCTAGCTTGATGTTGATTCTAGGAAAACAGATAGACGTGCTTTTTTATTTGTTGGTGTGTTTCGTCAGCGATATGCGGGACACTAATGCCTTCGTGTCTACCGGGATAATACAACAGCCATAAAGTCGATGTCGATGTTTCCACCTTCTGGAGTTTCCCCCACTGTCATTTTCGCCTGCGCCCTCCTCTCAAAACCCCCTCCCCTTCGCTCTCCGCGCATTTTTCCCGCGCCTCACGGCCTCCGCCCCTTCCCCTCCCTATCCCCTGCTCATTGAGCACAGGCCCCTCACGCACCTAGGGGGACGCGTCGTCAACCCTCCTCCGCGCTACATACATTTTTTGCCAAGTCCCCGCGCGCCCATCACCCATTACAACTTTTTGGGTACAAACCAGCTCAACCCAACCCAATCCTTTTGTATTCCCTCGTCTCACCTCGTCTTCCCTTCGCTCCTGTTCTCCGACCCCTTCCCAAGGGCTATTTTCTGAACGCCTCAGTCCCTCTGCCTCCTTTCTTCCTCTCTCCCCCTCGCCTTTCCTTTCTGAAGGCTTTGCCCTACAAGGCCTCTTCCCTTCGTTTGAAATCCCCTTTTCCCTTCCCTCTGTAGTCTAGTCACCAGAGGCCGACAGGAATCACCCACACGACAGAATGGTACGTGCCGGGAATTGCGGGACAACTAACTTTAGTCGTTTAGGCGTCACGACAGGTCGGCTACTGTACGAGGTTGCGGACTGCTCCAGGTTTAGACCAGTGCGATTTTTCTGAGTGTATTAAAATCGGACGTCACGACAGTTCCGCTTCAGTCCTTCTTGACGAGATTGCGGTTCGTTCCAGGTTTAGATTAACAATCGCTGGACGGGCAGATGCGATTCGGCAGGTTTCCATGGCTGATATCGACGGCGCGTGGTTGGCGGCGTACCAGCAGCAGAACTTTAGGGTTTCCGACATCGATGTCGTAACCCGCTTCGTACTTTGTAAACGTTTTTCTCAGATTTGTGAGCGGAATAGAGGATTCGAGCGGCTAGGGTTTCGTATCGAGGCTGGACAAATGCGCATCCGCTTTCCCCACAAGATTGGACTCGGGCATGCTCGACTTTTGAAGCACTTCAAAGCTCGTGCATCTTCACGAGGCGCGGACTCCGCGGGCCGCACATGGCGCCTTGTTTTCCTTGGAAACGCTGAAACGCGCGGCCAGCGCATTCGTCGCTCAGGCATTTTATGCCTAGTCGGCTGGCGCCCGCTGTAGAATCAGCAGGAGCCGTGCCGATACGCATCGGCGGCCGACGAGCAGCTTCCCCGTGTGACGCCGATATTTTTTACATGCAAGATCGATCTCCGATCTCTCAGATTTCACGGCCGCGCGCATCTTATGCCACCTACCGATGAGCATATGACAGAGCTACTCGCGTAACTCCTAACCCTCCACTCCCTCGCTTGCTTACGAAGCGGATCAGGTTTACGCGTACCGTCCATTGTCCTCGTAGGATCGTTAGGGTTCGCGTATGATGGACTGACGGGAGGCGCGGCACAGCGGGATTGCCCAATGTTGGGAAGAAGCAGTGTCGAACCGTGACGGAAAGGCAGTTTCGAAGCATGACGGAAAAGGTGTCCTCGAGTGTGGTCCATTCATGCGACGCCCCGGCGATGCGATGCGACTATCCAGCTAGTGTAGCGACTGCAATTCGTTTAAATCGCGTGGGTAGTTCATCGCACGCTGCGGTTTGCTGCGTTCGCCGTTACAGTCATTTCTTCCGGTTTCCGCTTTTCCCTGCGATGATAGCGAGCCGTCACAGGCCGTCACGGCGTTTGTGTAGTTGACTTGTGCGGAACCGTTGCTTTGACTTCTTTTAACGGTTCTCCGAGTTCTCGTGTGCTTGCGTGCTGGCGTGTTGATGGCATGTTGCTTGGTGTCATGGTGGCATGTGGCATGATGGCATGGTGGCATGATGACGGGGTGGCATGTTGGTGCATGGTGCCATGTCGACAGGCGCCCAAGGGTAGGACCCCGAGAGGGCAAATCGAGACCGTCAAGAAGCCCGCCGCGGCTGCCCCCTCCAAGGGCAAGAAGGTAAGCCGCGACGCCTTGAATGTTCGTCTGTTCGAGCAGCTGGTAAGTGCTCATAGACAGTTACCCCTCCCCACCACAACCCCGACCCCCTCTCCCCATTCCCTCCCGCCCCCCACCCTCCCCCACCCCCCTTCCCCCTCCCCACCCTTCTTCTTTCCCTTTACACTTAGTCCGACGAGGTCACCAGCCCTGCTGTGCGAAAAGCGCCCCAAGACGTTCGGAATCGGCGAGTCTCAAAAGTTTCCGCCATTCTCTCCTTCCCGTTTTCGTCCCCCTTTCCACCCACCCCCCTTTCCACCCAACCCCCTTCCACCCCCTCCCCCCCCCCCCTTCCTCCCCCCACCCTCCAACCCAACTCCCCCAGTCCGACAAGGTCACCAACCCGCTGTTCGAGAGGCGCCCGAAGACGTTCGGAATTGGCGGAGCGCTGCCTCCCAAGAAGAACCTTCACCGGTTCGTCAAGTGGCCCAAGTGTAATGCCTCCCTTCCCCCTCCCGTCTCCCCTTCCCCCTCCCGTCTCCCCTTCCCCCTCCCGTCTCCCCTTCCCCCTTCCTCCCCCCGCCCTTTCCCCCAGTCCGACAAGGTCACCAACCCGCTGTTCGAGAGGCGCCCGAAGACGTTCGGAATCGGCGGAGCGCTGCCCCCGAAGAAGAACCTGCACCGGTTCGTCAAGTGGCCCAAGTACGTGCGCCTGCAGCGGCAGCGCCGGGTGCTCAACCAGCGGCTCAAGGTGCCGCCCGCCATCAACCAGTTCACCAAGACGCTCGACAAGAGCCTCGGTAAGCGCTGCCCCGTTATAGTGTAGTGTAATGTACGCGTTATAATCAGAGCCTGAAGCTGCAACGCCGGGTGATCAACCAGCGCCCAAGGTGCCGCCCCGCCATCAACCAGTTCACCAAGCCTCGGTACGCGCTGCTCCGTTATACTGAAGACGCTAGCCTCGGTATCCCTCCTTCGGCCTTTCTCAAACCCTCCTACTCCCCCGCTGCCCGCCCCCTCCCCAACTCCCATTTGTTTTTTCTCACTACCCGCCCCTTCACTTTCTCTCCCATTCTCCTTTTCTCCACCCCTCGATTCCCGACTCACCTCCCTCCCCACCCCCTGCCCGCCTGCCTGCCTGCTCCCTGCCTCCTGCCCCCCGACCCCGCTCCGGCCCCCTTTTAGCCACGTCGCTGTTCAAGCTGCTGCTCAAGTATCGCCCTGAGGACCGCGCAGCCAAGAAGGAGCGACTGCTGAAGGCGGCCAATCTTCCCCGCTTCTCCCCCTTCCCCCCTACCCGCCTCACCCCTGCCCCCTGCCCCCTACCCCCTGCCCCCTGCCCTTTGAACCGCTCCGCGCCCATCTTCAGCCACGTCGCTGTTCAAGCTGCTGCTCAAGTATCGCCCTGAGGACCGCGCAGCCAAGAAGGAGCGACTGCTGAAGGCGGCTAATCTTCCCCGCTTCTCCCCCTTCCCCCCTACCCGCCTCACCCCTGCCCCCTGCCCCCTACCCCCTGCCCCCTGCCCTTTGAACCGCTCCGCGCCCATCTTCAGCCACGTCGCTGTTCAAGCTGCTGCTCAAGTATCGCCCCGAGGACCGCGCAGCCAAGAAGGAGCGACTGCTGAAGGCGGCCGAGGCGGCGAAGGAGGGCAAAACCGTTGAGTCGAAGAAGCCGGTTGTGGTGAAGTACGGCATCAACCACATCACGTACCTCATCGAGCAGGTGCGAAGGGAGGGTGGTATTGAAGAGAGGGGCACATGGAACACAAGGTATCAGGGTGGAGTGATTCGGAAGGAGGGCAAAACCGTTGAGTCGAAGAAGCCGGTTGTGGTGAAGTACGGCATCAACCACATCACGTACCTCATCGAGCAGGTGCGAAGGGAGGGTGGTATTGAAGAGAGGGGCACATGGAACACAAGGTATCAGGGTGGAGTGATTCGGAAGGAGGGCAAGACTGTTGAGTCGAAGAAGCCGGCTGTGGTGAAGTACGGGGTACGGCATCAACCACATCACGTACCTCATCGAGCAGGTGCGAAGGGAGGGTGGTATTGAAGAGAGGGGCACATGGAACACAAGGTATCAGGGTGGAGTGATTCGGAAGGAGGGCAAAACCGTTGAGTCGAAGAAGCCGGTTGTGGTGAAGTACGGCATCAACCACATCACGTACCTCATCGAGCAGGTGCGAAGGGAGGGTGGTATTGAAGAGAGGGGCACATGGAACACAAGGTATCAGGGTGGAGTGATTCGGAAGGAGGGCAAAACCGTTGAGTCGAAGAAGCCGGTTGTGGTGAAGTACGGCATCAACCACATCACGTACCTCATCGAGCAGGTGCGAAGGGAGGGTGGTATTGAAGAGAGGGGCACATGGAACACAAGGTATCAGGGTGGAGTGATTCGGAAGGAGGGCAAAACCGTTGAGTCGAAGAAGCCGGTTGTGGTGAAGTACGGCATCAACCACATCACGTACCTCATCGAGCAGGTGCGAAGGGAGGGTGGTCTTGAAGAGAGGGGCACATGGAACACAAGGTATCAGGGTGGAGTGATTCGGAAGGAGGGCAAAACCGTTGAGTCGAAGAAGCCGGTTGTGGTGAAGTACGGCATCAACCACATCACGTACCTCATCGAGCAGGTGCGAAGGGAGGGTGGTATTGAAGAGAGGGGCACATGGAACACAAGGTATCAGGGTGGAGTGATTCGGAAGGAGGGCAAGACTGTTGAGTCGAAGAAGCCGGTTGTGGTGAAGTACGGCATCAACCACATCACGTACCTCATCGAGCAGGTGCGAAGGGAGGGTGGTATTGAAGAGAGGGGCACATGGAACACAAGGTATCAGGGTGGAATGATTCGGAAGGAGGGCAAAACCGTTGAGTCGAAGAAGCCGGCTGTGGTGAAGTACGGCATCAACCACATCACGTACCTCGTTGAACAGGTGCGAGGCTGAGAGGGCTGGGCGCATGCGGCAAGGGGAGGAAGATGGGCGCGTAGGGGTGGTCGGGGAAGGAGGGCAAGACGGTGGAGTCGACGAAGCCGGTTGTGGTGAAGTATGGCGTACCTTATTGAACGGTGCGAGGAGGGGATAATTTGGAAGAGGGAGAGGGCAAGGAGGGGCACATGAGGGGACAGAGGGGATCAGGGTGGTTAGGGAAGGAGGGCAAGACGGTGGAGTCGAAGAAGCCGATGGTGTTGGATTACGGCATCAACCACATCACGTACCTCATTAAAAACCCCGTTCTCCTGCGACCTCCTCTTCCTTCCCCCCAACCCCCCCCCCCCCTCCTCCTCCTCCCCCTCTCCCCCTTGCTCAACCCTCCCACCCTCTCTCGCCTTCCCTTCCGCTCCCTTCCCCCCTCTCTATACAGGGCAAGGCGCAGCTGGTGGTGATTGCACATGACGTGGACCCCATCGAGCTCGTCATCTGGCTGCCCGCGCTCTTCCCTCCCTCCAATGCATACCCTTCACCCTGTTCCCACTGCTGCTGCCCTGTTTCCCCCCATTCCTCCTTCCCCTCCCCCTCCCCCTCCCCCCCAACAGGGCAAGGCGCAGCTGGTGGTGATCGCGCACGATGTTGATCCCATTGAGCTCGTCATCTGGCTGCCTGCGCTCTGCCGCAAGATGGGCGTGCCTTACTGCATCGTCAAGAGCAAGTCCCGACTTGGTCAGGTGAGGTTCAGAGCGGTTAAGAGCGGTCAAGAGTCAATGCAGTTAGACTGCTCTGCTGCAAGATGGGCGTGCCCTACTGCTCTGCTGCAAGATGAGCGGTCAAGAGTCAATGCAGTTAGACTGCTCTGCTGCATCGTCAAGAGCAAGTCCCGACTCGGTCAGGTGAGGTTCAGAGCGGTTGAATGTCAATGCGGTCAGATACAGCACGCTGCTGCAAGATGTGCGTGCCCTACTGCATCGTCAAGAGCAAGTCCCGACTCGGTCAGGTGAGCGAGCAGCTTCGGTTGAGCATGGTGGGGTGGGTTGTAAAGAGCAGTTAAGCCAAGGGCGTCCGGCTGCCGGGCTCTGCTGCACGATGGGCGTGCCCTACTGCATCGTCAAGAGCAAGTCCCAACTCGGTCAGGTGAGGTTCAGAGCGGTTAAGAGCGGTCAAGAGGCAATGCAGTGCTCCGCCACAAGATGGGCGTGCCCCACTGCATTGTCAAGAGCAAGTCCCGACTCGGTCAGGTGAGCGAGCAGCTTCGGTTGAGCATGGTGGGGTGGGTTGTAAAGAGCAGTTAAGCCAGGGGCGTCCGGCTGCCCACACTCTGCTGCAAGATGGGAATGTCATATTGCATCGTCAATAGCAAATCCCGACTCGGTCAGGTGTTGAAATTCTCTCACCTCTGTGCCCTGCTCGTCCCCTCTATGCCCGCCCTGTTTCCTTCACTGCTCCTGTCACAGGTGGTGCACCCGAAGATGGCCTTTGCCCTGGCGCTGACAGCTGCATTGGAAGCAGCCTCTGTGCTTACTTACTGAATTGCTCCGGCTCTCTCTCTATTCCGCTGTTCTCACTGTGTGTATCGCAGGTGGTACACCAGAAGACGGCCACTGCTCTGGCGGTGACAGCTGCATTGGAAGCACCCCCTGTGCCTGCCTTGCTCACTTGCTCACTCGCTCCCGTGATCCCTTGACTGCGACCTTGTCATATAAAACAGGTGGTGCACCAGAAGACGGCCACTGCGCTGGCGCTGACAGCAGTGAAGAACGAGGACAAGGGCGAGCTCAGCAAGATCGTGGAGTCGGTCAAGGTGAGTCAACGCTGGTCAACGCGGGTCAATGGGGTGAGTCAACGTGAGTCAACGGGGTCATCAGGGGAGTCACTGCCTTGGCGCTGACAGCGGTGAAGAACGAGGACAAGGGCGAGCTCAGCAAGATTGTGGAGTCGGTCAAGGTGAGTCAATGCGGGTCAACGTAGGTCAACGGGGGTCAATGTGGTTAGTCAGCAGGTTGATGCACTGCGTTGGCACTGACAGCGGTGAAGAACGAGGACAAGGGCGAGCTGAGCAAGATCGTGGAGTCGGTGAAGGTGAGTCAACGCTGGTCAACGCGGGTCAATGGGGTGAGTCAACGTGTCAACGGGGTCAACAGGGGAGTCACTGCCTTGGCGCTGACAGCAGTGAAGAACGAGGACAAGGGCGAGCTGAGCAAGATCGTGGAGTCGGTGAAGGTGAGTCAACGCTGGTCAACGCGGGTCAATGGGGTGAGTCAATACGTGGGGATCAATAGAGTGGGACAGTGAGGGTCAACAGAGGAGTACAGATGGGTTAGGAAGGGAATAGTTTGTGGCAGGGGCTAAAATTTTGGATGCGTTATTCATTCCCTTCACTTGCCTTGTGCCAATGCGGACGAGTTGAGGCGCCAATGGGGCTGGCAGGGCTAAGCGTTATGTCTGTTTCCCTCCCCTCCCGTCCCCCTCCCCCTCCCCCTCCCCCTCCCCGTCCCCCTCCCCCTCCCCCTCCCCTTCCCCCTCCCCTTCCCCCTCCCCCCAGGCGCACTTCAACGACAAGGGCGACGAGTTGAGGCGCCAATGGGGTGGGGGCATCATGGGCATCAAGTCGCAGGCCAAGATGAAGGCCCGCGAGCGCATCCTCGCCAAGGAGGTGGCCCAGCGCATGGCTTAGAGCACCCGCCTGCCTGCCATCCTGCCTGGTTACTTGATTTCTGCTGATTCTGAGGTGTTTTCGAAAATCGTTTTCGCTAAGGAGGTGCCCAGTGCAAAGCTCAGATGTTTGCTTGTGCAGTGCTGGCATGTGTCTAATGATGATTAGCTCATTTGTTGGTGTATGGATGAAGAAAGTAAATATTCGAGTTACAGTGTTGGGAGTACACTGCCATATAAAAAGTTGTAATTGCGAAATCATCAACGAAATCCACTGTAGGGCTGGCAACGAGGTTCAGACTGTATCGGAAGCACAGGTTTCAGGTGTCGTGCGAGCTGTATTGTACGCGTTTTTGTGCATGCAACTCCTGAAGAAAGGGTTGTTTTAACGTGAAAATACGCAATTTTAGAAAGTGTTACACACTTTCAAAAACATTCATAACTTGTTAGACTCAGGCTTTAAGCTTTAGCATGATGCGATATTTAACATGTAATTATCACAGAAAGGGGTTGTTTATAAATATGGAGGCACTTCAAATTTCAGGAGGCCTTTGGAAACGTAAAAAATGTTGCATGAAGCATCCTTTTCAACGTCCTCTTCTAATGATTCACACAATCAAACGACAACCAATTACAACGAACGGGCACTCTGATCAGAGTAAGGCTATCCTGCCCAAAATCACCCAAGTAGTTATCAACCCCTCCCCTCCAGTTTCCCCAAGCTGCACCCCCGGACATCCGTAGCAGCACTGCCACCCACCCCAGGCGCTCTCTAGGAGCTCTGCTATCCAAACGCTCTGCTATTCGGCGACGCTCTGCTGCTGTTCAGGAGCTCTTCTTCTATTTATTGAGGAGTTGTGCTGTGACAGCATAGCAGTGGGGCTGGAGGGCTCTGCATGCAACAGACAAGGCAAAGATAAATGAGGGGGGACAGGACAGGAGAGGAGAGAGAGGGGTTGGAGACAAGGCCTTTCCAGCATAGCAGTGGCGCTGGAGGGCTCTGCATGCAATACACAAGGCACGAATGAATGACTAGCAAACAGATGCATGGTGGGAGGAGAAGAGATGGACACAGGGGAAGGGAAGAGAGGAGGAAGCATCGGGAGAGGGGCTGTGCAACAGACAAGGGCGAGAATGAATGATTGGCACACAGATGGTGGGAGGAGATGGGGAGGAGGGAGAGGGAGAGAGGAGAGAGGAGAGAGGAGAGAGGAAGAAGGCAGAACGGGGTGGGAGAGGGGGAGGAGGACAGGATGGGAGGGAAAGGCGCGTGGAGCTAGGGCTTACAGAGGGAGGGGAGGCTATTGGGACCGGCATCGACCGTCAAGTCATGAACAAATTCCTAAGATGAAATCCAGTCGCGAGGGGAGGGGAGGCTACTGGGGCTGGTCTTGGCCGTAGACTTTACGGTAGCCCCGGGCACACCGGCACCCCACCTCGATGCTGTCGATGCACCCCACTTACAGATGGGGAGGGGAGGGGACGCTACTGGGGCTGGTCTTGGCCGTAGACTTTTCTGTAGCCCTTGCCCTTGGAGCACTGGCATGCCACTCCCTCACTATAATTGTTGCTCTGAATGCACGTAGAAGGCAAGGGCTTACAGAGGGCAGGGAAGGCTACTGCGGCTGGCATTTGTCATTGACGGCCCGGTAGCCCTTGAAGCACTGGCATGCCTCCTCCTGCCTGTCTATTGAGGAGACTTACAGGTCAAAGGGAAGGCTACTGGGGCTGGCATTTGTCATTGACGGCCCGGTAACCCTTGACGCACTGGCATGCCACTCCATATTTATCGTTTGTCTTGATGCATGTGGAGTGCGCAGGGCACTTGGCCCTCTGGCAGATGTTGTCTGGTTAAATGATAGCGCATGGAGGGAGAGGCATGAGGGGAGAGGCGTGGGGGTGAGGCATGGGGGGAGAGGCATGGGGGGTTGGATTAATATCAATTGTCCTGATGCATGTGGAGTGCGCAGGGCACTTGGCCCTCTGGCAGATGTTGTCTGGATGGATGATAGCGCATGGAGGGAGAGACATGGGGGGGTAGGCATGGGGGCAGAAAGCATGCATGGCAGCAGAAAGCATGCATGGCAGCATCAGTGCATGCATGCATGGCAGCAGAAAGCATGGAGGAGAGAGTGCATGGATGGCAGCAGAAAGCATGTGCATGGCAGCAGTAGGGCACGGAGGGTAGCAACGACTGCTGCTCTTTCATAATTATGTCTGCAGTAGCAGGCGCGGCAGCATCAGGGCATGCATGGCAGCATGAGGGAGGGCAAGCATGGCGGCAGCGACTGCTGCTCTTTCATAATTATGCCTGCGGTAGCATGCATGGCAGGCAGCAGCATGGCATGCATGGCAGCATGAGGGAGGGCATGCATGGCAACAGCAGGGCAAGCATGGCAGCAGCATGAGGGCAAGCAGGGCAATAGATGGAAATAGCAGCAAAAAAGGTCAGTGCATGGCATGGCAGCAGAGGTGACTTTTGAGTCGACTCAAAAGTCACCAAGCACGGCAATAGATGGAAACAGCAGCAAAGAACGTCAGTGCATGGCAGCAGAAGGGCACGCACTGATAACGCAGCTTTTGAGGCGCCTCAAAAGACTTTTAATGAGACTTTTTTTTAGGCGCCTCAAAATTGCATGGCAGCAGAAGGGCACGCACCGATAACGCAGCGGAAGGACTTGAGAGGTGTGGTCAGCTTGATGGTTCTGCTCACATGGGGAGGGGAGGTTGCGGGGAGGGGGAGAGGGGGGAGGGGGAGGGGAGACGGGTTCAGGGCGTGTAATATCGGCGCATCGGGCTTTTGAGGCGCCTCAAACACAGATAACGCAGCGGAAGGTCTTGAGAGGTGTGGTCAGCTTGACGGGTCTGCTCACATGGGGAGGTTGTGGGGAAAGGGGAGGGGGAGGGGAGACGGAGATGGGAGAAGGGTTTAGGGCGAGGGCAGGGCCGCATGGGGGTGAGTTCCGGGCGTGGGGAGGGGCTTATGTGGTGAGGGTTTGATGGGTCTGCTCACATGTGCACAGGGGGAGGGGCGCCGTTGGGAGTGGTGGTAGTGGGGGGGCGGGTTGGGGGGGGTGGAGGGGGGGAGGGTGGGGGGGGGGGGGGGGGGGGGTGGTTTGGCGCTTTGCCGCTCGCTAGTAACAAACGCGTGAACCCTGCGAGTTCCTTCCCCACTTTGCGTGAACTTTGGGAGTTCGCACTCCCACCAGCTGTGCCGAACAGCTGAATGCTCACCTCATCTCATGCACGCCTGCGACTGCTCAGGCGATGCAACGAACAGGCGATGTAACGAACAGGCGATGTAACGAACAGGCGGTGTAACGAACAGGCGATGTAACGAACAGGCGATGTAACGAACAGGCGATGTAACGAACAGGCGGTGTAACGAACAGGCGGTGTAACGAACAGGCGATGCAACGAACAGGCGGTGCAACGAACAGGCGGTGTAACGAACAGGCGGTGTAACGAAGAGGCGGTGTAACGAACAGGCGGTGTAACGAACAGGCGGTGTAACGAACAGGCGGTGTAACGAACAGGCGATGCAACGAACAGGCGGTGCAACGAACAGGCGGTGTAACGAACAGGCGGTGTAACGAACAGGCGGTGTAACGAACAGGCGGTGTAACGAACAGGCGATGAAACGAACAGGTGTAACGAACAGGCGGTGTAACGAACAGGCGATGTAACGAACAGGCGATGCAACGAACAGGCGATGCAAAGAACAGGCGGGTGAAATGCTCACTCACTGCACGTTAAATCCATTGGTTGGGGCAGTGAGTCCCCCAACCGTTAAAGCCAGAGCAGTCCGCCGACGACTCATCTAATGTAACAAATAGTAACGAACAGTAACGAACAGCAACAAACGGGCGAAATAGACGAAATGCTCACTGCACGTTTCCAACGGCTGGGGGTGGGGCAGTGAGTCTCCCAGCCGTCACGCCGGAGCAATCCGCAGACGCGAAAGCCTGCAGCGCGACGCACGGAACGTGATAACCCGTAGCGAGGCCTCCAGTCACGTCCCAAAGCAAGAGCGCCTGCACATTCGTCCCCCACACGCTCGGCGCGCCGCAGAGGCCCGCGGAGAAGGCGACAATGCTGGGCTTCGCGAGCGACCCGAGGATCATGAGCGACTCCACCACGAGCCACGCTTTCACCGTTTCGCTCGCGGCGGTTACCACCTCGCTCGCGCCCGCGGTCGCGCTCGCCACCGCCGTGCCGCTCGCGGCGGCGGCGCCCACCGCCGCGGCGGCGGCGGCGGCGGGGGCGGGAAAGCGCGCCGTGCTCACCACCTCGATCGCGCTCGCGCTCCCGCTCATCACCGGCTTGCCGGCGGAGGCAGGTGCTCCCAGCGACGCTCCGGCGTTACTCGCTGCCGCAAGGATGGGTGACATGATGGGGAAAGGGGGGAGGGAGAGCAGCAGCATGGCACGGAGGCCGTTGCACGGGGAAGCGCAAAAGTCAGCCACGGGCGGGAATTGCAATTGAAATCATGCCGCGACCCGGCCGTATGGAAGAAGATTCTGTGAGCCTTTCACGGGCATGCCGCATGCCGCGGCATGGCGCATTCACGGTCTTCTTCGCCGCGACGAAGGGAGGCCGCGGCGTACCGGTGAGAAGCGCGACAACGAGCAGCGCGGCTGCCGCTGCGGCCTTGGAATGTTCCGCCATCACCATCATCATCATCGCGGGTGCTCGCGGCGAGCGAAGGTACGACTCGTAGCGCCGAGGGGTGCCGCGTCACGGTCGCTTCGGAAGCGTCAGCGTCGAAGCACGAAGCAGCGATTCCGCAACGGGGCGCCGCGATAGCTGAGACGATTTTTGAGGCGCCTCAAAAATTCCGCAACGGAGCGCCGCGATCGCGATGATCTCGAGATGGACGGGAGAGTAACCCAGAGGCAGCGTGTCAGAAGCGACGGACTGATGTTACGGTAACCCAGAGGCAGCGAGGCGGGTAACTATTAACTCAGGGCTGCGGAGCCTCACAATGCTGATTCTCCGACTCGAAGCGGTGAGTTCGTCTCAATTATATTCGATGGGAGCTTACCACCACGAATATGATATACTACTCCCCGCGTATTTCGATTACTCCCCGCGTATTTCGATACGGCCCATACTGGAACGCGGGGCCCTCCGGGGGGGATAGTGGCGACGGTGCCGCACCCAGGTGAGGCACCAGGTGCGCGTACGCGCAGCGCTCGAGAGGCCACCCGCCACCCGTTGCCGCGCCACGTGGGCCACGTGAGGCACCAGGTGCGCGCACGCGGCATGAATTGTCGAAAGATTCCCGGGGATTACTACAGGCGATACCCAACCTAATCGCAGCCGTCTCCCTACGTGTATCACAAGCGCGACGCCAGTCCCTATGACGTTTGGGGACGGGCAACCACACGTCGTCTACTACGAGCCCCTGCGGCTAGGTTTGCTCGGTTGAGAAACGTGTGGTGTACCGAACATGCACCTAATTCGGTTCTGTCTGGATAGTGCCTTCAATCACAACCACGAACTCCGCGAGATCGTCTCGTTCGTTCATCTTCGCGAGCGCAGCTTCGCCACGTGGCGTTTGGAAAATGGTAAACGTAGCGCGCACCGTCGGATGCTTCTCTGCCACTACTAGCCGATCTTGCTCACTGCCGTATTTAGGTGTCGTGATCTTGCTCACTGCCGATTTTTCAGGTGACGCATTAGGGCAGGACCAACTCGTTTACTGCCAAGTATTTAGGTTTCGCGAACACACTACAGCCATCTTTTCACGTGTCGGGTTAGGGGGTAAGTAAAAGCGGAAGTAAAAGAGGAAGGAGAAGGGAGGAGAGGGGAGGCTAAAGGAAGAAATCACAACAGCAGCCCGCACAACAAAATGTGAGCACAGCCTAATTTTTAGGGCGGGCCGCGGGTTCTTTACTGCGATTGGTGGCTTATCCATGAGTGGCCTATGGCCTCCTCGCTCCCTCCTATACACAACAAGAGTGTTAACGGATTGCTTTTATAATGCTTTTCACTTCTTGTTGGAGGTAAAGGCATGTTTCAATCTTGCCAAATAACAATGCAGGCTAGCATGAGTGATTATAAAGGTTAGTTGCTTATATAATGTGTTTCACTTCTTGTTGGAAGTATGGGCGTGTTTCAATCTTTCCAAATAACAATGGAGGCTAGCATGAGTGAATATGAAGGCTAGCAAACAATTATATTTTTCGTATACAATCTTCTGGCACAATGAACAACCTTTTTGGTATATGGGTCAATTTCATTGACAACTTCGACAAACACAACTCCAGGGCATTGTGCAGCAGCAGCATCCACTAACTCCTAGAAACAGGCTCTTCTAGGCGGGGTTGCTAGGCATCCAGCGAGTGACAGCCTGACAGGACCTGCCACTCTAGTTTCCCCACAGAAGGGGCTCTTCTGCTGACAAGGCAAGGATCAACAATCAGCAAATTGATTGAGAGGGGAAAGCGGGGAGAGGGGAAGGTGTAAAGGGGGCTACAGGGGCTGGCATTGACCGTAGATATTACAGAAGGCCTCTCGGGTGATTTTAGAATCAAGATTGACCTTGAAGGCGAGTATTGGTTCACGTTGAATTAAAGGTGCCTTTTGGGTCACGGTGAGCATTTTAGGTGACAACTTGCTGAGCATTTTGGGGGGAAGGGGGGGGGGAGGTTCGAGGGGTCTTTGAGGTTTGGGGGGGGGGGGGGGGGGGGGGGCTTACAGGTGGGAGGGTGGGTTATTGAGGTTGGCACCGCCAGTAGAAGTGCGGTAGATTTTTAGAGTGTGGTGAACTTACAGAGGGAGAGGAGGCTATTCAGGTTGCACTGGCCAAAGATGTAACGGTAGCTTTGGCCGCACTGGCATGCCACCCCCCGATAGTCGTTCGCATTAACACACTTTAAAGGCGAGGGCTTACCTTCGAAGAGGGGGAGGTTATTCAGGTTTCATTGGCCAAAGGTGTAACGGTAGCCCTGGGCGCACTAGCTTGCCACCTCCAGGCTGCCGTTTGTCTTGATGCACCTCAGAATTGACTTACTGGGAACAGGAGGTTACTGGGGTTTGCATTGACAGTAGACTTTACAGTAGCCATGGGCGCACTAGCATGCCATCCCCCAAAGACAGGGCTGTTGGGGAGGCTTACCGTGCAGGTGGGAAGGGATGCTAAAGGGGCTGGCACTGGCCGTAGACTTTACGGTAGCCCCGGGCGCACCGGCAGCCCACCTCGATGCTGTCGTTCTTTGAGATGGCCCGGCAATATTGACTTACAGATAGGGAGGGGAGGGGACGCTACTGGGGCTGGCACTGGCCGTAGACTTTACGGTAGCCCTGGGCGCACTGGCACCCCACCTCCAGGCTGTCGTTTGTCTTGATGCATGTGGAGTGTGCCGGGCACTTGACACGGCTGCAGATGTTGTCTGGATGACATGGGAGGATGGGGATGGGGTGAGAAGGAGGATGAGAATGGGGATGGGGATGAGGATGGGGATGGGGTGCCAGGGTGCCCAGGTGAATGCATGGTGGCAGCAGAGAGGTGAATGCATGGTGGCAGCAGAGAGGTGAATGCATGGTGGCAGCAGAGAGGTGAATGCATGGTGGCAGCAGAGAGGTGAATGCATGGCAACAGCAGGGCACTCACCAACAACGCAGCGGATGGACTTCACATATGCGTCCATCTTGAGCGCACTGCTCACACAGACATCCACAGGGGGAGGGGTGGGGCACATGATGGGAGGGGCTTTAGAGTCAACTCAAAAGTCAACTCAAAAGTCAACGCTGAAGAATCTTGAACGCAGCGGATGGACTTCACATATGCGTCCATCTTGAACGCACTGCTCACACAGACATGCACATGATGGGAGGGGCGCATTGGGTGGGTCGCGCATTAAGGTGGGAGCGTTGCTGGGAGCACCATCAGCAGCCAAAGGGACTCATGCGCGCCAGTAAACAAACGGGTAAATCTTGAAACTGGGTATTTCACCTCGGTTACCCCGCCAATGCTCACCTCAGGTACCCCGCAAAAGGGTATTTCACCGCAAAATGGTTAATTCTCACCTCAGATATTCCGTGAAAGGGCATTTCACCGCCACAGCCGCGAACAGCTGCACCGCGTTGAACACCGAGCGATCCGCAAACACGTCCCACCACACCACACCACACCACACCACACCACACCACACCACACCACACCAGCACATCCCCCGCGCAGTCAGGCGACACAAACACGTCCCACCACACCAGTGCGTCCGCCGCGCAGTCAGGCGACACAAACACGTCCCACCACACCAGCACATCCCCCGCCGCTAGTAACAAGCGGGTGAGCACTCACCTCATCTCCCCCATGACCACTTAGCTCATCTCCCCCGTGTTTTGGTACTCGAGCAGTCGGGCGACACAAACAAGTCCCACCACAGCAGCACATCCCCCACGCAGCTGCTAGCCAGTAACAAATGGGTACTAACCGCTCACCTCATGTCCCTCGTGAGCACTCACTCACCTCATGTCCCTTGTGTGGTAAGCCGTGTTTTGGTACTTTGCCGCTGCAGCACCCGAGCAGTCAGGCGACACAAACAGCTGCACCGCGTCGCACACCGTGCGCTCGAAAAACGGGTCACCCAAAAACACGTCCCACCACACCAGCGCATCCACAGCGCCTCCTCCTCCTCCTCCTCCTCCTCCTCCGCCGCCACCGCCGCTGCTCGCGTACACCGCGCCGGTGCCGCTCGCGCCGCCGCTGCTGCCGCTCGCACCGCCGCTGCTGCCGCTCGCACCGCCATCAACGCTCGCATCGCCGCCACCGCTCGCAGACGCGACTTCAGGCACGGATACGCAGCGCTCAAAGTCGAATCGGACGGAGCGTGGCTGCGCGAGCGAGCCGAGGAGCACCACCGTGCCCATTCGCACATACAGCCGCACCAGGTCGGTGGCCGCTGAAGCATTTGCTGCCATGGCTGGGGGGAGAAGGGCGAAGACAGAAAGGGAGGGGAAGCAAAAGGCTGTCGGATCGGAGCGAGCGAGCCAAGGAGCACCACCGTGCCCATTCGCACATAAAGCCGCACCACGCGACACTCCCACATCACTCGCCTCGCCACAGTCGTGCCTTTGGCGGCTGGTGCTCCCATGCGCACATACAGCCGCACCACATCGCTGGCAGCCGCGGCATTTGCTGCCATGGCTGCGAGGAGAAGGGAGAGGACAGAAAGGGGAAGGGGAACGGTCGAAACGAGCGAGCCGTGCCCTCGCTCACATAATCCCGCACCACTTTGGTGGCAGCCGGTTGACTTTGAGTCGACTCAAAAGTAAACCCGCACCACATCGCTGGCAGCCGCGGCATTTGCTGCCATGGCTGCGAGGATGTCAAACAGAGAAAGGGACAAAACAGAACGGGAAGCGAAAAACTGTTGGACAAGCGAGCCGACGAGCATCACCGTCCCCACGCGCACATAAACCTGCACCACCATTGTGAAAACAGGGTGTTTCTGAGACGTCTCAAGAAGAGCCCACGCGCACATAAACCGGCAGCAGTCGTGCCTTTGGCGGCTGGTGCTCCCAGCGACAACACTCTCACCTCACTCGCTCACATAGGGGGGAAACGGAGAATGGCAAGACACGTCACACAGGGAAGGACACAAGTCACGCCCGTAGTACCAGTCGGGTTGTTGCTGCCGCTGCCAGCAGTCCTGCCTTTGATGGCCGGTTCTCCCAGCGCCAGCGAGGGGAAGGGAGAATGGCAAGACAGGGGGGCATTACACAGGGAAGGGCACAAGCCACGCCCGTAGTACCAGTCGGGTCGTTGCTGCCTCCGCCAGCAGTCCTGCCGAGTTGACTTTTGAGTCGACTCAAAAGTCAACTCGGGTCGTTGCTGCCTCCGCCAGCAGTCCTGCCTTTCGCGGTTGGTGCTCCCAGCGACACAACCACCTCACTCGCTGACTTTTGAGTCGACTCAAAAGTCCTTTCGCGGTTGGTGCTCCCAGCGACACACCCACCTCACTCGCTCACATGGAGAATGGCAAGACGCGTCACACAGGGAACGGCACAAGCCACACCTGTAGTATCAGTCAGGTCGGTGCTGTCGACGCCGCCAGCAGTGGTCCCTTTGATGGCCGGTTCTACCAGCGCCACTGACACTCCCACCTCGTTAGCTGCAAAGACATCACATGGAGGGGAAGGGAGAATGGCAAGACAGGGAGGACATTACACAGGGAAGGGCACAAGTCACACCTCTAGTATCAGTCAAGTCGTTGCTGCCGCCGTTGCCAGCAGTCGTCCCTTTGATGGCCGGTTCTACCAGCGCCACTGACACTCCCACCTCACTCGCTGCAATGCAAGGACATCACGCAGAGGGGAAGGGAGAATGGCAACACAGGGGGGACATCACACAGGGAAGGGCACAAGTCACGCCAGTAGTACCAGTGGGGTCGTTGCCGCCGCCGCCAGCAGTCGACCCTTTGATGGCCGGTTCTACCAGCGCCACTGACACTCCCACCTCACTCGCTGCGAGAATGTTACACAGAGAGGAGAAAGGGGGATACCAGGAAGGCAGGACGTCACGCGGAGGGGAAGGGCAGAAGGAAGGACAATTCCAACTCACTCTCTGCGAGGACGCTCGACGGGGAAAGGGGCCACGCGAATGTGACGATTCCTCGAAAGTTCTGGGAGCTGGGATCTACTTGAGCATTCTGGAAGCTTCTCACGAGGTGAAATTTGAGTCGACTCAGAAGTCGCCTCGTTACAACGACGGGGAAGGGGGGCGCGCGAATGTGACGATTCGTCGGAAGTGCTTGGAGATGGGATTTACTTGAGCATTCTGGAAGCTTCTCACGAGCATCATTTTTCACGGGGCGGGGAGCGGGGAGGCGGCGAGGGAGGGCGGGGAATCGCGTACCAATGAGGATGGCGACCACGAGCAGCGCGGTAGCGGCCTTGAAACCTCCCATGCTGCTGCTGCTGGTGGTGCTCGTGGTGGTGACGAGAGAGGCTCGGCAAGAAGCGGCGAATTGGAGCCTCGGTGGTAATAGCCTCGGGAACTGGAACCTGGAGCTAGTAGGCTGGAGCGAACTGGAATGGAAGAGAGAAATCCCTTGACTCGGAAGCGACGGACTGACGCGACCCTACGGCAGCGATGACGGTGAGTTTTGAGTTTTGAGCGCTCAACAGGAATACCGCAGAGACTATCAGAACTCAGGCGAGCTGTAGCAGCGAGGAAGCGCCTTAGAGCGCGCGTATTCTGTAAGGCCCGTTTTCGATACTCCCCGTGTGACACGGCGCCACGCCGTCGCACCTACTAGTCAATGTCCGATTTCGAAACTCCCGCCCGCCAACGGCGCGGCAAGAACTGTTTCTGGCTATCCGCACGCCCATATTGACTTGAGACTACGCAATCGCGTTCCGATTGGCTGCCTGCATTGCAGTAAACCCGTGGACCGGCAACAACGGCTGTGTTGGTCCGACAATCGTGCGTGCCGTGCTGTGCCGTGCCGTGTGGGGCGCGGTTGAAACTGAAGCTACTTGTAGGGAAACTCACGAACAATACAAGAATGACACAAACTGAATTGATCTGCTTCTTTCATTTATATTTGCAGATTCGTTATACATACATTAGAGTAATTTTATTGGCAGAATATGGCTCACGAGGTTAAATCATGGTGTGTATGCGCTACACAGATAGCAACGAAGTTTGAATCGGCCCGACCGTACCGGAAACATAGGTTCGAAGTGACGTGCTAAGGCACAGTCTACACAGTATTGTACATTCAACTATTGCAGAAAGGCTTGTTTCACATAACACAAATAATGGGATAAGTGAGGCTACAGGGAATAGAAGAGAAATAAAAACAAGAGGCGACGAAGTCGTCGTAGGGTTGCGAAGCGTTTTGCGTAAGTACACAATTGTGTACACCTTCAGAAACTATACATAATACTGTAGTATGACACTAGATTGGGTACTTTCTCTTTGTTGGCAGAGTTACCAAAACTTGCATTCGCAGGATTCGATCTCGAGTCTTCCTTTCCACACGTTCAACTTCAACCGACTGCGCCAACGCTGATGAAGTTAGCTATAAACTATATACGATATTTTAATTTGCGACGAATCTGACACTTCCCTAGGGTTTGTTCGACCCCTTTTTTTCTCTCCCTCATGGTCTCCGTGGTAGTTACGCTCCACCTACTAAGTCAAGTTCCTACTAAGGTAAGAGGAGCCCTAATCTCTCAGGTAGGTTTAACTTAGAAGAATATGAGCTAGACTAACATGTCTCAAACACTTCTCATGATCGTTTACTCTAGTGTTGTCCGGTTTTGAAGGATGCAAGTTGACTAAAGCTTAGGTTCTAGGCTTGTTGTATGTCAAACATATATGCTACATATTGTCTAGGCTGTAGTGGGGTAGCCCATATGGGGTACAGCCCAATTAGGGTTTACTACTTGTACTCCTGCATGCCACTAGTTCACACATTCCTGCTGCTAGATTCTAACATGGTTTCAGAGCACTAAGGTCCGTAGGACCGTTTTTTTCGGGCCCACCTACCGCTGCGGTTACCGCGCTACCCCACGTACCTGCCTGCCTTGCCTTGCCTTGTGACGTGCTGCACATGCGCTGCCTCCTGCTGCCCTAGGCCAGCGCGCTGCCCCTAGAGGCCCGTAAGGCCCGCGCGCCGCCTCTACACGCCCGTCAGGCCCGCACACAGCCCCTGCAGACCGTTAAGCACACTGCTGCCGCGCGCTGCCCGCACCGAGTCGCGCGCAGCCCGCTGCAGCCGCGCGCAGCCCGCACCGAGCCGCGCGCAGCTCGCAGCTGCCGCGCGCAGCCCGCGCCGAGCCCACGCAGCCCGCGTCGAGCCGCGCGCGGCCTGCTACGGCCTCGCGAGGCCCGCGCGCGGCCCGCAGCAGCCCGCGCCGAGCCGCGCGCGGCCTGCTACTGCCTCGCACGGCCCGCGCGCGGCCCGCAACAGCCCGCGCCGAGCCGCGCGCGGCCCGCTACTGCCTAGCGCGGCCGCGCGCGGCCTGCATCAGCTTAGCGCGCTGTCAGCGCAGCCCGCGCCGAGCCGCGCGCGGCCCTCTGCCTCGGCCCCGACCTGCCGCTGATGCGGCCCCGCCCTGCAGCTGCCACGGCCCCGACCTGCCGCTGATGCGGCCCCGCCCTGCAGCTGCCACGGCCCCGACCTGCCGCTGATGCGGCCCCGCCCTGCAGCTGCCACGACCCCGACCTGCCGCTGAAGCGGCCCCGCCCTGCAGCTGCTTCGGCCCTACTCTGCAGCCGGTGTTGCGGCCCCGACGTCGCCGCTGTCGAGCGCCGGCCCTGCTCGCCCGGTGAGCGCCTGCTCTCCCAGCCTTTGGTGATGACTGCCTGCCTGCCTGACGGCCTGCCTGTCTGCCTGCCTGCCTGCCTGCCTGGCTGCCTGCCTGCCTGCCGGCCTGCCTGCCTGCCTGCCTGCCTGCCTGCCTACCGGCCTGACTGCCTGCCTGCCGGCCTGCCTGTCTGTCTGCCTGCCTGCCTGCCTGCCTGCCTGTCTGCCTGCCTGCCTTCCTGCCTGCCTGCCTGCCTGCCTGCCTGCCTGCTTGCCTACCTGCCTGCCACGCCTGCCCTGCCCGCGCTGCTGCTGCTGCTGCTACTGCTACTGGCAGGTGGCCAGATGCAGCTCCAGCGACGTTCACGCGAGCCTCTCACGCCCCAGCAGCTTAGTGAGTGGTATACTAGCTGGGGTTGTCGCGGTAGCCGTCGTAGCTGTCGCCCTGGGGCTGGTCAGTTGGGAGCGTCTAGCAGTGGCCAGCTGCAGCTGCAGGGGCGTCCACGCGAGCCACTTACGCCTCGGCAGCTCCAGGAGTGGTACGCTCAGTGTAGCAGGTCTACCCGTACAGTTCGCTGCCCGTACGTCATTCGCACAGGTGCTAGGACTGGTCAGCCTTGTGGGACGCTTGGTCACACACAGTCCCGCTGCTTCGCCCGTCTGAGCGACGCCTGGCGCACAGTGTTTGGCGACGAGGCTGAGCTCCCCACCTGGCTGGAGCTGCATGGACAGAGGGTAGATATCTTTGCGCTTGACTATGATGCTATTCTCACTGCCATGTATGCCTTGTCTACTAGTGCTGACCGTGCCTGTTACCTGTGCGTACCGCCTGACCCTGGTGAGGCTGCTGCCCTAGGTGCTAGTGCGTCTCCTGCTCTAGGTGCTGGTGAGGCTGCTGCTCTCGGTGCTAGTACGTCTACTGCTCTAGGTACTGGTGAGGCCGTGGCTTCAGGTGCTGGTGAGTCTGCTCTCTCTGGTACTGCGCCCACTGAGGGGATGGCGGTAGCTTAGTTTTTGGGTTGTTAACTGTCACGCATTTTATCATGTGCATGTGCATCATTCATGATACTGTATATCACATGCATTATATAGCATCATTCTATGCATTATGCATTGTATAGCATCATTTATGCATTACGCATGCATCTCTTTATCATTACACAACATCATCTAACAGTAACATATAATGCAAACAGTACAGCAAATCTACACTAAACAATTGGGAAAATATCATTTGGTTTAATGCACTATGAACAATACTGTATTCAAAACTGCTCACCATACATACAATATGGGAAGGGTATTATTGTAGTTGACAAATTTTATTTTCATGATTTTATAAAAAATATAAATATGAAAATAAAATTTGGCAAAATCGATCGTAAAGGGTTGCTTCTCAACCCAAAAAAATGCAGCACGAAGCATCCTTGAAAACGCCCTCTTCTGTTTTAACAATCACAAATCGAAGGCAGCCCTGAGAGAGAGTGGGCCCCCACTGCTCCAAAAGGCAACCCCAGACATTCGTAGCAGCACTGCCACTCCAAAACTTATTAGAAACTTGTCTACCGGTATCCAGGGGCTCTGCTTATTAGGGCCCAGTAACTGAAGATGCTTGAGGGGAGAGGGGAGGCTACTGTGGTTGGCATTGACCATAAACGTTTTGGTAACCCTTGGCACACTGGCATGCCATGCCACCTCCTGGTCGTCCTTTGTCTTGATGCACGTGGAGTGTGCCATTGTAAAGAGGTGACTTTTGAGTCTTCTCAAAAGCCACCTGGTTGGCATTGACCGTAGACGTTACGGTAGCCCTTTGCGCACTGGCACCCCACCTCCTGGTCATCCTTTGTCTTGATGCACGTGGAGTGCTTTGGGCACTGGGCACTGCTGCAGATGTTGTCTGGATGGTAGAGCACGGAGGCAGGCATGGGGGGAGAGGGATGGGGGGAAAGGGATGGGGGGAGAGGGATCGGGGGAGAGGCAACTTTGAGTCGACTGGCAGCCCACCTCTTGGTCGTCCTTTGTCTTGATGCACGTGGAGTGTTTTAGGCACTGGGCGCGGCTACAGATGTTGTCTGGATGGTATGGGCGGATGGGGATGGGTTGAGAGGGATGGGGCGAGAGGCATGGGGTGAGAGGCATGGGAAGAGAGGCATAGGGAAAAGAGACATAGGTCTAAAAAGAAAGCGCACGCATGCCAGCAGCAGCCCATGCATGCCCTTCGTTCATTTTGACTGCAGCAGCATGCATGGCAGTAGAAGCAAGGCGAATGCATGGCATCAGCAGAAAGGGGGTAAGATTAACATAGCAGCAGCAGGGCACTCACCAAGCACGCAGCGGATGGACTTCACTGATGGACTTACCGCATCTTGGTGACGCTACATACACGCTCACACAGGGGGGAGGGGAGTGGTGCAGGGTAGCAGTGGGACACTCACCCAGCACGCAGCGAATGGACTTCACTGATGCGCCCATCTTGATGACACTGGTAGCAGATAGAAAAGAGAAGAAAAGGCCAATGCATGGCAGCAGCAGCAGCAGCAGGGCACTCACCGAGCACGCAGCGGATGGACTTCACTGATGGACTTATCTTGGTGGTACTGCTCACACACGCACAGGGGGGAAGGGGGATGGGAGGAGCGCATGGGAGGGAGGGACTTTAGAGCAAGCTCGAAATTCAGCTCGGACTGACTTCACTGATGGATTTATCTTGGTGGTGCTGCTCAGCTCACACGCGCACAGGGGGGGGGCACATGGAAAGGGGGATGAGGAGGGCACAAGGGGGGAGGTTGTTGGGGCGAATGGGTGCATGAGGAGACTTGATGCATGAGGGGTGTTGCCGCACGTAGGAAATTGGGGCATGCAAGCCAGGAGCGAGCTCTGCTGCGCGCCAGTAACAAACAGATGAATCCTGAGAGCTCACTTTTGAGTCGACTCAAAAGTCGCGCCAGGATCACCCGGGGTGAACCATGAGAGCTCACCGGAATATGTATTCTCTCTCCCGTGAATGGCATGGAGCTCACCTCACCTCATCACCTAGGGAGTGAGATTTGCTGCGCGCCAGTGACACCTGGCAGGGTGAACCCTGAGAGCTCAGCTTACCGGAATATGTATTCTCTCTCTCGTGAATGGCATGGAGATCACCTCACCTCATTATGGCGTCCCTCATTACGAGGGAGCGAGATTTGGAGGGTGAATCCTGAGAGCTCAGCTCACCAGAATATGTATACTCTCTCCCGTAGATGGTATGGAGCTCACCTCACCTCATTATGGCGTCCCTCATCACTAGGGAGCAAGATTTGCTGCGCGCCAATGACACCTGGCAGGGTGAACCCTGAGAGCTCAGCTCACTCACCGGAACAGGTATTCTCCCGTGTACTTGAAACTCGCCGCCGCAGCGCCCGAGCAGTCAGGCGACGCGAACAGCTGCACCGCGTTGCACACCGTGCGATCCCCCCCGCCGAACACGTCCCACCACACCACCGCGTCTCCCGCGCCTCCTCCTCCGCTCCCGCCCGCGCCGCTGCCGCCCGCGCCGTCGCGGCGCGCGCCGCCGCTCCCCCCGCGCGCGCCCGCGCCGCCCGCGCCGCCGCCCGCACCCGCGCCGCCGCCGCTCGCGCCGCCGTCGATGCTCGCGGACGCGCCTTGCGGCACGGGCAAGCAGCGCGCCCAGTCGAAGTCGGCGTAGTTGGGCTGCGCGAGCGAGCCGACGAGCACCACCGTGCCCACTCGCAGCTTCGCGGGCACCACTTGTGCGGCAGCCGCTTGACTTGCTCCAGTTGCTGCGAGGAGAGGGGCGAAGACAGAGAAGGGTAAAAACAGAAAGGCAAGGGGAAAGGTCGGAAAGAGCGAGCCGACGAGCACCACCGTGCCCACTCGCAGCTTCGCGGGCACCACTTCTGCAGCAGCCGCTTTATTTGCTCCAGTTGCTGCGAGGAGAAGGGCGACGGCAGAAAGGGAAGGGAAAAGTTGGAACGGGCGAGCCGACGAGCATCATCGCGCCCACGCGGAGCATCACCGCGCCGCGCCCACGCGGAGCATCACCGCGCCGCGCCCACGCGGAGCATCACCGCGCCCACGCGGAGCATCAGTGTTACGGGCGGCTTGCGAATGCGACGATTTTTCGGTCGGGTGTATACAGAGTCTGGGGTAGAGACTGGGTTAGACTGAGCAGTCTGTGAACCCTTCACGCGCGTTCAGTTTCAACGAGCGTTCGCTTTTGTCACAAGCATCGCGAGGGAGGGAGGCGATACGGGCGGGGGGAGGCTCGTACCAATGAGGATGGCGACGACGAGCAGCGCGGCAGCGAGCTCGGAATCACCCATGCTGGTGCCCGCGGTGGTGCCCGCGGTGGTGCGCGCGGTGGTGACGAAAGAGCATCGCGGGGGAGGGAGGGGGGCGACGCGGGAGAGAAGAGGCTCGTACCAATGAGGATGGAGACGACGAGCAGCGCCGCGGCGGCGAGCTTGGAATCTCCCATGCTGGTGCGCGCGGTGGTGACGAAAGAGGTTCGGCAAGTAGCGGCGAGGGTTGGTAGTCGCGGTGCCCTTTTTGAACAAGGCCCGGTTGGGCGAGTCAGAAGAGACAGTGACGGACTGATGCCTCACAACGGCACCGAGAGAGGTGAACTCAAATGTCAATGCAGCAGCGACGAAGGCAGGGTTGCAGGGGTAATGGCTAGCTAGAGCGCGTAGGAGCCTCACGAGATGATCACTGAGTGATAGTCGACGAAGTGGGTGCGTTTTTCCTGGCGAGACCCGCTACTAGGTATACATGCTTTAGAGCGCGCGTATTCGACATGGACCGTGTTCGATACTCCCCGGGAAACTATTGGCTGCAATGGCAGTGCAGCTCGGGACTCGAAAGGCCGAATGGAAGCGTCGCGGCAATAATTGTCCCATATCCGCGCGCCCATATTCACGAAAATAATTCACCCGCTTATAATTTCGGTTCGGCGACACAAACGAAACCGGAGCTGCAAACGCGGCTCCTATACTCGTCTCCACTCCACTCCGCTCGAAACGGACTATCTGCAGACCCGTGGACCGGCAACAACGGGTGTGTTGGTCTGGCATTGCGCGAGCCATGCCAGCCTGAGAGTAGCTGTTCGATCGGTATTGCTGCTTCTGTGACCAATAATGCAGGTGCCCCTTTTTCTCCTTGTGGACTTGAGTCCACTTTAGAGAAACTCGCGAACGGATAAGAATGGCAGAAACGCAACTCGTGTAGCTGCAAGTTTGTTTCTACGGACTGTGTTCAACTAACAAATTTCTACAATGGCGAGAAATAAGGTGTACTATGAATGCAGAAATCCTTAGCTTACAAGCAGACCCGCAAAGCTAGAGCAGGTGCGATGGATCTGCGAGATGCCTAGGCTAGAATTCTTGGTAGGTCAATGCCGCATTGCTCGCTGATCTGACGTGGCGACGTTTGAATGACTTCATACAGAAATCACTCTCAGCCGCTAAATCTTGTGCGTACAGCCAATCAAATCTGGAAGATGTGACCGGGCAACCATATGGGAGGCACATGGGAGGTGAACTCGCGGTCGTGCGTGGAACCTGCCAGAATCTGAGGAGGAAAGGCCTGCCAGCGTGGACCATCCCAAACTGAACACGTCTCCCTTTTTTCTCCCAACCGCTGTTCGGAGTGTGGGAGGAATGAATTGGTGCGCCTCGGTCTGTCATATGCCGAATGTGTGGGCGAATGTGCATCCCCGTCGAATTTGCTGCTCCACCTCAGGCGAACTACAGTGCGATTCGGCTGGCATTGCACTGATGAAATGAATGCACACAGCAGGACAGGGTCGTTGAGAGCAAGCATGGAGGAGCTATAAAATTCATGGTTCCAGTATTGCTGTCATCAACCGACTAATCTCAGAGTTTTCTGCTGGCTTAGACAACTGAGCTCCTAGCATCTCGTGCATTCAGCTCTTTTGTCTTAGCAGAGCTCATCTCTTCTTACATTCACACCATGGCCACTTCTCTCGCTGCCCGCCAGGCCATCGCCTCCCTCACCTTCAGCGCAAGCGTGCGCGGCACTGCGCTCTCCACCCCTCGCCTCACCGCGACCCCCGCCGCCGCCGCGGTCCCCCGCGGCCTCGGTCTCACCACGACCGCGCTTTTCTCCAAGAAGGTCGCCGCCACCCCGGCGAAATCCGCGAAGGCGGCTACCACCAAGAAGCTTCGCACGGAGGATGGCATCTTCGGCACGTCCGGCGGGTTCGGCTTCACGAAGGCTAACGAACTCTTCGTCGGCCGCGTCGCCATGCTCGGCTTCGCCGCGTCGCTCCTAGGAGAGGCCGTCGACGGCAAGGGGATTCTCGGACAGCTCAACCTCGAGACCGGAATCCCTATCACCGAAGCCGAGCCGCTCCTCCTCTTCTTCATCGCTTTCACCGTGCTCGGCGCGGTCGGCGGGCTCGGCGACCGCGGGCGATTCGTCGACGACGAGGCGCCGCGCTTCGTCCCCGCGAAGCCCGGGAGCCTGCGGTCCGTGCTGGGCCTCAGCGAGGAAGGCCCGCTCTTCGGATTCACCAAGGCGAACGAGCTGTTCGTGGGGCGCATGGCGCAATTAGGGTTTGCCGCGTCGCTGGTGGGGGAGGTTATCACTGGTAAGGGCGCGCTTGCTCAGCTTAACATTGAGACGGGCCTGCCGGTTTGGGAGCTCGAGCCGCTTCTGCTTGGGAGCATTGCGCTCTTGTTCGTCGCGGCGATCAACCCAGGCACGGGCAAGTTCATCAACGACGACGAGGAGGAGTAGTGGCGACATTTGCGACTCCATGTGTGACGGAATAAGTGCGAAAGCACGCGTTTTGTTACATCTAGGGATCTCTTGGAGTTTGTGTACAGCCGTAAGGCGATTTTGCTTCCTTCTTTCATGTTCTCATGTGTTGATATTTTATACTGAGATTTATCCACTTCCAATCTTGTAACGACCTCTCAGTGAAATTTCGCGTTTGGATTGATCAATTGTACTGCACAGACAGTCGCTTCCAAATGCTGAGCTTCCTTGCGGACGAATTCGCCTTCCTCGCTCTGTTCTGAAGTGTGTTAATATCTGAAGAATTCACCCTCGTGCTCTGACAGTTCTGGCCTTTAGAAAACTGACAGATCTGTGAGAAGGTGACCATGGCTGGTTAGGTAGAAGAATATGGCTGAAGTCGAGTCGAAGCTGAGGCAATAGGTAATGACGGTAGAATCCTTCGAGAAGTTCTCCGTAGGCATCTTCAAATGATTCTGTCTGAAATTCTCCGTTGGGTTGTGAGAATTCGGTGGGATGCGATGGATGGAAGTGGCGAAACAGAAAGGTGGGAGGTGTACGCGTTTGCTAAAAGCTCGACATGTGGAGCTGTACTTGCTGTAAGGTTCCAACAATTTCCTTGGGAGATACCAAGAATAAAATACTCGTTACTTCATATCCACCGTAAAGAATGCCACAAGAGAAATGGCACAGTGAGCTTAGCTAAGCTTTCCCAGCTCCATCTTTTTCTTGATAGCCTTGTGACCATGGTAAACCACTGCATCTATGATCCCCGTCACTGTGAACACTCCTGCAAAGCAAGGCAGGAGAGGCACAAAGTAGACATTCATAAGGTGGTCTAGTCACATACACTCTCGAGGCTGATTGTATCTATGCTACAACATAGCAACGATGTTGCTTACGAATATCCAGAAACCCTGGATTACCTTTCTGAAATAACACATAAGTCACTTTGAGCCGACTCCCAACCTTTACTCATTTACCCACCCCCAACCAAATCTCTGAGCATATGATCACGCTGACGTTGGCGAGAATATAAAATCGGATTCTCACCTCCTATGATAGCGCAGACGTTTGTGAGGAAGTGGAGGAAGGATGTGTGCTGCTCTGTGAAGCGAACCTGGTGCATGAACAGAGGGGATGGATGTCAAGGTTTCTACTTAGAGACAACAACGAGGAAGTGGAAGAAGGATGTGTTCTGCTCTGTAAAGCGAACCTGATGTGTGAGCACAAAAAAAATGGATGTCAGGGTTTGTACTTAGAAACAACAATGAGGAAGTGCAGTAAGGATGTGTTCTGCTCCGTGAAGCGAACCTGTGGGTGAGCACAAAAAAAATGGATGTCAGGGTTTGTACTTAGAAACAACAATGAGGAAGTGGAGTAAGGATGTGTTCTGCTCCGTGAAGCGAACCTGTGGGTGAGCAGAGGGGGGGATTAAGTGTCTTGAGATTTGTCGCAAGCGCAAGGGGAGGATGCATGTCAGTGTCAGTGTCAGTGTCAGTGTCAGTGTCAGTGTCAGTGTCCGTGTCAGTGTCAGTGTCTGTTTTCTTTTGCATGTCACAGGTATCAGTAAGTAAGAGGAGGAAGGACGTGTGCTGCTCTGTGAAGCGAACCTGACGTGTGAGCAGGGGGAAGATGAAGTGTCGTGAGAAGACGGGCGCACCTTTATGGGCGAGAGGTCGTAGAAGAACACGCCTGGCAGGCTGTGACCCATCTCTACGAAGCCAGAGAGGGAGGAGAAGAAGAAGAATACGCTCGGAAAAGAGGGAACCAGCGCGGGCATAGTACGAAGACGAGCGCACCTTGATGGGCGAGAGGTCATAGAAAAAGAAGACGCCTGGCAGGCTGTGACCCATCTCTGACGAAGCCAGAGAGGGAGGAGAAGAAGAAGAATACGCTCGGAAAAGAGGGAACCAGCGCGGGCATAGTAAGAAGACGAGCGCACCTTGATGGGCGAGAGGTCATAGAAAAAGAAGACGCCTGGCAGGCTGTGACCCATCTCTGACGAAGCCAGAGAGGGAGGAGAAGAAGAAGAATACGCTCGGAAAAGAGGGAACCAGCGCGGGCATAGTAAGAAGACGAGCGAACCTTGATGGGCGAGAGGTCATAGAAAAAGAAGACGCCTGGCAGGCTGTGACCCATCTCTGATGGCCGAAAGTGCTCTGTGACTGAGAACTGCAAGGAGTAGGGAGGGAGGAGAGAAGGAGATCAGTGGGATGCAGAGAGCGACGACGCGTGGCGATCAAGTACAAGTTATGTAGTGCGATCAGGGGGCGTTGCGAGTCATGCATGCAAGTGGCGCAGCAAGGAGTAGGGAGGGAGGAGAGAAGGAGATCAGTGGGATGCAGAGAGCGACGACGCGTGGCGATCAAGTACAAGTTATGTAGTGCGATCAGGGGGCGTTGCGAGTCATGCATGCAAGTGGCGCAGCAAGGAGTAGGGAGGGAGGAGAGAAGGAGATCAGTGGGATGCAGAGAGCGACGACGCGTGGCGATCAAGTACAAGTTATGTAGTGCGATCAGGGGGCGTTGCGAGTCATGCATGCAAGTGGCGCAGCAAGGAAGGCAAGGAGAGACGACTCCTGGCGGCAGGCCATGGCAAACTTCTTACCTATTCATTCCCTACTAGCCTTAACTCAGCCTAGAGGAGAATAGAGCGAGTTAGGACCGTTGGATCCAAGTCGAAACTATTCCTTTAGGCAGGCCATGACGAGCCGGGCTTGCGAAGCAGGGCAAGCAGCAGGGGACAGACTGCACCCCAGTTGCCATTGCAGAAAGGGGGGCCGGCTCTGCATGACAAGCTGGGCTTTTGACCTTTGACTCGACTCAGAGGAGAACTTGCGAAGCAGGGCAAGCAGTAGGGGACAGACTGCGCCCAAGTTGCCATTGCAGAAAAGGGGCCGGCTCTGCATGACAAGCTGGCCTTTTGACCTTTGACTCGACTCAGAGGAGAACTTGCGAAGCAGGGCAAGCAGCAGGGGACAGACTGCGCCCCAGTTGCCATTGCAGAAAGGGGGGCCGGCTCTGCATGACAAGCTGGCCTTTTGACCTTTGACTCGACTCAGAGGAGAACTTGCGAAGCAGGGCAAGCAGTAGGGGACAGACTGCGCCCCAGTTGCCATTGCGGAAAGGGGGGCCGGCTCTGCATGACAAGCTGGCCTTTTGACCTTTGACTCGACTCAGAGGAGAACTTGCGAAGCAGGGCAAGCAGCAGGGGACAGACTGCGCCCCAGTTGCCATTGAAGAAAGGGGGGCCGGCTCTGCATGACAAGCTGGCCTTTTGACCTTTGACTCGACTCAGAGGAGAACTTGCGAAGCAGGGCAAGCAGCAGGGGACAGACTGCGCCCCAGTTTCACAAGCCTTGCAAGGGGCAGAACGGGGCCGGCTCTGCATGACGAGCTGGGCTTTTGACTTTTGACTCGACTCTGCTTCACGGCTGAAGTGCTGTGCCCCGTTGACGATGGGCGGACGCGGTCGGAGCGAGAAGTGCAGCATGGGAGTGGGGAGAACAGGTACGGGGGGGTGTTGCGGATACAACAGGCGGGCTGTGGTGACCGTTGGAGAAAGAAACAGGAAAACCATTATTACCTGGTTTGTTGAAATGGTGTGGTTTGAAACGTCCGTGTATAGGGTTGGCACGATCTGGTTGAGAGAAGGCCGGGTGTGGAGGGAGGGGGAAGGAGATCCAGCAACGAAGCAAGGCAGGTGGGGGGCAAGAGAAGGGAGGGACGGGAGGAAAGCAGAAAGAGGGTTTTCGATAAGGGGGGGGGGCACCTCAGTGAAACAATGCCACAACGGCAGAGAACCACACAAGGAGTGACTCAACGGCATCGAAAAAATATTCACACTCACCTTGATAAAATATTGGTACATGCCGGGGTCCTTCTCCTGTATCCATTTCACCTTGATTGATGCAAGTGTGCAACAGCCGTTCTTCCTTTGATTCAGCATGAGATACATGCTGAATCAGAAGCCGGATCTCACCTTGATAAAGTATTGATACATGCCGGGATCCTTCTCCTGTATCCATTTCACCCTGCCACACAACAGCCACAACGCAGCACAACACACAGACACACACCCCTTGACACCATGTGGGACCGCACATTCCTTGAAACAACACGGGAGAACGCACCCAGCTTTCAAAGCAGCTTGACTTAACACACACACCCTTCCATGTGGCTCACTCAACCCTTAAAGCCACGAACAAAACATCTTGTCAACACGTACCCATCTAGGGGGTTAACTAGGCCTGGGAACTTGGCACCAAAGGAGAGCGAGTTGATTACATGTGACACCTGCGGTTGGAAGGGAAGAAGAGGGGGAGGAAGGAAGGGTAGGGGAAAAAGGGCAGGGGCATGAGCTTTGTTCCAAGGTTCACACAGCGAGGGATATCGGGTCTAAGGAATCACGTTGAAGGTAATGTGTTGGAAGGGCATAAGGGCATGCACGTGCAAGCCTCTCAAAAGAGCACACTGAAGCTCACATGTCATGACATCACGTGCCATAAGGTCAGATGCCATCGAGGCTTAACATCAAAAGTCAAGAGATCATGTGTATCTGCGTTTAAATGGCAAAAGATAATGCGTTACAAAGAAACACAAGGTCATGGACCATCGAGCCTTACATTGAAGGTCATGTGTTGAAATGGCATGAGATCATGCACGTGCAAGCCTCCCTGCTGGAAGCTCTTCCCTGGTGCGAAGTGGAAATTCCCTGCCACCTTGTTCACCTGCAGGCACAGGGGGGATGCAGGCAGAGAAGATTAAGTCATGCACGTGCAGACTGCTGGAAGCTATTCCCTGGTGTAAAGTGGAAATTCCCTGCCACCTTGTTCACCTGCAGGCACAGGGGGGATGCAGGCAGAGAAGATTAAGTCATGCACGTGCAGACTGCTGGAAGCTATTCCCTGGTGTAAAGTGGAAATTCCCTGCCACCTTGTTCACCTGCAGGCACAGGGGGGATGCAGGCAGAGAAGATTAAGTCATGCACGTGCAGAC